TGTATCCCTAAGATTACAGTGTTCTTCCATTACAGAGAAACTTTGGGTATTATCCTGGTTTCCTTGGCTTTATCCTTATCCTTAATCACTGGCTTCATCTTAGGAATCTTTATTAAATATTTGGAGACCCCAATAGTCAAAGCCAATAACCGGGACGTTTCTTACATCATCCTCACTTCCCTCCTGCTTTCCTTCTTGTCCACTTTTCTCTTCATTGGACGGCCAAGCAAACCCACTTGCCTCCTCCGACAAACAGCCTTCAGCATCATCTTCTCAGTGGCTGTCTCTTCCATCCTGGCCAAAACGATCACAGTGGTACTGGCTTTTCTGGCTACAAAGCCAGGGAACAAGATGAACAGATGGGTTGGGAAGAGTTTTGCCAACTCCATTATCCTTTCTTGTTCTACTGTTCAGATAGTCATATGTTCCATCTGGCTTAGTGTCTCTCCACCTTTTCCTGACTCCGACATGTACTCCCAACCCAGAGAGATCACCTTGCAATGCAATGAAGGCTCTGTCGCCATGTTTTATGTTTCTCTGGGCTACATGGGCTTCCTGGCTGCCATCTGCTTCACAGTGGCTTTCCTGGCCAGGAATCTGCCTGGGGCGTTCAACGAAGCCAAGCTGATCACCTTCAGCATGCTGGTCTTCTGCAGTGTCTGGGTATCCTTTGTGCCTGCCTATCAGAGCACCAAGGGGAAGTCCATGGTGATTGTGCAAGTCTTCTCCATCTTAGCTTCCAGCGCTGGTCTTCTGGTCTGCATCTTCTTCCCCAAGTGCTACATTATCATCCTAAGGCCTGATCTGAATACAAAAGATCACCTGACCACAAAAAGGAAAGATGGCATCTGAATCTTACATATTTAAGGAGTGATTCATTTACTTTAAAGAAGCAATGCTCCTTCCAATTGGCATATTAGATGCTGCTAAAATAAGCAATTTCCTTTTTTTCCATTTTAGAGCTCTAGAGAAGAAGTCATCACTTCATGCTGCACTGGCCAGCAACCATTTAATGATTAAATCATGGCAAGTGAACCAAAAGTTTTTAATTGGAGACATTTCATTGCTCAGTTTGGTCCAGTTGTCATGATTCAACCTTTAGACACCTTTGGCCTGGATGATTGAATCTTCATTGACAGATTGCAAGCCATTATAAAAGAAAAACCTTGACATTGGTGTGACAAAAGTTGGTACATTCCAACGACTCTCTGCCCAACTAATTTTGGTCAGACTGATGAAGTTGCTTGGATGAACAATGAAATGTCTCAAATTTAAAAAGGTTGGTCCAGCTGCCATGATTCAATCTTTTGACACATTGCATGGATCCTCTTTGTTTTCTGAAATTCTTTTAGAGGGTTTTTTTTGGGGGGGGGAATGCTCCTTCGAATTAGTATATCAGATGATGCTAAAATAAGCAATTCCCTTTTCTTTTCATTATAGACCTCTAAAGAAGAAATAATCACTTAACACTGAGCTAGCTATGAACCATTTATTTTCTTTTAATGTTTAATCTGAATGTTCATCTTGAACATTTGAATCCATTGTCCTGCCCTTTGGCATAACAATGAAGATTATTACTGAAGTGTGACAACCCTTGAAATATTTGAAGACAGTTATTGTCTGCTTTCCAGTGTGTTTTTTGAAGTGCTGTGGTGATGCAGTGGTTAGAATGCAGTATTGCAAGCTGATTCTGCCCATTGCCAGGAGTTTGATCCTGACCAGCTCAAGGTTGACTCAGCCTTCCAACCCTTCCAACGTTGGTAACGTGGGGACCCAGATTGTTGGCGCAATAAGCTGACTCTGTAAACCACTTAAAAAGGGCTGTAAAGCACCGTGAAGCACTATGCAAGTCTAAGTGCTATTGCTATTGTAGGTTAAACAAACCCAGTTCCTTTAACTGTTCCTTCTTGAGCTTGGTTTCCAGGCCTTCAGTGTCTTGCTCATCTTTTGCTGAACTTGTAATTGTCCTTTCTGTACTGTGGTACCCAAACTGGATATATAGAATAGTGGTGAATATCTGTAGCTCAGGTGAAGGATGAGGGTGAAGATTCGGTCTCCGAGCTTGTGGGTTGGTTTCTGAATGTTTTGTTACCAGGATAGGTATCATCTCCCCATCACAAGACCCATCACAAACCTCTCACTGATGACTCACAGACCCATCAAAATACCCATCACAAGACCCTCTGTCATGGTTCCGACAGATGATACTCTTCAAAGAACTTTGAGGCATTGTTTACCTTAAAGAATCTTTATGGGAGAAGCATAGCTTTGGCACTAGCATAGTTGAAGCCAAAAACTGGATACCCCTCCCCTGAGCACATAGTATCAAAGCACAATTCCCTCCTTCAATTAACAGTCATAAATCACATTGTCCAATTAGTTTGAAATGCAGCCTTTCCCTCCTGTTCTGCTACCCTGCCAATTCTTATCATCTCTTATTTCACACACTAGTACAATATTATTATGTCTAACTGACTCCCACCACATTCTGCCTCCTCCCCCAGCATCATCTAATTCTAAGACTAAAGCATAAGAAAGAAAAAAGGTTGCATCTTCATATGTTGTCAAAGCAAGAACATCCAATGTTAGCAGCGTTGACACCCTCACTTGACACACCCACACCTGAAGCTCTTATAAACAGAAGGATACTGACACTGACATTCCCCAAAACTCCGCTGAAGATGTTACCTAGCCTGGTAATGAAACATTTGGAAATCAACCCACAAGCCCGGAGAATGAAGCTTCACCCTCATATGTAGAATATTCTACGTTAATGAGAACAGCTGCAAAGTCAAGATTTCTGAGGGGCAGATTTGTCAGGCCAAAGAAGACTTCTGTGCTTGTGATTGCATTATTTTTGTGGGTGAACTGACATTGCTGCAACTGTCTCAAGACTGGGATGTGAAAATGCTGAAGAAAGAAGAAATGATTGCCCAAGGGAGCAGATTGGCTGCACCAAGGACTGGTTGATGGAGGAAAAGGCCTACATTGGAAAAGGCATTCAAACAATAAGGAAATGCAGGAAGCTCTGTAAACAAATATATATTTGGTTGTTAATTGAAGGTCCCTGTATGTGGGAAACATAAGCATGAAATATTTCTTCTGCAGTGCTAACAATAAAAATCTGTTTAGTTTGACAGAAGAATACTGCACTTGTATCTGAATTTGTTCTAGTTTCTTTTCTAGCCTCAATTCTTTCATCTGGATATTTTTTTCTGATTCTTCTTCTTCTTGTGCCATATCCATTATTGGACATTGACAATCATGTTGGCGATCCTGTTTTTATCATCAGCTGCACGAAAAAGTGCTGCTAAGTTTTGTTCAAACCAGTCCCTTAGATTTTGAAGCCATGATGTTCTTCTTCTGCCTGGACCTTATTTGCCTTCAATCTTTCCCTGGAGGACTAAATGGAGTATGCCGTATTTTTCTGGGTGTCACATCACATGTCTGAAATACTCTAATTTTCGTTTTTTAATTGTTTTGATGATTTCCCTTGGTTTTCCCAGGCGGCTTATCACTTCCTCATTTCTGATCTTGTCAACCCAGCTTATACGTAGCAGCCACATTTCAAATGCTTCTAGTCTCTTCAGGTGGCCTTCTGTCAGAGACCAACTCTCTACTCCATAAAGCAGGAACCAAATTGTGATAGCTATAACCTATGGAAAGTATTTCCTGAGCATCTTCCATATGACACTATTTATGTACTTAAACCTTGATATCATGATTCCCTCCAGTCTTTTTTCTAGACTAAACAATTCCAGCATTCTCCACAATAGTAAATTGTGCTGTTCCAAAAGTTAACTTAGGACAAGAAAAAATTGACACTGGATGGGATAATCTGTCCAAATCTGTTCTTTTATTCCAGCCAAGACAATCAGAGAAAAATGATAAAGGGATATACAGGAAGCTGAAGATCTGAGTTCTGAAAAAAATATTCTAAGCAATATTGTAAGAGATCACAATGGGATGAGATGGGATGAGGTGGAATGGGAGGAGAGAAGAAGAGAGGAGAGGAGAGAGAAGGAAAGGAAAGGAAAGGGTTTTTTCATTACAAGAGATTCTAAAAAACAGGATTGAATTTGTAAAAATGGTTACCTTAAGAAACAGTCTCATCACAGTTCATTTTTAGTTCCCCCAGGTTGGCTAGGGAATTATGGGTGTTGGGGTTCACACATCTTCAAGTGGTCAAAATTGAGAAACCATGTCTCAAACATTAAAGTTAAATTTCACAGAAATGTGGAGCTCACTTGTTGACTTTTCAAATCATAATTTTCAATGCTTCTCCTATATGCTTGAAAACGACTGATCTTAAATATCTATGTGTAAGTATACTCTGCTGTTCCATACCTTCAACTGGCCAAATATTAATTTTATACATTGATTCATTTACTGCATTAAATGTTAATCCGTATCTGATTTTTTTTCTCTTGGTTTGCTTTGGCTTCCTTCAATCCGCACTTTGGTTTCCCACCCTGCCCCAATGATTTTGAGAGCAGCTCTTAGCAAAACTGCCTCCCGTACCCCAACATTCCCTACAAACACCTCTAGACATATCCTCAAGTTAAAGATTCACTTGAGAAACTCTGATGGAATAGAAAAAAAACTTATTTTATTTCATCCAATAATTCAGTGGTTCTCAATTATTTTCTGTCATGCCCCCCCTAGGAAGAAGAAAACATTTCGCGCCCCCCCCGCGTGACTGTCTATCCAATCGGGTCCTTTGCGTGTGTCACGTGCATCCATTATGACAGTATTTGCCGAGGTCAAATGAGCCCCCCTTTACGGAGCCTCGCGCCCCCCCGGGGGGCCCGCCCCACTATTTGAGAACCACTGCAATAATTGGAGAAAGTAAAACAATTTCTGCTCTGGATCTCCAGTAGTGATCTGCACCCCGGTTTTCTGATACCATAACTGGTGAAAATGTAAGTCTCCTGGAAGACAGTGTAAATGTGAAGGTTCCGACTAATGAAACCAAATAAAGCAGAACTCCGAGGCTTGAAGTTTCCTCAAAGCACATGTTTATTGGATACATAATGTTGGTATGATCAAAAGTGAAACCAACTCTAAACTTTCCCTTAGGGATTCAGTGTAATTAAATGTAACATTTCCCTCCACTGCATTATGTTATTGATTATGCTACCCAGTGAAAGCAATTGGTGGGCTCTGGGACACATCTCCACTCCTCCTTCCTGCACCTATGGGAATGACCTTGGTTCCCAAGGGACCGCTCCGTGTTTTGTCTAGCAATACTTTTGTGTTCCTTCTCTTCTTCCCCCCAAACCTATGTGGCAACTTAGATTGACAAAGATGGCTTCAGCCAGGTTCGTTTCAGAAGTTGACAGTAAGTTGGGCACATACATTTAGTGGGTTTTTGTACAGAAAAAAAGGGGGAGAGCAAACTTGATAGATTCTTCCTTGTTTCTCTTGGCTGGAGATTTTCTTGCTTAACGGATTTTTTTGACCTCTTCATCTGTTTAAGAAAAAGCAAAAAAATTTTATATATATATATAGGGGCTTTTTACATATCACCATTAATATTTGGTAAACAGTGTTTGTATTTACAAATAATCAATAACATTTAATTTTTATAGTTCCATATTCCACATAGTAATTTTCCTTGATTTTCTCTTCTTCCAATAATATTCTCTTTTATCAACCTTAAATTAAAACATTTCTTGGTATTTTTTTTTTGAAAAATAACAATTAAATGTCTATGAATATCTTCCATTTCATTATTAAGCTTCTTTTCTAATTAATCATCTAGATTCTGTTTTTAGAGTTCTCATTTAAATTTATTTCCCCCACAATATTCAAAAGAAAGCATTTTTACTTGTTAAAATTTTCTTAGCATTAATTACATTTATATATAATAATCTTTTTCCTCATATGAACCATCCCAACACTTACATTTTTCATATCTTGAAATAGAAAGAAGGACAAAAATAATATACTATCTAAAAAGCATATCCCTCTTAAACTAAAATACCTTAATAATCAATGTTTCATTTTTTAAAACATATTTGAATCTTCAAAATCCATTATATTTGAATATTTAACACATTTCCCTCATATAAATCTTCCCACACATTTTTATATTTCTCATATCATAGGCAAAAAAAAATACTGTATTGCTTAAGGAGCCTATCCCTCCTAAGCTAAGATTCATTTGTATTCAAAATTTTATTTCTTTACCGTATTCAAACAAGTGTTTAATCTTTAAATATTCCATCAAATGAATCCCTTCATCTAATTTCTTAATTCTGGCTTTAGCCCCTTTTGTTTTGTCAAACATTTTTCCTAATCAGTATGTTCCGTTGAATCGCAAGATATTCCCATGGTTTTGTAGCTAAGCTAAGTCAATTAAAGTGTTTTTGTGAAAATATTCCTCAGATTTGACCTTTATATTGTTCTCCCCAAAAAAATCAAGAGAGGTGAGATGGCCTTTACAAGCGAGAAAGATTTTTCTATGGCAACAGCACCCTATGTGTGCAATTATTTCCTGGAGAGGCTCGACAGATGCTCACATGAGTCTCATTCTGGCACCAGGTGAAGAACCTTTCCATGTTCCCATCCTTTTCAGTTGGCTTTTAACTAAGATTATTTTAGTTTTTAAATGGCTATTGTGCCGCTGTCTAGTTTATATGGTGTTTTCATTTTGCACTTGTCTTTATTAAAATTGTGGTTTTCTTAGTGTGTATTATTGCCAACCAACCACCCAGAGAATTTCAGCTTTGGGGCAGTTGAAAAGCCTCCACAAATAAATATATAAATTTTATATCAAACAAAACAAAAGAAAAAGTCCAGCCCAGCCTGGCCTAGGGTGTTCTTTTGTGGTACTGTAGGAGAAAGAATGGCACAAACTGGGGGTAGAGTCAAATGAGGACTTAGCTTAGAATCTCTTCATAGCCACAAATGGACTAAATCCAACAGACTCCCCTTGAATTTCATTTACCTTTATTAGCACCAAATAGTGCTAATCATTAGCTTAGGTTCCTGAGCGTAGGGATGAACTATAAATTAGTTTAATTGGAACTTCACCATGAGAATCTGGTCTTTCCCACCTGAGAGCTACTCTTTGACCATGAAATTATCCTACTTTTGAGACATTTTGTGAAGACTTAGTTTCCTGGAAAAGTCTTTGATGTTGGGAAAGGTGGAAGGTAAGACAAGAGGACAATTAGCAGCAAGGGACTCGGTGACAGTGGTGATGAAGGCATCACTGGGTGACCTGAAAGAGCAGATTATAGACAGACTGTGTTGGAGAAAATCTATGTGGTGGTTATGAGCTTACATGGACCTGATGAGATTAATAAATCAACCAATTAGCCATTTGTCTGAAATGGTATAGGGTTTCCTGCTTGAGCAGGGCGTTGGACTAGATGACCTCCAAGGTCCCTTCCAACTTTATTATTATTATTATTAGTAGTAGTATTAGTATTAGTAGTATTATTAGTATTAGTATTAATTAACCATATAAACAATTATTAAAAAACATGTAGGAGAGGATCAGGTCTAACTGGTCCTACAAAATCTGACTTGAACATGTATCTGGGCTCCAGATTTCCAGACGGAAGCAGAAGCTGATAATCTGGAAGCAGAAGCAACTGGTTAGTCCCATAAGAAGCAAAATGTTGGATTAAAGTGGGCTTTGCTTGGATCCAGCACAAGTGTTCTTCTTATAGAGAATAGGATAATGTGTACATGTGGTCTTAAGAGAAGTTGCTCTCTCTTGCTCTGATAATCAATGCTTTACAGCAGCGGTTCTCAACCTTTCTAATGCCGTGACCCCATAATACAGTTCCCCATGTTGTGGTGACCCCCAAGTGGGTGTGGCCACCAATAAGAGGGAGTAGGACAGCTAGGGAAAAGGGGAAAAAATGGCGGACAGTGTGGTTTGGCGACCCCCGTGAAATGGTCATTCGACCCCAAATGGGGTCACGACCCACAGGTTGAGAACCCACTGCTTTACAGAATAAGTGCTTTTCTCCTGCACTAGACCTATCATTAGCAATGTAGCCGCTGGCTATGATGTTATGTAAGTAAGGATAAATGATGGTTTTTTGTTGTGTCTTCTATGACATCTAAGTATTTTGAATCAGAACAGAGTTGGAAGGGACCTTGGAGATCTTCTAGGCCAATCCCCTGCTCAGGCAGGAAATCCTATACCATTTCAGACAAATGGTTGTCCAGTCTTTCTTAAAAACTTCCAGTGTTGGAGCACCCACAAATTCTGAAGGCAAGCTGTTCCACTGATTAATTGTTCTCACTGTTAAGAAATTTCTCCTTAGTTCTAGGTTGCTTTTCTCTTTGGTTAGTTTCCATCCGTTGCTTCTTGTCCTGCCTTCAGGTTGACCCCCCTCTTCTTTATGGCAGCCCCTCAAATATTGGAAGACTGCTATCATGTCATTCCTTCTTTTCATTAAACTAGACATACCCAATTCCAGCAACCGTTTTTCATATGTTTTAATTTTCAGTCCTCTAATCAGTTTTATTGCTCTTCTCTGCACTCTTTATAGAGTCTCAATGCCTTTTTTATATCATGACAACCAAAACTGGTTGTAAAACTATACGTAAGCATGCTCTTTGGGGGAGGTGTCAACATAGCATATGTGTAGGAAAACCAGACTATTCCATGGGGCTATCCCAGCCACAAGAGAGGCTGGTTTCTGTAGTGTAAGGTCCCAAATGGGCTTCAGACAAATTCTGTCCATATACAGATTGCAAACTGGGGTTCCACGCCATTATAACAAAATTCACATTAAAAAGTGCTCAATAGCCATCTAACTGCTCTTTGGAAAGGATTGTTCTTAACTCTGCAGAAACAGAGCAACATCGAAATACAGTATGTGGAAGTTCTTGTTAAAATAAAACAATCCGGTGATGTTGTCTGAGGAGAAAAAAAAATGTCTGAAATTGGGAATTTTGGCAAAAACCGATTGCTGTTTATACTCCACCTGTGCTGCAGGGGGCGATGTACTCCGAGATGGCATAGTCATCTGGAAACACAAACAAAAGAGGAAGAATTGTCAGAGCGCATCATTTAATTTGGTCTATCGACACCAGGGTCGCTAGTCCTCATGCTGCATTAGATTGTTTTCAAGAACTGGTGTCAAAGCCCTTGTCACTTAGACAACATCTTTGAAGTTCAGGGGTAAACTTGGAAGGAGATGGATTTTGAAAAATAATTGAATTAAGTACGCCGATCAGGCCTCTCCCCACTGGGATCCCTTTCTCACCGGTTTCATAATAATCATAGGCTTTCACCGGGGCAGGTTTCAGGCCCTGGACCGGAGTCTCAAGCTCGACCTTGAAGGAATAACTCTGGCTTAGACTGCTGACCTGCAGACCAAGAGAAATGATGGGATTATTCAAGAGACTAGAGAAGTGTCTTCTCTGAAGTAGGCAACTATCCACAGAGACATAATGGGGACCTTATTCTTGCAAGGCTATTTCCAAGTTCCCTAGTTACCTAAACTTCTAAGCCCAAGGACATATTTTGGGCATGTTCATAGAGGACCCCTGAGGATTAGCTGACTCCCTCCCATCAGAGAGGAACAGAACCATCAAATATATAAGAAACATATAAAACATATAAGGAAAGGCTGCTGGAATTGGGTATGTCTAGTAGTTTAACGAAGAGAAGGGGGACATGATAGCCATGTTCCAATATCTCAGGGGCTGCCACAAAGAAGAGGGAGTCAAGCTATTCTCCAAAGCGCCTGAAGGCAAGACAAGAAGCAATGGATGGAAACTAATCAGGGAGAGAAGCAACCTAGAATTAAGGAGAAACTTCCTGACAGTTAGAACAATTAACCAATGGAACAACCTGCCTCCAGAAGCGGTGAATGCTCCGACACTGAAAGTTTTTAAGAAGAGACTGGACAGCCATTTGTCCGAAATGGCATAGGGCAGTGGTTCTCAACCTGTGGGTCGGGACCCCATTTGGGGTCGAATGAGCATTTCACAGGGGTCGCCAAACAACGCAGTCTGCCATTTTTTCCCCCTTTTCCTTAGCTGTGCTACTCCCTTTTATTCTATTGGCTTTTGAAAGCCAATAGAATAGACTCTCTTGAATAGAGTCTAATTCTATTGGCTTTCAAAAGCCAATAGGAATTGTCCAGGCTGTCTCTGCCCTGCTGAGCCCGCCAAAGTCCCATTCTGCAAATGGTGCTGCACCAGTTGAGTAGTCCTCGACTTACGACCGGTTGGGGGTCGCGGCATTAAAAAGGTTGAGAACCACTGGTATAGGGCTTCCTGCCTGAACAGGGGGTTGGACTCGATGACCTCCAAGGTCCCTTCCAAGTTTATTATTATTATTATAATCAGAATAGAGCTGGAGGTCTCCTAGTCCAACCCCCTGCTCAAGAAGGAGCTCCTATACCCTTTCAGATAGGTGGCTGTCCAGCCTTTTTTAAAAACCTCCAGTGATGAAGCATCCACAACTTCTGAAGGCAACCTGTACAACAGAATAACAGAATTGGAATAGACCTTGGAGGTCTTCTACTCCAACCCCTTGCTCAGGCAGGAAACCCTATAACATTTCAGTCAAATGGCTGTCCAGTCTCTTCTTAAAGTGTTGGAGCACCCACAACTTCTAGGCTAGAGGCAAATCGTTCCACTGATTAATTCTTCTAACTGTCAGGAAGTTTCTCCTTAGTTCTAGGTTGCTTCTCTCGTTGATGAGTTTCCATCCATTGTTTCTTGTCCTTCCTTCAGCTGCTTTGGAGAATAGGTTGACTCCCTCTTCTTTGGGGCAGCCCCTGAGATATTGGAATACTACTATCATATCACCCTTAGTTTTTCTTTTCACTAGACAAACATGCCTAATTCCTGCAACTGATCTTCATACATTTTAGCCTCCAGTCCCCTGATCATCTTTGTTGCTCTTCTCTGCACCCTTTCAAAAGTCTCAACAACTTTTTTTATATCGTGGCGGCCAAAGCTAATTTTATCACATGACACGAGCCCTATCTTCTTGTAGGGCGGAAGAGTTCACCCACCACAACTCTCATTCACCAGCTCCTACTTACCTGTTCCAAATACAGGAGGACCTGGGTGGCTGAAATTTCAGCCCGCTGGACGAAATGACGTTCTTCCAGCTGGTGAAGAAAGGGAAAAGCTGGTGTCATAATACAAACTCTTTGGCTTGGAATGAAGGAAAGGAAGGGACAGTATTATCTATGTAGAAGGGGAAGGGGCTTTCTCTCAAAATGGAGAACTTGAGATCGTCCCTGGAGATGAATTGCAGGAGCATTCAGAACCAGTAAAGTAGACGTTAGTGTTATCCCCCACCTCAAATACATTTTTCTCAGGGAAAATAAAATGTCAACACTCTTAAGACCCTTACAGGAATATTAATTCAGAAAATAAAACTATAATAAAGTGTCAGGGAGAACCCTTAAAAGAAAGGGCTTCACTTTTTTAACTCAAGAAAGCTTCATATTCCTCCCAATTACCTCACCATTCGGACCTCATTAACTCACACGTGCTACAGCCTGATCAACTAAATGCTATCTTGATTAAATACCTATTGTAATTTGCAAAATTCTACATGGAGGGCTTGCGTCCCTTCTTCTTTTGGTATTTCAATCAATCAGAATACAGCTGGAAGGGAGCTTGGAGATCTTCTAGTCCAGCGGTTCTCAACCTGTGAGTCGGGACTCCATTTGGGGTCGAACTACCATTTCACGGGGGTCGCCAAACAACGCAGTCCACCATTTTTTTCCCCTTTTCCTTAGCTGTGCTACTCCCTTTTATTCTATTGGCTTTTGAAAGCCAATAGAATAGACTCTCTTGAATAGAGTCTAATTCTATTGGCTTTCAAAAGCCAATAGGAATTGTCCAGGCTGTCTCTGCCCTGCTGAGCCCGTCAAAAGTCCCATTCTGCAAACGGTGCTGCAAGTTGTCTGCAGCGAAGGAGAGCTGTCTGGAAGTTTCCACCCCTCCCTGCTGAACAACTACTAAAAATGTAAGTAAAAGAGGGCCAGGGGTGGGAGGCTGGCGGGCGCAGGGAGGGTTGCTGGCACGCGTGAGGCCTGGCGGGTGCCTTACCTCCCTTGGGCTGAGCCAGCTGGTGGCCCAGTCGGTGGTCAGCCTGCGCCATCTCTGCCGCTTCCCAGCTATGCCTCGGCTGGCGCAGGGGGCGGCACCACGCATGTGCGGCACTCCCGGGCAGGGAAAGTCCTTGACTTACGACCGGTTGGGTAGTCCTCGACTTACGACCAGTGGGGGTCACGGAATTAAAAAGGTTGAGAACCACTGTTCTAGTCCAACCCCTAGCAAAAGCAGGAGACACTATATCATTTCAGATAAGTGACTGTCCAGTCTTTTCTTAAAAACCTTCAGTGATGAAGCATCCACAATGTCTGAAGCACAATGGTGCTTCACCCCTGGAGGTTTTTAAGTAGAGACTGGACAGTCACGCGTCTGAAATGGTATAGGATCTCCTGCTTGAGCAGGGGCTGGACTGGAAGACCTCCAAAGTCCCTTCCAGCTCCATTCTGACTGAACATTAAAGGGTAATTCTTAACTTCTTAGGGCCCAGCTTTGTTGCTAAGAACAAAAATTCTTTGGAGAATTTGGAGAAAAAAAGTCTTTACCAACTTTACGGTTGATTTCACTGGGATGTATCCGGATAGCATCTTAATCTGGACAATTGCCATGTTGGAAACCACACGTTGGCCGGTGTAACTGGGAAACCAAGGAAAGAAAGAAGCCACGTCACATTTTTTTAAAGTAGAAATGCACAGCTTAAGGGACGAAACGCTGCATGCAGGTTCATAAAAGCTTGGGTGTGCCCTCAGGGCTTCCATCTATTCCATCCTGGAGTGCAGAACACTGGCTTTTAAGAAGATGGAGGAGCTGAGTTGAGGCCCTCAAACCCTTAGACGTTGCCCATCCCTGGAGGCGAAGCACTGGCTAAATAGCAAGGAGAGGTTCCCTTTGCCCCCATGCATATGCCCACGTGCTCAGGGTTGACCCGTTTACCTGACGCTGATAGCAATGTCAAAGGTCTGGTGCGCTTTAGGTCCAGTGCAATTCTGAGGACTTGTCTGCACAAGCAACTTGAATGGCGCCTCCTCCTGGGGTGGATGGATGTTATACCTCAAGCTGGTCTGAAAAGGAAGCAGCACACTTGTCTCTCTCTCCAAACGACCAGTTGTAAGCGAGATGCGTGGTTAAGATTTGAATGCAGAAAGGCCCGCAAAGTGGAAGAATACCTCACTTCACAAAGGCAGGGAACACAGCCCAGGGACTATTCAACCTACTGCAAGGACCTTCGGAATTTGTCTGAAGTTATGCCTCTAAACTTAGTCCCCCCCCCCAGACAGAGGTTCTTTACCCTCAAGGACTTCAGGTGACACAGTTTGTGACCACAAATGTGGTGCTCACAAAAGACTTGGAGATTAGCAAACATAGAGCTCCAGGGAGGATTGTGGGGAACCTGAAAGCTATCAAAGAACATTTCTATCTCCTTCCTGTCCAAAATTCTGTTCTGGATACCTTATTCACCTATGTTCGCCACCATAGCAAACACGTGTTCTTATGCTTCTGTGGCAACTGGAGATGGCGATGGTGTCACAACACAGGCTCCGCCCCATAATGGCATCAAAGCCCAGAAAAGTAAAGGAGGGGCTTGTGCAACACAGGTAATGTTGCATGGTTTACGGCCACAAGTCAGCCCAAAATTTCTGTCGCTTAAGCAAGACAGTTGTTCGATGAATTTTTCCCCCTTTCACGACCTTTCTTGCTGCAGTTGTTAAGTTAGCAACATGGCTTTTAAGTGAATCTGGCTTCCCCATTGCCCTTGCGTGTCACAAAAGGGCATCACATGACCCCGGGACACCACAACCATCATAAATATGAGCCAGTTGCCAAGCAGCTGAATTTTGATCACACGACCACAGGGGATGCTGTGATGATCGTCAGCATGAAAAATGGCCACAGGTACATTTTTCAGTGCTGTTGTAACTTCAAATGGTCACTAAATGAATGAACAAAGGCGATGATATGCGTCCCGCGGTAATGTTGCAGGATCCAATCTGGGTTGGTTCCCGGGACCAGAGGCTTTGTCTTCCAAGCTTTCCGACTCTCTCTAGCAGAGTGTGTGCTCTTCACGGTGTGGTATTTATAGTGCCTGTTGTGTGTGGCTTTTTTAGATGTTGATTGGGGTGTGTTGATGGCTGGCTTTTAAGTCGTTAGCTGTTGTTAGCTTGTTTACTCAATCCCTGTGATTGAAGCCTGGGAAAGCCTCACACTGCAGTGATTGCCTCATTCTGCACTGAACAAGGAAACACATTCAATTTTGCAGCTACTAAGATTGTTGGACAAGCAGGCACAAAAATAGCCAAGGGAGTGATTGAAGCCTGGGAAATGGACCCCTCATCAGTTAACAGGAGTGCTGATTTACCACCAGCCCACCAAGTACTTAGAAGGTGACGGTTGGCAGTATAAGCAAACAACAGCCAAAAACTTAAAAGCCAGTTATCAACACACCCCAATCAACATCTAAAAAGCCACTTACAACAGGCACTATAAATACCACACATAGAACAGCACACATTCTGCTGGAGACACATTGCCTGAAGATGGGCTCCAGCACGAGTCCGAAAGTTCAGAAGACAAAACCTCTGGTCCCGGCAACCAACCCAGATTGGATCCTGCAACTAAATAGAATACAATAGAATGACAGAGTTGGAAGGCACCTTGGAGGTCATCTAGTCCAACTCCCTGCTCAAACAGGAAATCCTATACCACTTCAGACAAATGGTTGTCCAATCTCTTCTTAAAAACTTCCAGTGTTGGATCATTCACTGCTTCTGGAGGCAGGTTGTTCCACTGATTAATTGTTCTCACTGTCAGGAAATTCCTCCTTAGTTCTAGGTTGCTTCTCTCCTTGATTAGTTTCCATCCATTGCTTCTTGTCCTACCTTCAGGCGCTTTGGGGAATAGCTTGACTCCCTCTTCTTTGTGGCAGCCCCTGAGATACTGGCTATCATGTCACCCGAGACCTTCTCTTTGTTAAACTAGACATACTCAATTCCAGCAACCGTTTTTTATATACCAATGAATGGTAGTAAACCAAGGACTATCTGTATTCTATTTCAATCTGCTCAAGCCATCTTTATTGGCAATGGAAAGCAATTTCCTTCTTCAGTGGCTGATTCAGGATACTCACTTGCATAAAGATGCAACCGGTCATCTCAGCCATGTAGTTCCCTGGCACCTGAGGCAGATCCTGGCACTGGAGCAGCAGAGAGTTGGTGCTGTCAACATGGAATTTGGTCAGGGCAATATCTCCAGAACTCAAGGTCACTCTGGCATCAACTCCATCCTTGGAATAAGTAATTGTCTTGTACTGGCAGAGGGCCTGGAGAGCCACCACCGTATCCTGCAAGAGAAAGCAAAGCTAGGACATCTCTCTTGGATGGCGTACCTCAGCTGGAATCTTGGGAATTAAGACTCGGCACATCTGGAGGGTCTATCGGGAAAAAACATCAGGTCCATCAAGTTGGGGCAGGGAGTATGGCAGCATCTTCCACTATCCTCTGAGAATCTGTGGGGAGGGAATGTACCTGTGTTGAAGAGAATCCTCCATTGGGATTCTGTTGGTTGGTCAACCATTTGACAATGGCAGTTGCTGTTGTTAATTCTTCCTGGGACGGGAATGGTTCTTTGGCCACGTAAGAAAGGAGAACGTAGGCGGTCATCTCTACCTCAGCAGAGGGAGCAAGGGGGTGGTAATATGGAAGATCGGGGGTCTTCTTCTGCTTCTCAGGTCTCTCCCAGTGGATGGAGCCATCCTCTTCAGAAAGAGAATGAAGGGTTTTAGTATTGGGTTGCCCCATTGAGGCAGCCCCATTGGTCAAGTACCTTTGCATCTCAAGGACATGTTGTTCTATTTAACAGAATAACAGAGTTGGAAAGAACCTTGGAGGTCTTCCACTCCAACCCCCTGCTCAAGCAGAAGCCCCTATACTATTCCAGACAAACAGCTGTCCAAACTCTTCTTAGAAGTCTCCAGTGATAGAGTACCCACAAGCCGTTCCACTGGTTTATGTTCTTGGCTGTCAGGAAATTTCTCTTGGTTGCTTCTAGGTTGCTTCTCTCCTTGATTAGTTTCCAACTATTGCTTCTTCTCTTGTGTTACCCATAACCCTTAAGTACCATGTCTGAAGCTTGGCACACCATTCATTGAGTAACTCTCCACATTTTTCATTATTTGTTAGCCCAGCATGTAGAGCAGGCCAGGAAATCAACTCCTCAGGAAGGCTAAAACTATCTGTATTGAGATTGGCTCCAATAACATACCGTATATTTTGGCATATAAGGCAACCCGGCATATAAGACGACCCCCGACTTCGACGCTGAGTCACATGCCTAGAAAGTCGTCTTATACGCCGGAAACTACCGTTATTTCCAGTGTATAAGACGACTCGGCGTATAAGACGACCCCCGACTTCGGCGCCGATTTCAACGCTCTCAAAAGTCGTCTTATACGCCGGAATATACAGTAATCTGATGATGCTACTACCATATTTCCCCCAAAATAAGAGCCAGACGGAAAATAAGCCCTAGCATGATTTTACAGGATGCTCATAACATGAGCCCTACCCCCAAAATAAACCCTCATTAAGATCGTCAGCCAGACAGACGCATTTAGCACGTCCATTGCAACATATGACGGGCGTATTGAATGATAAAAGAATAACATTAATATATAATTAAATATAAATAAATAAATAGTATTGAAATAAATACTTAAAATAAGACCTCACCTGAAAATAAGCACTAACGCATCTTTGGGAGCAAAAATTAATATAAGACCCGGTCTTATTTTGGGGAAAATATGGTCATGAAATGTCAGCAAGAAAACCACCAAGCTCAGAGAGCACTGAGGACGCCCATAATTGCACCAGACCTTCTCCCCTTCTTATATCCAGTGAATAGGGCAGCATTTGCTCAAACTGCTTTAAAAAAAAAATTCAGTTCCTTTTACCTTAATAATGATTCTTGCCTATGTCCATCAAGATTATCTTTCTTATTCTCTGCGTTATCCACCCCTTTCCCCAAATCTTAGATCTTCTTAATAGAGGATCAGAGGGTCTCGCTATAATAATAATAATAATAATAATAATAATAATAATAATAATAATACTGCCTGGAGATAGCAGAATAGAAGAGAAAGAACTGGAGAAGATAACAAAATACAAAGACCTACAAATAGAAATAGAAAGACTGTGGCAAAAACAAGCAAGGGTAGTACCAATAGTAATAGGCTCCTTGGGTGCAATCCCAAAACAACTGGAGCACCACTTGAACACCATTGGCATTGACAAATTCGCTATTAGTCAATTGCAAAAGGCGGCCTTATTAGGAACTGCTTCCATCCTGCGACGATATCTGTAATACCATCAAACATCCACATCTGCCTATCCCAGGTCCTGGGTAAGGACTCGATAGGTAGACAAAATGCCAAATCCAGTCTGAACATCTGGCTGACTGTGCGATGATCCATATAAATAAATAAATAAATAAAGTTGGAAGGCACCTTGGAGGTCATCTAGTCCAACCCCATGCTCAGGCAGGAAACCCTATACCATTTCGGACAAATGGCTGTCCAGTCTCTTCTTAAAAACTTCCAGTTTTTCTGGAGGCAGGTTGTTCCACTGGTTGATTGTTCTAACTGTCAGGAAATTTCTCTTTAGTTCTAGGTTGGAGAGCCTTGATTAGTTTCCATCTGTTGCTTCTTGTCCTGCCTTCAGGTGCTTTGGAGAATAGCTTGACTCCCTCTTCTTTGTGGCAGCCCCTGAGATATTGGAACAATTGCCATCATGTCATCACTAGTCCTTCTTTTCATTAAAGTAGACATACCCAATTCCAGCAACCGTTCCTTATATGTTTTAGGCTCCAGTCCCCTCATCATCTTTGTTGCTCTTCTCTGTACTCTTGTAAGTACTCTTGTAAGTCCAGGACTACTTGTATGTGAAATGGCTGGCTATATAAATTTAATAATAAGTGGACAAACACTTAGATTTGAGCCAGCCCTTTGCTGAAGCTGTCAAAAAAAGTCAACACAGTGCTAGGCTGCATGAACAGAGGGATAGAATCAAGTTCACGTAAAGTATTAATACCACTTTACAATGCCTTGGTAAGGCCACACCTGGAATTCTGCATCCAGTTTTGGTCACCACGATGTAAAAAAGATGTTGAGACTCTAGAAAGAGTATGCTCTACATGCTGGGCTTATTATTATTATTATTATTATTATTATTATTATTATTATTATTCATCATCATCATCATCATCATCATCATCATTGCATAGTCAGCCAGATGTTCAGACTGCATTTGGCATTTTTGTCTACCTATTGAGTCCTTCCCAAGGACCTGGGATACACAGATGTGGACATTTGATGGTATTACAGATATCGTTGCAGGATAGAAGCAGTTCCTAGTAAGGCCGCCTTTTGCAATTGACTAATGGCAAATTTGTCAATGCCAATGCTGTTCAAGTGGTGCTCCAGTTGTTTTGGGATTGCACCCAAGGCACCTATTACTATTATTATTGATACTTATTATTATTATTATTATTAGTTGTATTATTATTATTATTATTATTAATAATAATAAATAAGTAGCAGAGAAGCCAGACTCCACAAACATCCGACACAGAACGCAAGGGGGCTGACGAAGTTCCGTTGCTCATTGAGCATCCTGCACAACGGCCTGAGCATCACGCACCCACCTTGCCTCAAGCACACGCTTCTCACCTTCCTTCACAGCTAGTTTTTGAAGGGACTCCAACATCGCTTGCCTCCTCTCCTCATTCCCCGCCAGAGTAAAGGCATACGCCATCAGAGCCCGGGAATAAATGTGGATCTCTTCCGCTTGAGATGCCGTCTCCAGGAAATGCAAGGCGTTTCGTACCAAAAGGTGCTGCCGAGGGTGAGAAACGCAAGGCGGACAATTGTAGCCATTGACAAAAACTTGATGGGGTTCACAAAGTCTGGTTCGATTTGGATCCAGGTCTTTCTCACTCCCTGCCCATAATTCCGCAGGGAACAAGTTCAGCAAAAACATTTCACATTCTGCCTGGGGGTATAGCTAAATGCCAGTGTCTATGCTGATTCTCAGTCATCCAGGTCAGGGGTCCCCGTCCTGTGGGCCACAGCCCACTACCACTCTGCGGCCTATTGGCCACCAGGCTGCATGAGTGGCTGACCAAATGGGCCTGTATGGGCATGTATGCACGCGCACTCATTGCCCCACTCGTGCGAGCATCCTCACAAGTGTTGCATTGCTGGCTGAGGAATTCTGGGAGTTGAAATCCACAGATCTTAAAGTTTAGAGACTCCTTGTTTATTTTATTGTTCAGTTATCTTACTTCTGTTCACACTCTTTTCAAGTCTTCCTTTTTATCCTTGGAAGCTGCCTAGAGTAGACCTCCAGCGAGACACATGGGAAATAAATTTAACAAGTAATAATTTTCTTGGCCACAAGATAGTAATGGTTTGCCCTGAAATAATTCAGAGGGTGTTTACTTACTGTGCGAGGCAGAGGCATTTCCAGCAAAGTTATGGTGATGTAGGCCGAAAGAGAAATCGCATCATCAACCCCACCCTGGAAGAAGGGACACAGGCAGATATCAGCCCTTTTGCCATCTTTCTAGCCCTCTTTCCAAAATCAGTATCCCATCACACTCACACAAAAGCAGGATGTGATTTCCCCCCCCCCCCCGGCCTATGCATAATCTGGATGCTTCCATCCAAGGGCAGATATGTCAAGATTTCCAATCTCCATCAACACTGAGCCATGGTGGCACTGTGGTTAGCATGCAGTATTACAGGCTGACTCTGCCCACTGCAGTTCGATGCTGACCGGCTCAAGGTTGACTCAGCCTTCCATCTTTCCGAGGTTAGTAAATGAGGACCCAGAATGTTGGAGGCCATAGGCTGACTCTGTAAATCGCTGTGAGAAGACTGTAAAGCACTATGAAGTGGTATATAAGTCTAAGTGGTATGCTATTACTACTCATTCTATGTCTCTCTTGCCCTGTGGGAAGTCATCCCTCCAGAGAAGGAAATATTAAAAGGGCAGAAAAATGTATTTCCTCAAGGGATCTTAAAGAGGCAGAAAAGCATGCCCAGTTTTTTTTAATAGCCCCAAGTCTCCCTCCCCCAAGCAAAAACCAGCTCTGTAGAAATGCAGATTTAAATAATTCAGGAAGGTTGGAGGCCCCCAGCTAGAAGCTTAGGAAGACAAAGACACCTAAAATCTACATACCCCACCCAAACTCTAAGACAGGACATAATAGGATTAACCCACAGATGCCAAAGAGCACACCCAAACTCAGGTCAGAATACATGACACAGGAAATACAAAGCCTTAAATAGGAACAGGAAACAACTCCAAACAAAAGGCTCCAAAGGGTATAAAAACCCACTCCCTACATGTGCTCTCTCTCTTTTCTTCCAGAGCCATCTTCCCATCTGGCTCTCCTCTTCAATAAACTGCAACCTTCTTTCTAAAGCAGTCACCATGTTGTTTATTCCCAGCTTGGACTGAACCATGATGAAGACTTTTCCTTCAACAGCCCTTTGCTGAAGCTTCATCTTACTTTAGGCAGTATAACTCTCCATTTCTGCCTTCTGGTATGGCTCCTACCACTTCCCCAATAGCTCATAATCAAAACCTTGATGCTTAAAGAAGAGGCAACGTGGCTAAGTGACTTAAGACCATTTGCTAAGCCACAAGGGAGCAGCAAAGGGGGTGCAGAAATTGCACCTCCTTGGCTTCCAACCTAGTGGCCATTGGGAACTTTTCAGCCCACATATGATGGCCCTAAACCAGTGGTTCTCAACCTGTGCGTCGGGACCCCATTTGGGATCAAACGACCATTTCACAGGGGTCACCAAAAAACGCAGTCCGCCATTTTTCCCCCCTTTTCCTTAGCTGTGCTACTCCCTTTTATTCTATTGGCTTTTGAAAACCAATAGAATAGACTCTCTTGAACAGAATCTAATTCTATTGGCTTTCAAAAGCCAATAAGAATTGTCCAGGCTGTCTCTGCCCTGCTGAGCCTGCCAAAAGTCCCATTCTGCAAATGGTGCTGCACCAGTTGAGTAGTCCTCGACTTACGACCGGTTGAGTAGTCCTTGACTTACGACCGGTTGGGGGTCGCGGCATTAAAAAGGCTGAGAACCACTGCCCTAAACTAAAGGATAGTCTCGAAGTAAGAGAGGACTAACCCGTTCATTGCATTAAAAAAAATAGAAAAGAAAATCCTGCTCTATGCAAATATTGCATGATTTTGCACAATCATACCAGTAGGGGTCAAGGGTCTCCAAACTCAGCAACTTTAAGACTTGTGGACTTCAACTCTCAGAATTGCCTAGTCGTCATGGCTGTTTGGGAAATTTTGGGCGTTGAAGTCCACAAGTCTTAAAGATGCCAAGTTTGGAGATCCCTGCTGTAGATCATTAGACTATGCAAAATTTATCCCCAGTGTGAAGCATTATCATTTCCAGCCCTTGACTGGCAACTCCAATCTTATCAACAGGTCTCCCAGCAAATTGCCATCCTAATTTTTCCAATCAAAAGGTAATCCGGACTATATTGATCAGCACGATAGAAAAGTGAACAGAATGGAACTGAATTAAGGAGAGAGGGAGAGAGGGAGAGAGGGAGGAAGGGAGGAAGGGAGGAAGAAAGGGAGGAAGGGAGGAAGGAAGGAAGGAAGGAAGGAAGGAAGGAAGGAAGGAAGGAAGGAAGGAAGGAAGGAAGAAAAAAAGGGAGGAAAGGTGGTATCACCATGAGTTGGTTTTATAAGTTTTCTTAATAAATAAAATTAAAAATATAATAAAATTAAATTAAAAATATAATAAAACAAAATTAACATAATAAAACTAAAAATATAATAAATATAATAACAACGATAATAAATAGAATAAGATATAATAAAATAATATAATAGAAATAAAATAACCATAAAATATCAGACCTGTCAATTACAAGTACAAGAAACAGATGGAAACCAGGTCTTCCATCCCAATTGTGAATCACCGTTCACAGCTTATTGCGCAACTCTTAGCACATAACTCTGAACACTATATGCAGGGTTTGGTGCGCTGCAGTCTCTAGAATTCTTCCATAATGACTTCTTATCTTTTCTACAATAAATGCACTTGTTAAAAGTTCCCAGAAGATTGTTTATCCCGTTGAATTGCTTTCTGGTCTGAAAGAAGCTTGACGCTGACCTCATTTCCCCCCAAACCATACTCAAAACTTTTATCATCCAACAAATATTCCTCCCCTCCATACCTTTAGTGCGTTGTTCAGCAGAGACCCTCTTTTTAGGAAGGAACCATCTTCCAACTGCCTGAGCGCCAGTGAAGTCTGAGCATCAGTGATATAATTTTGTTGCACGGGGATGTAGGGCGCCGCCTGAGTGAAACTCTTCAGCACAAAAGCTGTCAACCTACAAGATAGCCCAGAATGTAAGAGAGCTTTCATTTTTCTTTGCATCAACTCTTCTAGTGTGAAATCTTCTTCACAAGGGGGCCTTCTCTGGTCCACAAAGAATTGTTTCCTTCACACGGCATAAGGAAAACTATTCCCTGGAGGACCATCTTGGAAGATCTGACACCTTATTGAACAAATTAAATTTCTGATACGGATCTTTTTCAGGAGCCTTAGAAATGGCCTCTCTTGCCTTGGAACAACAACAACAACAACAACAACAACAACAACAACAACAACAACAACAACAATAATAATAATAATAATAATAATAATAATAATAATAATAATAATAATAATAAAAGTTGGAAGGGACCTTGGAGGTATCCTAGTCCAACCCCCTGCTCAGGCAGGAAACCCTATACCACTTCAGACAAATGTTTGTCCAATCTCTTCTTAAAAACTTCCAGCGTTGGAGCATTTACTGCTTCTGGAGGCAGGTTATTCCACTGGTTAATTGTTCTCACTGTCAGGAAGTTTCTCCTTAGTTCTAGGTTGCTTCTCTCCTTGAGTAGTTTCCATCCATTGCTTCTTGTCCTCCTTCAGGTGCTTTGGAGAATAGCTTGACTCCCTCTTCTTTGTGGCAGCCCCTGAGATATTGGAACACTGCTATCATGTCCCCCCTCGTCCTTCTCTTCGTTAAACTAGGCATACCCAATTCCAGCAACTGTTCCTTACATGTTTTAGCCTCCAGTCCCCTCATCAGCTTTATTGCTCTTCTCTGTACTCTTTCTAGAGTCTCAACAGCTTTTTTATATCATGGTGACCAAAACTGGATGCAATATTCCAAGTGTGGCCTTACCAAAGCGTTATATAGTGGTATTAACACTTCATGTGATCTTGATTCTACCCCTCTATTAATGCAGCCTAGCATTGTATTGGCTTTTTTGGCAGCTGCAGCACACTGCTGGCTCACATTTAAGTGATTGTCCACTAGGACTCTGAGATGTAATATGTAATAGTAGTAAAGTTGGAAGGGACCTTGGAGGTCATCTAGTCCAACCCCCTGCTCAGGCAGGAAAGCCTACATCATTTCGGACAAATGGCTGTCCAGTCTCTTCTTAAAAACTTCCAGTGTTGGAGCATTTGCTGCTTCTGGAGGCAGGCTGTTCCACTGATTATTTGTTCTCACTGTCAGGAAGTTTCTCCTTAGTTCTTGGTTGCTTCGCTCCTTGATTAGTTTCCACCCGTTGCTTCTTGTCCTGCCTTCAAGTGCTTTGGAAAATAGCTTAATTCCCTCTTCTTTATGGCAGCCCCTGAGATATTGGAATACTGCTATCATGTCCCCCCTTGTCCTTCTCTTCTTCTCTCCCTCACAGTTGCTACCATTGAGCAAGGGACCCCCTATAGTATACCTATGCATTTGGTTTTTCTTGCCTAAATGTAGAACCTTGCTTTTTTCACCATTGAATTTCATTTTGTTAGATAGAGCCCAGTGTTCAAGTCTGTCCAGGTCCTCCTGTATCTTAAGCCTGTCTTCTGGAGTGTTGGCTATTCCTGCCAGCTTGGTGTCGTCTGCAAATTTGATGAGTTCCCCATCTATCCCCTCATCAATATCATTGATGAAGATGTTGAAGAGCACTGGGCCCAGAACAGAGCCCTGGGGCATCTCACTACACACTTTCCTCCATATAGATGCGGTTCCATTGAGGGATATAATATAAAGGGATGAAATCAATGATCCTTCAGTCCTTGGGGGGGGGGGTTCCTTGACACTGGTGCCCTGACTGACACACTCTAAAACAATTATAATCAAGGTTTTTAAAACAATGCATATCCTGGTTCCCACCTGAGTCAAACCCATAAGGGTGATACGGCTTCAACCTATTTTGAAAAGTCGCCTCCTTACAAATGTTAACAGGGTATTTGAGCAATAAGCAGGTACTCACCCCTGCATTGTTGACTAGCAGAATCCCATTTCCATTGGATGTAACATGCTCAGAGGTCAGGCTTATCGACTGTAAGGTTTCCCAGATCTTCTGAGTATACATCTTACATTGTAAAAAGTTTTTTTGTGCATGCCTTGGTAGGGAGGGATAGGACACTCCCCCCCCAGCCCCACTCCCACATAGAGCTGCCAGCATTTTCCCCATTCACATAGTTATTGCACCTCTTATTTAGAATGTTTCATTTCCTCTAAAAAAAAATTAAAAGCTCCTTGAGCTGCATTCAGCTCCTGGTAACTTCACTTAGATGTCTCATATAATTATCTTGGAAACAATACAGGGACTCTTCACTTAAAGATGACTGGTTCAGCGACCTTTTGAAGTTACTATGGTGTGGAACAAGACTTATGATCTCAAAGCTGTGGTCAACACAACATTCCTGTGGTCATGTGATGGCCAAGTGCAATCTTCGTTGCTGGCTTCTAACAAGCAAAGTCAATGGGGAAGCCGGCGGGAAATCGCAAATCACAATCAGGTGATGTTGCACTTAAGGATTTGTTTAATGACTGCAACCACTCAACCAAGTCAATAAGGTCAGGTGATTTCCCCCCCTTAATGACTACACTACTGGGTGATGGAGTTGCTGGTCCCAATTACATTTACTGAGGATTACCTGTATGGAGGCTATCTGGCCATTACCTTGTTCCACAATGCTTTTTCGAATTTCCTACTTTAGCTCTCAGCCTTCTGATTTCCCTATTCCAAGTGCTACCAAGTGCTTTTAGCTTTTGTGGTTAGTGAGAAGGGGAGAGGAACAGCCACACTGAGCATTATTTTTTCATACAACAAAGAAATCTCACCAGGTATTTCCTTCTTTTGAGCTCCTTTCTCCAAAGGTGCTGTAGGAACCATCAGAATGTTTGTAGTTCAGTTGCCTTTGATAGCCTGAAGCAGAAGATGAACATGAGTGGTGGGGCAAAGAGGCATGCGCAAAACTCCTTTCAAATCCAACTCAATGAGCTTCTTCGACTTTCTAAGCCAATTTGATTCCAAAATGGGATTAAACCAGACAGGGCTGGTTGATAGCCAGAGATTCCCCCAAACTACAACTTAAGCATTAGCTGTTACCGCTTGCCGTTGTGCTTCTTTTCCCAATAAATAGCACTTCCCTATGAGAGTGTACAAATTTCAGAATAACTGTTGGATGCACTCCTTTCCAACTTGATCCATTTCTCCTTATAGTACTAATTTCTTCTCTGGCATTTGTCAGCTGCTATAGGATGACCCAAGGAGATGGTATTTGGTTGCCCCTCTTCTTCTGAACAGTTGAAGAGTTCCAATGTGACTCAGCCAATGAAACCTGACCTAATTTACAATGTCCTTAATCAATAAATATCTATGGAGATTCTCAGTCATCCAGGTCATAGTTGTCCCCAAAATGCCTTTTCATGAGGCAACTGGACTTTCTTGTTTTTCTTTGAAGACATTTCGCTTCTCATCCAAAAAGCTTCTTCAACTCTGACTGGATGGTGGGGAATGGAAGGATTTCAAAAACAGAAAAGTCCACATTTTGGACAGAGAGGACCGCTGGTTTGAAAGAGGGGTCAAAGAGGTCATCTATGCCAAACTGAACAGCCTTCTCTCAACAGAGGGGGAGGGATACGACATTGTGTATCTCCAGTCTACAACATGGTCCTTTCAGCAGTTCCAAGAAGGATCCACACCCATTTGCACTAATCAGGTGACCCTGAGGACACAGATAAACGTCCAGGTGGCTTCAACGACTCTCTAAAAGAAGGCAAATAACCAGCTGTCTGCAAGGAATATAAATCCTTCTACTCCCCACCATCTAGTCAGAGCTGAAAAAGCTTCTTGGATGAGAAGTGAAATGTCTTCAAAGAAAAACGAGAAAGTCCACTTGCCTTGTGAAAAAGCATCTTTGGGATCCTTAATCAATAAAAGTAAAGGTTTCTCCTGCCCAATCACGTCTGACTCTAGAGCAGTGGTTCTCAAATAGTGGGGCGAGGCTCCGTAAAGGGGGGCTCGTTTGACCTCGGCAAATACTGTCATATTGGATGCACGTGACACACGCAAAGGACCCGATTGGATAGACAGTCACGCGGGGGGGGGGCGCGAAATGTTTTCTTCTTCCTAGGGGGGCATGACAGAAAATAATTGAGAACCACTGCTCTAGAGGATGGTGCTGACTTCCATTTTCTAGTCAAGGAAGGCAGCATTGTCTGAAGATACCTCCATGCTCATGTGGCTAGCATGACTATATACTGAGGCGCACTGAACACTGTTACCTCCCCGGTGAAGTACTACCTATTTATCTATTCACATTTGTATGCTTAAAACTGCTAAGCCAGCAGGATAAGATAAGATAACCTTTATTATGATTTTTTTTTACTGTGGGCACACTGGAATACATTAAAAATGAAATTCTGTTGCCTGCTCTCAGAAGTGTATACATACATAGCATACATATAAACATGCTATATATTCATACATATGTATGAATATATAGCATGCTCCTAGAAGCACGAAGCCGAAAACACCAGCCTGAAGATGACGAATGAGACTTCGTCGAAACGTCACCAAGACACTTCCAATTTCACGCGGGAGAAAACCCGAATGACCAAAGACCTACATATATATGTATATATCTACACCCTTACATATAAATACTTATAAATATTAATCACTGTCCATCTTAAATATATAGTGGAAAGAAGAAGCTTGAGAGTTCACAAGGTTGATGCAATATGGAACAAAACTGTGATTGAATCTGGATGTTCTGCTTCAGATATCATGAAGCCCCCTCCCAAAAGGTAACAAGGAAAATAGGTCGTGAAGAGAATATGTAGTGTCCCAGACAATCCTACAGACCCCCGCTCAAGCAATGTCCTGGATGGAAGGGAGGGAACTACCAATAATCTTTTCTGCCATCCTCACCACTCTCTGTCACCACCTTCCTGTCTGAAGCAATAATGCTTCCAAACCAGACAGTAATGCAATATGACAGGATGTTCTCGATCGACCCTATGTAGAAAGTGGTAAGGAAGATGTGCTTTTCTCATGCGATGCAGAAAATGCCCGCTTCGCCGGTGCCTCACTGTTGTGCAACCAGGCCAGCCTACTCGTTAGCTGCACACCCAGAAATCTGATGCTATTAACTATATCCACAATGAATCATTAATACACAGAGGAGTGTGGCTGTGCCTTCCTTTTCTGACATCTGGGGCAAAACCAGGAGCTCATTTCATCACCTGTTACTTGGGTTTTGAACTACCAGCCTACCGATTGACAAGCCCAGAGGCTTAACCACTAGGCCACTGCACCCCTTCCTTAATAAATACCAGTGGCCAATCTGTGGATCAAGCCTTTAGAAATTCCCAATCTCAGTAAGAAAACAAGGAGGGGAGAATTCATGTGGGACTGACCTGGGATGCTTCTCACCTGCCTGTAAGTATCCGATGGCCTTGGATTTGATCTCCTCGGTCAGTTGTCCAGTCTTATTGAGGTAGTTCAGGATGTAGATATTGGGGGCAAAGAGGGCCATGTTCTGCTCCCCACAGCCATAAGGCATCTTGAGAAGCTGATGGAGGTTCTGTATCGCTCCCCCAAGAATGTCTCCTGCAGTAGGGAAAGAGGTAGGTGGAAAATAGGGGTAATTAGAAGATTTTGGAATGGGTGTGTTGCAGGTTGGCAAGCTCAAGTCCAGAACTTCTGAAGAAGAGACAGATGATTCTGGAAAAAAAATGACAGTGTAAAACTGTAGTAGAATTTACATTTAGGAGGATGCCTGGGTGTGTTTCTGGCCATTCCCAGAGCAGATATAATTTAAATCAGGAGTCTCCAACCTGTGGGTCGCGACCCACTACCAGGCCGTGGCCTAATCACCACTGGGCCATGTGAGTGGCTAGCTGATGCACAAGCAGTGCCACATTAGGGGTGTTCATGGCCCCACTTGCACGAGCGTCATCGGGGGTGTTCGTGAGCCCACTCATGGGAGTGTCGAGGACGGTTATGGCCCCACTCGTGCAAGCCTCGTGGACGTTCATGGCCTCACTCATACAAGCATCATCATGGGCACTTGCGGCCCCATTAGAGCATTGCCGTGAATACTGCAGGTGCTCATGCACCCCCAACACAAAATCACCCCCCTTCCCCCCACCAATTTGAAAAGGTTGAGGAAACTGTGGTTTAAATGATGTTGCTGATGTTGCTTGTGGAGAATTGGCCAAAGAGCCTAAGCCTGACCTTGTGAGAGCTTGTGTTGCTCATCTCTAAATGACCCAAACTGAGAATTCCAGGTAGAATGGTTTTAATCCAGTTCAGCAATCTGTCCAACAATGGCTAAAGAAGCAGAGTGTGATAACCCCTGATATTTTAATCAGCAAAGTTTTACTGTGTAGAATAACAGATTAACAGAATCGGAGGAGATCTCAGAGGTCTTCTAGTCCAACCTCCTGCTCAAGCAGGAGACTCTATACCAGTGGTGGCAAACCTATGGCATGCGTGCCAGAGACGGCACTCAGAGCCCTCTTGTGGGCATGCGCGCCATGCCCTGGAGATGGCAACCATCCCTCTTCAATCAGCTTCCTGCTAACTCACTGAAGTCCCACGTGGCTGGATGCATCCCAGCACGGCTGGTTTCCCTCCCCCCCATCCCACCCCTCCTGGCTTCGCATGCTCTCCTTTTCCCGGGCACAATCCACTGCATTGCCTCTTCAGCTGTCGGCTGGCCGTCCAGCTCAGAGGCAGCTTGTCTGAACTGCTGGTGGCAAGCTGTGGAGCTGCTGACAGACACTGTTGGCCCCCATACACTCGCTGGCCTCTGTGGGGGGGGGGCTGATGGTGTCAGGCGCAGCCACCCTGGCCCCTTCCTCGCCTTGCCCTGCGACAATGGCATCCCTGCCCTGCCTCGCCTTACCTCACTCACCCCGGAGGGTAAGCTTCCTGCCCAATGCCCCACCTGCCAGAGACCCCCTGGATCTCCCCAACCCTGCCCGGCCCCCACAGATGTCCCTCTCCACGATGAACATCGAGGTAACCATGTCCACCTTGGCCACACCCATCCAATCTGCCATGACCACCACAGCCATGCCCACCCAATGGGCCATGCCCACCTGGCACCCGGTGATAAATAAGTGGATTTTGGGTTGCAGTTTGGGCACTTGGTCTCTAAAAGGTTCACCATCACTGCCCTATATCATTTCAGACAAGTGGCAGTCCAGTCTGTTCTTAAATATCTCTGGTGATGCAGCACCCACAACCTCTGGAGGCAAAATCATCCCACTAGTAAAACTACAAAGAAAAGCTTTGATTTCAGAATAATTTCTTCACACTGTCAGCTGCCAGCAGCCAGAGGAACAGGCTGCCACATGAAGTAGCAAGTTCTGCTTCATTGGGGAAGATCTTCAAACAGAGGCTGTCAGAAATGCTGAACTAAAGTGGCACTAAATCACGGGTGCCAAACTCACCACATTGTGTGATGTGTCGCAACATATTGCGACTTTTTTTGCATTGCCAGAGCTGGGCTGGGCACAGCCTCCGTATGATGCAACCGGCCCACGGGCTGGCAGTTTGACACCCCTGCACTAAATGATCTGTAAGATCCCTTTTGATTTAATAAGGCAGGTGATACTGAGGAGAAGAGGCAGAAGAGGTAGAAGCATGACTTCTGCAACACAAAAAGTAGATTAGAGCAGGGGTGTCAAACTCAATTTCATTGAGGGCCGCATCAGCATTGTGGTTGCCCTTGGGGGGGCAGGTGGGTGTGGCCAGGGTGGGTGCGGCCTACTGGGTGGGTGTGAATGGAGTGGGTGTGGCCTACTGGGTGGTGTGGCCAGCTCTACATTGTTTGCGTCAAGGGTGCCTGTGGTGGCCTGGGCAGGAGTGGGACAGATCTGAGGGTCTCTGGCAGAAGGGGGTGGGACCGGGGCAAGTGCCAAGGCATGGTGCATTTCTTCATTCCTCACAAAGGGTGACACCTCCCTAACATGCACCCAGGGGGCGGGGCCAACACGGCAGGTGCTGGTTCCTCGCTGTTTCTGGACGGCCTTGTGGAGCTAAGACTGATTGCATTTCAGCATAGATGGCCACCACAATATTGTACATCGGCTCCCAGCTGGCCTGGACTAGGGCCAAGGCAGCAGGGGCTGTTCCCTCACTGTTTCCAGGATGGCTTCGTGGGCCACATGAAACCACTTCACAGGCCGCATTCGGCCCCCGGGCCTTGTGTTTGACATGTCTGGATTAGAAGAAAAAAAAGAGAAGGGAGGGGGAGAGTGAGGAAGAGGGTTCTATACTTACCAAGTACACAAAAGGTCGCCCTGGCAGAGCCTTCCACAACATTTTCTGGCACCCTCAAAGATATTGGTTCTGACTGTACATCTCCTGGAAGAAAAGAGAACTTAGATGGATTTGGCTGCCTTACAGGGTTTCTATCTTCTCTGGGATATCCAGAACAAAAAGGGATACAATATAGGAAGCCCTGTTCTGCAATGACACCATTGCACAAGCCCCTCCTTTACATTTCTGCATTGTGATGCCATTATGGAGCGGAGCATGTGTTGTGACATCAGCACCATCTTCGGTTGCCACAAAAGGACAGCCGGACATTGACTGCCAGTAAAAAAAAACAAGCCAGCCAGCTCCGTTGACATGTTTTCTGAGGTAATTGCCAATTACTGGCTGAGAGCAGATCAATTGCAATCTGCTTCTGACTTGATTTCTGCTGGCCAGATACATATAAAGTGTCTTCTTTTTGTATCTGCTGCTTGGTTTTATTTTATTTTATAAAAATGGGGAATCAAATCATATCCTTTGTCTTTATTGGGTATAATGTAGACATATATATATATTCTAGCCAGTCTCTTTAGCATGTGAGAAGAGAGAGGTGGAAAGTTCTAGAATCTCTAGCGCAGTGATGGTGAACCTTTTAGAGACCGAGTGCCCAAAAACTGGTCCCGCCCCCGCTCCACCAACTGCCCTGCCCCCGCTCTGTCCCCCATCTCCTGCCCCGCCTGCCCACAGGACCACTCACCCCCTCAGAGCCCGCCGCAGATCACCCAGGCCGCCCAGCAGCGCTATGGCAGCCACACCCTCTGACCACACCCTGCAGCATCAACTGCATGATGGGGCGTGAGGGCAGTCTTGTCTACGCTGCCTGGCTGCCATGTCCTTGGCTGCACTGCTCCGTGTTGGCCACACTCAAGGACAACTCTCCTTCAGGGGGGCTGCTGGAGAGGAGGTCGTGGGGGGAGGCAAGGCTGGGGCAACGGCACATGTGCCCACAGAGAGGGCTCCGAGTGCCGCCTCTGGCATCCGTGCCATAGGTTCGCCACCACTGCCCTAAATTAAAAGTGGACCCATTACTTGGTCCTCTGATTTCAATTTCAAGCATTTCCTCCTGCTGTCAAATACACCAAATTTTGATTTTGTCCTACAAATGCTTCCCCACCACCCAGCAGGTTACTTAGAATACAGAATAGCAGAGTTGGAAGGGACCTTTCCACTTCCATATCCATTTCCACAAGTGGAAGGCAAGTGTGCCCACCTCTCACACAAATGGAGCTATGCATGCACACACACTTGCCTGCCGCTTTCACAGCCCGATTACAAATGAGCCATGGAACAGTACTGACCACAGCTCCTCCCCCCCCCCAGTTGGGGTTGGGGACCCTTGTTCTAGTTCAGCTAGAGAAGTCAGTTTCTTTAAGCCAGCTGTAAAAGGTAAAATGGACACCTTAACTAACTATAAAGTTTATACAGCTGGCTTAAAGAAACTTAAAAATACCTCCATGTTACCAGAAAGGGGAGTACATTTTTGGCCCTCTGCTCTAAAACAAATCATCCTCATCCATTTAATGCTGTGACGGGGAAGAAACATTGTGAAGAAGCAGCCATACCATCAGAACAGAGAAGTGAATTGAAGACTACCTCTTTCTCAATCCCTTCAGGCTTCACCAGGACAGACAGAAAAGAAGAACAAAGGAAAAGTTAGTGTTGAACATTGGAAACTAAACAAAAAACATAAAACAAAACCCAGTCTGCATAAATCTACGCAAATGCAACTGCCATTGCTAAAGATTAAGTTATTTAAATGATAGGGAGCAGCTCCATGTCATTTTTAGTCTTTCTTCTTTGTTTCCATCATTTTTCTTGGGCAAAGAGCTAAACAAAGGAACCACTGCTGATGAAATCTGAGTAAGTTATATAATAATCTAGGACAGATGTGCTATTGATTTGATTTTTATTCTGTAGACCAGTGTTTCTCAACCTTGGCTGCTTTACACCGTGTGGGCTTCAAGTCCCAGAACTCCTTAGTCAATCTTGCTACACTGCATGCTGCCTGGGGAATTCTGGGAAGCTTCCCCCGTCTTAAAGTTGCCAAGATTGAGAAACATCAAGTAGGTTAATTATTACTAGGGGTTGAGAAGAAACAGAGAGTGATAACTCTAGGAAAGCGAAAATCATTGAATGGAAAGATGGACTGGTGACCCAAGTTAATTTTCAGCATAAATGGACCAGCTAAAAATTGACTTAATGCGTTTGGAAACAAGAACATGGTTTTTTGTGCTTTTTTTTTTTTTTGCATGATTCTTCACCACATCCAGTCCACGATTAAATCATCTCACTTACCTCAACTAAAAGTGTTTTGATCACAACATCTTTTCGCTGCATGCTGGGCACCTCCACTATTTCATTCCCACAGAGCTGATCTGAGCTCACGGCCTCAGCACTGGCTGTGAAATTCACTTTGCCTAGGACCAAAAATAAACACAAATATGCCATATAAGCAGTTCTCGAGTTGAGGATGCTTTACTTAAGACCACCCCTAGATCTGAACAGTCTCCCTATTATTAAAAATGGTGGAGAGCATTCTCCTTTCTTGAGCTGATTAAGCACTGAAGGTATGCGGTCTTAATATACAGCCAGTTTTCAATAGATCCTGAGAGCATTGCGAGTCGTCAGCACTTCAACGTTTTTGAAGAAGAACAGTGCCGTCTGCCATTTTTAGGAATAGATAGTCCATTTGTAAGCACAGGTTCCAACTTAAACACAATTTGGGTCAGACACTGATTTATAGAATGGAATTCTGTAAATTACAGTGATTTTCCACCTTAAATAATTCCCCATTGTATATAAGAATATACCAAAGGGTCTGATAAGGTTATGTCTAGCCCAGGGGTGGGCAACCTTGGCTCTTTTATGACTCGTGGACTTCAACTCCCAGAATTCCTGAGCCAACCATACTGAGGGGAAAGGGAGAGGTTTCCAAGCTGAGCCATGCTGGCTCAGGAATTCTGGGAGTTGAAGTCCACGAGTCATAAAAGAGCCATGGTTGCCTACCTCTGTCCTAGAGGAACATATGAAAGCATAATTAATGTTAATTAATGTAGACTTTATTAGTTTAGAGCAGGAGTAGGCAACCTTGGCTTTTTTATGACTCGTGGACTTCAACTCCCAGAATTCCTGAGCCAACCATGCTGAGGGGAAAGGGAGAGGTTTCCAAGCTGAGCCACGCTGGCTCAGGAATTCTGGGAGTTGAAGTCCACGAGTCATAAGAGAGCCAAGGTTGCCTACCCCTGGGCTAGCCTTTTGAATATTATCTCTTTGTACATCACTTCTTTAGGGAGTTTGTTAAGATATTTAAACTGAGTAGCAGAAACAGTAGGGTTGTACAATGAGCCAGAACACACAGTTGTAGTTGATTGGTTGAAGAGTGCGGGATCCTGCCTGAGGCAATCTGCGCTGCGATTGGTTGCTATGGGTGTTGAGGGGAGTTTCCCTTTTCTCCCGCCTTTTTCTTCTGTTTGCTCTGTGATTTACCTCATGATGCTCCTGTTTGCCTGACTATCTTACTTGGTGTAGAATGTAAATATATTTATTTAGATAAACCTAAAGTTCGGGTCAACATCTCTGACTCCATTTGTGACACCAGTTACACAATTCCCTGACATATTTTCACACAACCTTCTTACCGAAAGACTTCTTCACCTGGCCAGCTGATAATCCTAGCAGAACTGGGAACTGGCAACACAACCATGAGTTAAGAGAAATGACGACAGATCATTTTAAGAAACTATTTTATCCGATGCACTTCTTCCAGTTCTACTTGGTATACCATGAGCTTTTGAGTCATCAAAGCACTTTTCCTATTGGTCAGGCAGCACTCATGGGCAAGGCTTGAGTACCCTAGTTCACTGGTGGCGAACCTATAGCACATGTGCCAGAGGCAGCACTCAAGAGCCCTCTCTGTGGGCACGCGCGCCACCGCCAGCAGCTCATGCAGGTCCATTAAGCCACTGCCGCCACCCGGAACAGCAGCTCCCCCAGCACAAAGGAGGTGAAGCAAACTCGAGTAGAGGTGGTAGAGCATGCCCAGTAAGCCAAAGACCACCCCGAGTGGGGAAAGCCGGATCCCCATTGGTGTCATGGCCGTCCAGGCCCAGCAGAGATGGGGGGCAGGCATGCAATCCTAGCTGGGACTGGGGAGCCATGACGCCGATGTGGCTTACCCCGCTTGGGGTGGCATTTGGCTTGCTGGCGTGGGTGTGCTCTACCACCTGGGCGTGCTCTACTGAAGCTTGCTAGTCGGCCGCTTTGCTTCCCTTTGTGCTGGGCAGGACTGCTGCTCCAGGTGGCGGCGGTGGCATAATGCACCTGCGCAAGCCTTTAATTACCTTAGTTGCTCTTCTTTGCACTTTTTCCAAAGTCTCAACATCTTTTTTGTTACGTGGTGACCAAAACTGGATGCAATATTCCAGGTGTGGCCCTACTAAGGATTTATAAAGCGGAACTAGTACTTCACATGATTTTTTTTTCTATGCCTCTGTTTATACAACCCAGGATTGTATTAGCTTTTTTGGCTGCTGCCACACACTGCTGGCTCATGTTTAAGTGATTGTCCACTAGGACTCCAAGGTCCCTCTCACAGTTACTGTTTGTTGAGCCAGGTTTTGCCTAATCTGTACTTGTACTTTTGGCTTTTCTTGACTAAGTGTAAAACCTTGCTTTTTTCCACATTAAATTTCATGTTGCTGAGTAGGGCCCACTGTTCAAGTCTGTCAAGATCTTTTTAGATCCTGAACTTGTCTTCTGGGGTGTCAGCTATTCCTGCCAGCTTAGTGTCATTGGTTTGAATTGTTGGATAGTTGAATTGCTGTAACAACCTTGAACCTTGAGCTGAGGTGGCGCAGCAGTTAGAGTGCAGTACTGCAGGCCACTCTAGCTGACTGTGTTCAGCAGGTCAGCGGTTCAAATCTCACCAGCTCAAGGTTGACTCAGCCTTCCATCCTTCCGGGGTAGGTAAAATGAGGACCCAGATTGTTGGGGGCAATGTAAATATATATATACATTGCTTACTGGTGTACACCGCTTAGAGAGTGCTTCCACTTAAAGCGGTATATAAGTCTCATAAATAAATAAATAAACCTTCTCTGATTTTGTTAAATGTGTTACCTCAATTTCATCTCAATTTCAAGTAGGTAGTCTATCCAAGAATGGCTGTTCAGCCCCAATTTCACATAAAACTGTTTTTTTAAAAAAAAATGACTAAAAACTGATTGTACACCACCACGAATCTTGAAGGTTCTGTGGCATGCAAGTTTAAACTACAATCATCACCACCATCGTCCCCATCCTCTGTCTCAGTTTTACCACAAGAGATAAGATGATGAAAACATTGAAACTTCTCTTGGTCCAGGAAGTTGGAAATCATCTTCTATCAAGATGAAAACGGCTCCTCTTCCACTCAGCCCCCAACCCTAACTGACTAGTTCAATTTTGTTTATACCTCATTTTTATTACTTTTATAAATAATTCAAGGCAATGAACCTTGAACTACCTACCAAGTGATTTGGGGGTCACCATCCAGGATACCGTTCTCCTCCCATTTGCACAAATGCAGTAAGATTCTTGCTGTTTGTCCATAGCGGTTGCCTCAAAGTCAGCAGAAGGAGCTAGAGATATTGTGACCTGGCCATAAATAATAAGATGACAGTGAGAAAGCTCTGTCCTCCAGGGAAGGAATTCATAAAAGGGGGAGGAAAAACAAGGTGGGCTTCAGTAGATAAGAAGTAAAGTTTTAGAGACACAGAGAGTTTCAGACAGAAAAGGCTAGATTTGCCTTGTGAGTTTTAGACCAATGCTTGTCCAATCTCCTTTAAAAAAAAAAAAACTCCAATGTGGGAGAATCCACAGCTCCTGGAGGCTTGAATAATTATAATAGCCTAAAAACAGCATGTGACAACTGGGAGCATTATCATTCTTTGAAATAATAGCAGAAGATAATAACAGAGTTGGAAAGGACCTGGTCCAACCCCCTGTTCAAGCAGGAGACCCTATACCAGGGTGGCGAAACTTTTACAGACCGAGTGCCTAAAGTGCAACCCAAAACCCACATGTATCCTCGGGTGCCGGGTGGGCATGGACCACTGGGTGGGCGTGGCTGCGGGTGGGCATGGACCACTGGGTGGGTGTGGCTGCTGTGGTAATGTAGACTTATGTATCATCGGGTACCAGGTGGGCATGGCCCATTGGGTGGGTGTGGCCAACTGGGTGGGCATGGACCACTGGGTAGGCGTGGCTGCAGTGGTAACGTAGACTGGGTGGGACTAAAAAGTTCAATCAATCAATTCCAACTTTGCGAGTTGGATCCACAAGTCAGAAAAGAGCCAAAGTTGCCTACCCCTGCCCTATACCATTCTAGACAAATGGCTATTCAGTTTCTTCTTAGCAACCTCCAATGATGGAGCACCCACAATTTCAGACAAGTGGTTGGTCCAATCTCTTCTTAGAAACCTTCCAGTGATGGAGTGCCCACAACATCGCAACCCACAACTGTCAAGGACTCCTTACCTGGATGCAGTGAGTCTGGTAGGAGAAGACTGTAGCCTTGAGTGGGAAGGCTTCTCCTCGCACCACGGAATAGGGCAAGGTGAGGTCAATGAAGAATGGCTGAAAGGCCTTCAGAGAAGTGGGCTGGGCCAGGCCAAAGCCGGTGTCTGCTGAAAGACAGAAAGCTCCAGCTTTCCATTCGGTGATGGTGTCCGGGATGGTGACAGGAAGAGACACGTTTTTAGAATCCCTGAAGGACAGAAGAGATCAGCAAGTGAGGAGAAGGGATTCCAAAATCCTGGCACCGAGGAAACCAATGGAGGGACAATACATAGCATCTCAGTTACAGATAATCCATAATTAACAACAGCAATGGGACCGCAATTTCCACCGCTAAGCCACGTGGTTTTAAAGCAAAATGTCATGTCGGTGAAAGCAGTTCTGGTTGCCATCATTACGTGGATCCCATGCTATTTGTTAAGCGTGATATAACGTGCTCACCACTTGCATCCTCCTGCTGGCTTCTCTGTTGAATACATGATAGCGTGTGTTCATGCTATCTATCCCACGTGATACCCTACATGATCCCAATTTTCCAATATCGAAGGAGTTACCACAAAGAAGAGGAGGACAACTCGTTCGCCAAAGAGCCTGAAAGCAGAACAAGAACCAATGGTTGGAAACTAATCAAGGACAGGGCCGATCTAGAAAGAAGGAGAAATTTCCGGACAGCTAGAACAATTAATCAATGGAACTTCTTCAGAAGGTATGGGTTTTTAAGAAGAGATTGGAAAAACTATCTGTCTGAAATGGGTACAGGGTCTCCTGTTTGAGCAGGGGGGGGACTAAAAGACCTCCAAGGTCCCTTCCAACTCTATCATTCTGTTATTGATTATCGTTATAAGAAGCCAGGTTATAAAAAAGGTTACAAATGACGGTGGCACCCTGTGATGTCAGAACTGCGAGCCAGGTGCCAAGCATCTGAACTGCGATCATGTGCCTGTGGGGACACTGAGACAGCCAAAACGTTGAGGACATGTCATAAGTAACAGTCATTCAGCATGGTCCTATGTTTAAACTGAGCTGAGGTGGCGCAGCAGTTAGAGTGCAGTACTGCAGGCCACTTTAGCTGACTGTGTTCAGCAGGTCAGCGGTTCAAATCTCACCGGCTCAAGGTTGACTCAGCCTTCCATCCTTCCGAGGTAGGTAAAATGAGGACCCAGATTGTTGGGGGGCAATGTAAATATATATATACATTGCTTACTGGTGTACACCGCTTAGAGAGTGCTTGCACTTAAAGCGGTATATAAGTCTCATAAATAAATAAATAAATAAACAAACAACCACTGAATGAGGGATCATTAAACAAGAACCACTTGCCTTTGCACTGTACTTTCAAATAAGTTTCTGAAATCATTTGGGGATTTTTATTTTCTTTTTGAATCAGAACAGGGCGGGAAGGGACCTTGGAGGTCTTCTAGTCGAACCCTCTGCTCAAGCAGGAGGCCTTATACTCTTTCAGACAAATGGGCATCCAATCTCTTCCTCAAAACCTCCAGTGATAGAGACCCCACAACTTCTGAAGGCAAAGCTGTTCCACTGGTTAATTGTCCTCGCTGTTAGGAAGTTTCTCCTTAATTCCAGGTTGCTTCTCTCCTTGATTCGTTTCCATCCATTGAAACGGTTCCTGCAACCGCTCTTCATGTGTTTTAGTCTCCAGGCCTTTAATCATCTTAGTTGCTCTTCTTAATTGCTCTTCTTCTTCTAAAGCAACTCCTATTCCTTTGGCCTCCCAAAAAGGATAAAAATTTAAGAACTGAAGCAAATGGGATTCATGGAATTGTTTGTGTGGAGGAAACTGCACCCAATGGGAACCTCGGTGAGAGAATGAAAAAAAAGTCAAGATATCTAAGATTGGGGGGAGTGGGAATCAAATCCGCACCCATTTATTGCCAATTTTAAAAGGGGCGGGGCTTTCAGTTCCCATGGATGCAGCTGAAAGTAAGAGACGATGCAAGGGAGCGAAATTAATTTAGTTAGGACTTGAATATGGGAGCATCATTTTGCACTTTTAATCAACACACAACCCAAAGGTTTGTTACCATTTAACCTCTTCAGTTCTCTGTAGTTTGCAAGGTGGCTTTCTAACAACAAAAACAACATACAGTAATGAAAATTCAATTCAAAAGGTTCATGAAATCAATGTCATAATTAAACTGTTGACTCCAACCCCCTGAAAAATGGAGGCGTTCAATATTAAAACGTCTCTGACATCTCCTTGAAAGAAATCCCATAAGAGGAACTCATCGTATCTCAGGATCAGTAATTTCTGTAGCCCCTGTTTGTGTCACTACTCTTGCCAAAATGAACAGAGCATCCTTGAAGTCTTTAAAGAACCATAAAGACAACCTTTGGACTATAAGAAAGACTGAGCGCCAAAGAATTGAGGTCTTTGAACTATGGTGCTGGAGAAGACTCCTGCAAGTCCCCTGGACTGCAAGGCGATCAAACCGGTCAGTCCTAGAGGAGATCAACCCCGACTGCTCTTTAGAAGGCCAGATCCTGAAGTTGAAACTCAAGTACTTTGGCCACCTAATGAGAAGGAAGGACTCCCTGGAGAAGAGCCTAATGCTGGGAAAGATTGAGGGCAATAGAAGAAGGGGACGACAGAGAATGAGGTGGCTGGATGGAGTCATTGAAGCAGTAGGCGTGTGCTCAAATGGACTCCAGAAGATGGTAGAGGATAGGAGGCCTGGAGGAACGTTGTCCATGGGGTCATGATGGTTCGGACATGACTTCGCCACTAACAACAACAAAGGACAACCTTGGAAGAAGCCATCCAGAAGCCATTAAGTAGCTAGAAAATTATTAGACTCAAATCAAGATGTTTTTTTCACGAGGCAACTGGACTTTCTTGTTTTCCTTTGAAGACATTTCCCTTCTCATTCAAGAGGTTTCTTCAGCTCTGGGCTGAAAGAAGCTTCTTGGATGAGAAACAAAATGTCTTCAAAGAAAAACAAGAAAGTCCAGTTGCCTCATGAAAAAGCATCTTTGGGACAACTATGACCTGAATGACTGAAAATCTCTATAGATTTATTAGACTATCTTCCTCCAAATACCATGGCGTATAAAAAGGGAGGGAAGTAAAAACGCAGGAGGCTTGCAAGATTCTGTTACCATATAGACCAGGCACGTCAAACTCGTGATGTCACGTGACATCGCGTGACGTATCTGAGTTTTTTGCAAATTGCCGGCAATGGGGTGGGCGCGGTTTCGTTGTGACACGTCTGGCCCGCGGGCCGGCAGTTTGACACTCCTGATATAGACTATTTCAATTTCGATTAAATTAAATTATTAAACTTTTTAATGTTTAATATTTTAGTTTTCAAGTTTTAAATAACTCCAATTTCCTTTATCACAATTCATCCCAAGATCTTACATCAGCTTATTAATAATACGATATAATATTCTTATTTTCTAATAATTTCCAAATATCTAAATTTAATAACCAAATTTTTTATCATTTAATACTTCCTCTTTTTTCTCTCAAAACCTACCAGGACATTGATTGTCTAAAAAGATTGAATGTTAAAATGACTAAGATATGTATAAACTAAAAATTATTGAAAAATGTAAAAAAGTTATTTGTATTAAATTGATATAATAAGAATTGTATTAATTTAAATGTGAGACAGTAAATGCCAAGGGAAAAAGAGAGGAAATATTTAACGTACTAGCTAGTGAGATGTACTAAGGAAATTTGTATATTATTGAATTATGAACCAACCCAGCTGCCACGTTGCTTTTCAAATATTTAAATGGAAAACTGGAAAAATCAATAAAAAATTAAATTATTAAACTTGTTACAGCCAAGGGAACCCGTTGGAGTTTCTTTCTAATATTTTCCACCTCCCTGAACTCAACATAAGCATCTACACCTGAGACTGTCTTAAGAGCTTCTGGCTGACGTCTCCAAGGTTGTCACAACATACCGGAGAAAAGGGTGTGGCTTATACCACATCACCACGATGCTGCAAAGAACCTGCAGGTTGGGGTGATTTAGCTTAAACCAGCGGTTCTCAACCTGTGGGTCAGGACCCCATTTGGGGTCGAACGACTATTTCATGGGGGTCGCCAAACAACGCAGTCCGCCATTTTTTTCCCTCTTTTCCTTAGCTGTGCTACTCCCTTTTATTCTATTGGCTTTTGAAAGCCAATAGAATAGACTCTCTTGAATAGAGTCTAATTCTATTGGCTTTCAAAAGCAATAGGAATTGTCCAGGCTGTCTCTGCCCTGCTGAGCCCGCCAAAAGTCCCATTCTGCAAACGGTGCTGCAAGTTGTCTGCAGCGAAGGCAAGCTGTCTGGAAGTTTCCACCCCTCCCTGCTGAGCAACTACTAAAAATGTAAGTAAAAGAGGGCCAGGGGTGAAGGCCAGTGGGTGCAGGGAGGATTTCTGGCGCGTGTGGGGCCTGGCGGGTGCCTTACCTCCCTTGGGCTGGGCCAGCTGGTGGCCCAGCTGGTGGTCGGCCTGCTCCATCTCTACCGCTTGCCAGCTACGCCTCGGCCGGCACAGGGGGCAGCACCACGCATGCGTGGCGCTCCTGGGCAGGGAAAGTCCTCGTAGTCCTTGACTTACGAGCGGTTGGGTAGTCCTCAACTTACAACCAGTTGGGGTCACGGCATTAAAAAGGTTGAGAACCACTGGCTTAACAGATAGCCGGCAGCAGATAAGGGAATATTTTCTGAGAAGCTTTATCAATGAATGGCCTGCTTTTTGCAGCCTGGCATCACCACTTACTCTATTATCACCAAATCCCATAGCCAGGTTTCAGGGAACTCCAATCTGATAGTCTCAACAGGCGTAATTTCAGTGGCAGAGGTCCTGATCATGGGAGAACTAGATGAGCGGTAAGCAATTGGAGAAGCCATCGGTCCTATGGCACCTGCCAATGGTACAGGGGCAAAATCTAGAGGGAAAGAATATGAGAGAATTTACATGCATTCCATCTTATTTGTAAGTAGCCTCTGTAGACCTGATCTGCAGGAACTCATCGCATCTCCTTGAAAACCATACAAATGAGTGCCCGTCACCCCAACTTTCCTGGAGATGAGTTCTACAAATTCATGCTGGAGAACTTTTGAAAAGAAGGCTAGGGGGGGGGGTGACATGATACCGTGTTTCCAGTGTGGGATTCAGCCGATTCTCACCAGTTCAGCAGAACCAGTAGCTAAATTTTGCTGCATTCAGAGAACCTGCCTCCAGAAGCAGTGAATGCTCCAACACTGGAAGTTTTCAAGAAGAGACTGGATGGCCATTTGCCTTCAGGCACTTTGGAGAATAGCTTGACTCCCTCTTCTTTGTGGCAGCCTCTGAGATATTGGAACTCTGCTATCATGTCCCCCCTCGTCCTTCTCTTCATTAAACTAGACATACCCAATTCCAGCAGTGGTTCCTTATATGCTTTAGCCTTCAGTCCCCTAATCATCTTTGTTGCTCTTCTCTGTACTCTTTCTAGAGTCTCAACATCTTTTTTACATCATGGTGACCAAAACTGGATGCAGTATTCCAGGTGTGGCCTTACTAAGGCATTGTAAAGTGGTATTAATACTTCATGTGATCTTGATTCTTTCCCTCTGTTAATGCAGCCCAGCACTGTGTTGGCCTTCTTGGCAACTGCAGCACACTGCTGGCTCATATTTAAGTGATTGTCCACTAGGACTCTGAGTTCCCTCTCAGTTACTACTATTGAGCAAGATACCCCCTATACTATACCTGTAGATTTGGTTTTTCTTGCCTAAATGTAGAGCCTTACTTTTTTCACCATTGAATTTCATTTTGTTAGATAGTGCCCAGTGTTCAAGCGTGTCCAGATCCTTCTGTATCCTAAGCCTGTCTTCTGGAGTGTTGGCTATTCCTGCCAGCTTGGTGTCATCTGTGAATTTGATGATTTCCCCATCTATCCCCTCGTCCAGATCGTTGATGAACATGTTGAAGAGCACTGGTACCCAGAACAGAGCCCTGGGGCACCCCATTACACACTTCCCTCCATGTAGATGCGGTTCCATTGAGGACCACATGCTGAGTACGGCCGTTCAGCCAGCTACAGATGCATCTGGTGATGATGCTGCGTGTTTTCACCACTGCGTGTTTTCCCAAAAGTAAGGTGTACCCCAAAAATAAGCCCTAGCTTGATTTTGGGAGGGTGGGCCTAATATAAGCCCTACCCAAAAAATAAGCCCTAGTTTTGGGGTGAGGCACACACCTAAAAATCAAGCTATGGCAGGGGTAGGGGTGTGGATCTGCCCCTTGTGCTCCGCACTCACTTACTTTGCAGCCAGGCCTCTCCTCACCAGCCCACTTCTTCTGCAGCCAGGCCTGTATTTCTCAGTCAGAGGCCTTTCTGGAAGGCCTCTGTAGCCAAGAACTGAGGTATGGATTCAATCCATAGCTTGGTTCTGCAAGACTATATGGCTGAGGACCGAAGTATGGATTGACTCCATAGCTTGGTACTCAGGCGCATAGGCCTTTTGGAAAGGCCTGATTGCAAAATGCAGGCCCAAATACAGCTGCAGAACCTCAGCCCCAGACGAAGTGGACCTGCTGGGCAGGGCTGTCTGTGCTGGAGGTGAATAAGACCTACCCCGAAAATAAGACCTAGTACCTCTTTTGGAGGTAAAAAAAAAAGATTGAGTCTTATTATGGGGAAACATGGGTAGCAGTGTTCCAATATCTAAGGGGCTGCCCCAAAGATGAGAGGAGCTCAACCTATCCCCCCAAACCCCTGAGGCAATAGATGGAAACTAATCAAGGAGAGAAGCAACCTAGAAATAGAACAATTATAACAATTAATCAGCGGAACAATTTGCCTCCAGAAGTTGTGAGAGCTCCAACGGTGAAGGTTTTAAAGAAGAGATTGGACAACTATTTATCTGAAATGGTATAGGGTCTCGTGCTTGAGCAGGAGGTTGGACTAGAAGACCTCCAAGGTCCCTTCCAACTCCATTACTCAAAAGGATTGCACTTCTTCACGTAGCACGCAATTAAGCTGGGGAACTGTGTTTTCATAAGACGTGGCAGTGACCACAAACTTGAGTGGCTTTAAAGAAGATTAGATAAATTCACAGAGGTTCAGGCCAACAAGGGCCATCAGTCCTGAAGATTCCATGCTACCTCTAGTTTGGGAGAAACATTAACTCCAAAAGCTCATTGGTGGGAGAAGAGTGGGTTTCCATCTCCTGCTTCCCAACTCCCACCATTCTGGTTGTCCAATATGAAAAATGTGGGCAACAGTAGTTGTTGGTTTGATCCAACACACAGCTGTTTGTTGTTCTTTGGAAAGAAGAGCCTTGGTGGCACAGTGGTTAGAATGCAGTATTACAGGCTAACTCTGCCCACAGTCTGAAGTTCGATCTTGACAGGCTCGGGGATGACCCTGCCTTCCATTCTTCCGAGGTCGGTAAAATGAGGACCCAGGTTGTTGGAGGCAACATGTTGACATTGTAAACTGCTCAGAGAATGAGATAAAGCACAATGGAGCGATATGTAAGTTTAAGTGCTATTGGTAAATGCTATGGCTAATGCCTCTTAAATTTACAGAAAGAAACTTCTGAGCAGGCAGGAATAGCCAACACTCCAGAAGACAGGCTTAAGATACAGAAGGATCTGGACAGACTTGAACACTGGGCACTAACTAACAAAATGAAATTCAATGGTGAAAAAAGCAAGGTTCTACATTTAGGCAAGAAAAACCAAATGCACAAGTACAGTGCATTTATAGGTGCAACAATTATAGGTGGTCTTCGTCTTACAACGTTTCGTTTAGTGACCATTTGAGGTTATGACAGCACTGAAAAAACATGCAACCGTTTTTCACACTTGTAACTGTTGCAGCATAGTCATGGGATCAAAATTCGGGCACTGGGCAACTGGCCCATATTAATGAGGGTTGTGGTGTCCCAGGGTCATGTGATCACTTTTTGCAAACTTCTGACAAGCCAAGTCAATCGGGAAGCTAGCCTCACTTTACAATTGTGTTACTCATGTAACAACTGCAGTGGTTGGCTTAATAACTGCGGCAAGAAATGTGGTAAAGTGGGGCAAAACTCACTTAATAACTCTCTTGTTTAGCAATGGAAAAATTGGGCTTCAATTGTGGTTGTAGCAATAGCAATAGCACTTAGACTTATATACCACTTCACAGCCCTCTCTAAGCGGTTTACAGAGTCAGCCTATATTGCCCCAACAATCTGGGGGGTCAGTTTACCAACCTCGGAAGGATGGAAGGCTGAGTCAATAGCAATAGCAATAGCACTTAGACTTATATACCACTTCACGTAGCTTCACAGCAGAATCAGCCTATTGCCCCCAACAATCTGGGTCCTCATTTTACCGATCTCAGAAAGGATGGAAGGTTGAATCAACCTTGAGCCAGTGAGAACCGAACTGCTGGCAGTCGGCAGTTAGCTGAAGTAGCCTGCAGTACTGCATTCTAACCACTGTGCCACCATGGTCATAAGTCAAGGAGTACCTGTATTTACCACTGCTACTACATTTACTCACTGGAGAAGGGCCTAATGCTGGGAAAGATTGAGGGCAATAGAAGAAGGGGACGACAGAGAATGAGGTGGCTGGATGGAGTCACTGAAGCAATAGGCGTGAACTTAAATGGACTCCAGAAGATGGTAGAGGACAGGAAGACCTGGAGGAACGTTGTCCATGGGGTCGCGATGGGTCGGACACGACTTTGCAATTAACAACAACAACTACATTTACAGGTTGCCCTTATGGGCTGTTTTTCACAGTTACGATCCTTGTAGCATCCCTGTGATCATGTGATCATAATCCCGATGCTTGGCAACTGGTTCATACTTATGATCGTTGCCGTGTCCCAAGGTCACGTGATCCCCTTTTGCAATCTTCTGACCAGCAAAATCAACGGGGAAGCCAGATTCACTTAACAACCCTGTTGCTAACTTATCAACTGCAGTGGTTCACTTAATAGCTGCAGCAAGAAAGGTCGTAAAATGAGGCAAAACTCATTTAACAAACTTAACGACCGAAATTTATGGGGTCAATTGTGGCCGTAAGTCGAGGACGAACTGTATTTCCAGAGCACATATCCCATTGTTTCAGCCCTCGGTAGATCAAATGCTTACCGGAGAAGCGTGGAAAAAATGGGGTAACCCAACAGATATTCGGCTTGCGTAGTTTAGTGCTAGTAAAAACTTTTAAACCCAAGTCCTGTCAAAGGAAATGAAGAAGTCACAATGAAACATTTCGAAAAGTATGAACACACCCAAATGAATTTTTTTTTTTTTGAAAGTCCAAGATGAATGCTAGGGTAACATTTCAATATTCTTACGGCTGAACTCATGTTTTGTGTCTTTTCCAGCAACTACCTGGAAATCATTTACCACTGTAAATGAACTAGCCCAGTGGTGGCGAACCTATGGCACGGGTGCCAGAGGCAGCACTCAGAGCCCTCTCTGTGGGCACCCGTGCCGTTGCCCCAGTCCTAGGCCTTCAGCTGGGTTTTATAAAACCTTTTCGCTTTAGGCCTCTGCTGCCCTGTCCAAAAAAAAAAGGTTCAATCAGTCAATTTCAACTTCTCACGGGGAAAAAAAGATCTTTATTTATTTTATTTTATTTATGAGACTTATATACCGCTTTAAGTGCAAGCACTCTCTAAGCAGTGTACACCAGTAAGCAATGTATATATATATTTACATTGCCCCAAACAATCTGGGTCCTCATTTTACCTACCCCGAAAGGATGGAAGGCTGAGTCAACCTTGAGCCGGTGAGATTTGAACCGCTGACCTGCTGAACACAGTCAGCTAAAGTGGCCTGCAGTACTGCACTCTAACTGCTGCGCCACCTCGGCTCGTCTTGCAAAGTTGGAATTGATTGATTGAACTTTTTAGTCCCACCCAGTCTGCCGTTACCACCGCAGCCACGCCTACCCAATGGGCCACACCCACCCAATGGGCTACGCCCACCCAATGGGCCACACCCACCTGGCACTCGACCATGCATTAGTGGGTTTTGGGTTGCAGTTTGGGCACTCAGTCTCTAAAAGGTTTGCCATCACTGAACTAGCCTATAACCCTGGGGTTTCCTGGTGGCCTCCTAGATGCTGTTACCTAACCAATCAAAGGTAAGGACTCAAGTCAAATTCAATTCTTGGTGGGGTTTTTTTGGGGGGAGACATCCATCGAGTGATTTTGGGAACAGTATGGAAGGAGTTTGCCATCACTTGCATCAAGGTAGATTTTTCAACCTAAATTATAATCCTGGATCTCCTGAAGGTTTCCTATCCCCCTATTAAGCAAGTCCAAACTTCCTTCACTGTTTGAGATCAGCTAAGCTGTTTAGTTACCAGCCTACTACCAGCCAATCTTCCACTGAGAAACTGTATACTGCATGAGCTAGTAAGAGGACTATGAAAATATCTAAAGACCCCCCATATCCTGGACATAAATTGCTTCAACTTCTTCCCTCAAGATGACACTATAGGACAGGGATCCCCAATCTGTGGGTCGTGGCCAATACCAGGCCACAGGCTATTGGCCACTGGGCCATGTGAGTGGCTAGCCGCTACGTGTGTATGTGTGCACTCACACACAGCCCCACTTGTGCGAGCGTTGCCGTGAGCATCACGGGTATTTGCAGCCCCACTCGTACAAGTGTTGCAGGTGCTTGCAGCCCCATGTGTGCAAGTGCTCATGGCCCCACTTGTGCAACAGGCGCTTGTGTGCATGTATGTGTGTGTTCACCCCCCACACAAAACCATCCCTTATTTCTCCCCTCCCCCCACTCCAGGTTGCCAACCCTGTAAGGTTGGGGAACTCTGCTATAGGGCATTGCACACCAAAACAAGTGCAATACAAGGACAGTTTTCCCCCCATGCCATCACGTTGCTAAACAGCTAATTCCCACAACACTGTCAAACTACCTAGTAGGGTTGTAATTATTATCCTTCTCATCCTTCCTATTAGATGGATAGATAGATAGATAGATAGATAGATAGATAGATAGATAGATAGATAGATAGATAGATAGATAGAGATTAGATAGATAGATAGATAGATAGATAGATAGATAGATAGATAGATAGATAGATATTGTAGATAACCTTTATTGTCATTTTTTATTGTGACCACACTGGCACACATTAAAAATGAAATTCTGTTGCCTGCTCTCAAAAGTGTACACATACATAACACACATATAAACATGCTATATATATGTAAATACCTACACCCTTACATATAAATATTAATCACCGTGTAGTGTCCCAGACAATCTGTGGACCCTGCTCAAGCAACGTTTCTGTGCTATGTCCTGGATAGAAGGGAGTGAACTGCCAATAATCTTTTCTGCCATCCTCACCACCCTCTGCACTGCCTTCCTGTCTGAAGCAGTGATGCTTCCAAACCAGACTGTCGTGCAGTACGACAGGATGCTTTTGATCATCCCTCTATAGAAAGTGGTAAGGAGAGGGGAAGGAAGATGTGCTTCTCTCATGCAACGCAGAAAATGCAGGTGCTGCTGTGCCCGCTTCACCAGTGTCTCACTGTTGAGCGACCAACCAGCCTACTCTTAGCTGCACACCCAGAAATTTGATACTGCTAAGCATCTCTACAGGTGAACCATTAATACAGAGAGGAGCGTGTCTGAAATTGACAATGATTTCTTTAGTTTTTCCAACATTTAAAATTAGGCTGTTTTTCTTACACCAGTTCACCAAACCCTCTACCTCAGGGGTCCCCAATCCCCAGTCCATGGACTGGCACAGGGGTGCAGTAAACCAGAAACCAGTCCACACAAACAAGGAAAGCCCCATCTGCGGGATGCAGGCAGTACATGAAAGCATGCCACCTCTGGTCTGCAGAAAAACTTCTCTCTCTGGTCCCTGGTGCTCAAAAGGTTGGGGACCTCTGCTCTATCTATTACCTATTCCTTATCTTCTTTTGACTATAACTTTGTTGCTTGTATCTTTACAATTTATATTAATTGTTTTATTTAGTATCCGTATGATTTATGTTGATTGCTTATTTAGTATCCTATGACCACCACTGAATGTTGTATCTTATGACCTATGATGAATGTATTTTATGATTATAATCATGGTTTATCACCTGTTGCTTCTATGTACACTGAGGGCTTATGCACAGGAGACAAATTCCTTGTGTGTCCAATCACACTTGGCCAATGAAGAATTCTAGTCCTTATCAATTGCTAGCCTGTCACTATTCAAATTAGAAAACTGAGCGATGGGTTTCTGTCCACAGATTTTCTAAATCTCAAGAAGGCAGAGACTAAACTCACCTTGAAGGGGGAGTGACCCATCTCTGCCCAGTAGAATAAGGGAAATTTCACCTGCCAGAAGCAGCGTAGAAGCTCACCTTAAGAATTTTGAAAACATCAGCTTCCCCATCAGAAAAAGGAACAGGGCGATAATGGATACCACCCACTTCAATGTTTTTCATTTTGATGCATTGCCTTCTATCCCATTCTCTTGCAAAGTGTGTGTCATATAAAGAGCCTGGGAGCAGGTTATAGATCTGAAAAGAGAGACATTGCAATTCAGAAAAGCTGTCCATCTGATGTGGGTCCCTGATCCTGTTAGTCCAACAATTGTTGTTGTTGTTAATTGCGAAGTCGTGTCCGACCCATCGCGACCCCATGGACAACGTTCCTCCAGGTCTTCCTGTCCTCTATCATCTTCTGGAGTCCATTTAAATTCACACCTACTGCTTCAGTGACTCCATCCAGCCATCTCATTCTCTGTCGTCCCCTTCTTCTATTGCCCTCAATCTTTCCCAGCATTAGTCCCTTCTCCAGTGAGTCCTTCCTTCTCATTAGGTGGCCAAAGTATTTGAGTTTCAACTTCAGGATCTGACCTTCTAAAGAGCAGTCGAGGTTGATCTCTTCTAGGACTGACCGGTTTGAACGCCTTGCAGTCCGAGGGACTCGCAGGAGTCTTCTCCAGCACAATAGTTCAAAGGCCTCAATTCTTTGGCGCTCAGCCTTTCTTATGGTCCAACTTTCACAGCCATACATTGCAACTGGAAAACCATGGCCTGGACTATAGGCACTTTTGTTGGCAGGGTGATGTCTCTGCTTTTCAGTATGCTGTCTAGATTTGCCATAGCTTTCCTCCCCAAGAGCAAGCGTATTTTAATTTCTTGGCTGCAGTCCAACAATAGAGGAGGGGAATCTTTCCATGTTTGTGCTTCATAAGAAGGGATACCCAACCATTTCCAATAACATTTCCCTACACTTGCAATTTAACAAGTGGTCCTTGACTTATGACCACAATTGAGCACCAAATTTCTGCCGCTAAACATGACAGTTGTTAAGTGAGTTTTGTCCCAGTTTTACGACCTTTCTTGCCACAGTTGTTAAGTGAATCGCTGCAGTTGCTAAGTTAGTAATACAGTTTAAGTAAATCCCCACCCTCCAATCACCCAACCAGCATCCGGCTGTAGTTAGTCCAAAGCGCAACAGTTGTCCCAGCTTGACCCTCTTCCTCCTGTTCGTCTGCGCAATCTTCGGCCTTCTGAGAAGCCCCGCCCTAACAGCGCGGTGCTCCCGCTCATCAGCTGTCCGGCAATCACTCGTTAAACTGTTCAGGCGTCTCCTCCACGTGGGCACGGCTCCCAACGTCATCCGGCATTCCGCTCGGCATCCGCTGCACACCAACCGCCCATCAGCTGTTTGGCGGTTCAAACGCCCCCAAAAGAGCATCACCGCTTGAGCTACTTCACCAAGATGGTGAGCTGCGTGGAACCGGTGCTGGCCGTCTTCTCCCCCAATGTGCTGTCCTTTTCCTTCCTCCCTCCTCTATGTCGAGCCCAGGAGGGCTTGACATCTGGCTTCCCCCTTAACTTTGCTTGTCAGAAGGTAGCAAAAAGTGATCACATGACCCCAAGACTCTGCAACCATTATAAAAATGAGCCAATTGCCAAGTGCCCGAATTTTGATCACAAGACAATGAGAATGGTACAATGGTCATAAATGTGAGTTGCTTTTATCAGTGCTGTTGTAACTTCCAATGGTCACTAAACATGAGCTGTGATGGTGCAGTGGTTAAAATGCAACATTGCAGGCTAACCTACTGCTCACTCCAGGAGTTCAATCCTGACTGCCTCAAGGCTGACTCAGCATCCGTCCTTCTGAGGTCAGGAAAATGAGGACCCAGATTGTTGGGGGCAATAGGCTGACTCTGTAAACCACTTAGAGATGCTGTCAAAACACTATGAAGTGGTATATAAGTCAAAGTGCTATTGCTAAACAAAGGGCTATAAGGAGAACTACCATTATTTCCGGCGTATAAGACGACTCGGCATATAAGACGACCCCCGACTTCAGCGCCGATTTCTACACCTTAGAAAGTTGTCTTATACGCCAGAAAATACGGTACCTGTATTTGGGGGGGAGGAAGTTTTAAGGAGATCTAAAGAATGAACACTATAGTTATTTGAAGGTATGGGCAGCACTAAGCTGGAGAAAATTGTTAGGTCCCTTCCAACTCAGTTATTTGTTAATTCTATTAATTCAAATACAGGTGGGTCTCAATCAATCAATCAGAATAGAGCTGAAAAGGACCTTGAAGGTCTTCTAGTCCAACCCCATGCTCAAGCAGGAGTCCCTATACCATTTCAGGCAAGTGTTCGTCCTATCTCTTCTTGAAAACCTCCAGTGATGAAGCATCCATAACTTCTGGTGGCAAGCTGTTCTGCTGGTTAATTGTCCTCATTGTTAGGAAATTTCTCCTTAATTAGTTTCCAACCATTGTTTCTTAACTTGCCTTCCAGTGCTTTGGAAAATAGGTTGACTTTTTTCTTCATGGCATCCCTTCAAATACTGGAAGACTGCTGTCGTGTCACTCCTAGTCCTTCTTCTCACCAGACTAGTCATACCGTGTTCCTGCAACCCTTCTTGGTGTCTTCATATGACCGTATGATTTCATACCTTCTTCATATGACTCACCTTCTCAGGGGAGAGCTGGGCTTCGGGTTTCAAGAGAAAGACACTCTGGTCAATAGCATGGAAAGCACAGAGGGAGCCAGAGGAAGCAGCAAGATGGAGTTGGGTTTTCTGCCCAGGCAGGCCTTCTTGATCAGAGAACCAGAGTCTGGCCTGTAAACATAAACCAGGTTTTTGAAAAAGTCATTTCTTCTGCAATAAGAAATGACACTCCTCCGCTGCCGCCACCCCCAAGCCATCCTTCTTGGAGGCTGCAGAAAGATGGGCTGTGCAGGCAGATTCAAAGCTTCTTGGCCCACTGCCATCGTCATGACAACCCAGCTGCCCATGATGCCCCCATTGTCATGATTATCTAATAAGCATTGTTGGGTAAGAGACAAAGGGGAGGGAAGACAAAATGGCTGGCGCCCCCATTGTCATGACAACCCAGCTGCTCATGATGTCCCTGTCATCATGATTACCCAATAAGTATTGTTGGGAAAGATTCAAAAGGGAGGAGGGAAGACAAAATGGCTGCTGGCCCCCATCGTCATGACAACCCAACTGCCAATCAAATAAGCATTGTTGGGTAAGAGATAAAGAAAAGGGAAGACAAAATGGCTGCCAGAAAGCTCTGCTATTAGCGTTCTCGGGGAGGCAGAGGCAGAATAAACAACCAAACTCTGGGGTAAAAATAAAGAATAATATTTTTTTAAAAATAAAAATATAGACAGCCCTGTGGGGACACGACAACGGGAAAAGAGGCGCCCGGTGAGAAAACTGGGAGGGAGATTTATTTATTTCCTTCCCGCAGAGCTGCATGAGGGAAAAATTCTTCAAGTTGTTTTTCTCAGACAGAGCCAAAAGAGGGAAAAAGGAGAAGAGCTTAAAGCCCAGCCATGATCCAATTAGCAGAAAAGGGGAAGAAAAGGTCAGGGTTTTGACACAAACAGAAATAGAAAATAAAATAAATAAAAAAGAAGAAGACCGAGCGCTGAGAAAAACATACAGCCCTAGAAAGTGACAAAAGATAAATGCGGGCAATAAAAGAAGGGAGATAAAGAAGATAAAGAAAAGGAAGATGGACAGCTATAGTGACATTGGACTTTAAAAAGTGTAGATAAAGAGCTTAGGGAAAATAAATTTTTAAAGAATATAGTGTAGATAAAGGTATGATATAGGTGGTTTATCTGGTCCCCCTGTTTGGTTTTCAATTTTGAGTTTCAACTGTCCCTAAAATTATCAGTTTAACTAAATAGTCTATTGTATTTGCAATTTTCTTCTTTTCATATTTCTCTTCTGCATGTCTTGTCCAATAGACCACATTTTTCTAACATATTCCTTGTAAATGGCTATTAAACTTGGAGGTCTTCTAAACCAATCACCTGTTCCAAGGTCCCGTGTTATTCTGTAATGCTGTAAATCTGTGCTGCCTTTTCTGTGGGTTCAGTCCAGGTCAAAAGGGGAACTCGTCTGACATTAAACACATGATCAATATGCTATTTCTAAAACCAGATTAAAAGCTGACATTTTGTTTTTCCACCTACCTTGTTGGAGAAGCACTTTTCTACAGTGAAGTCTCTGGAGTGAGCAACAAGTTCTCCATTGGGCAAAATGGTGTAGAGGAGCAAGCGGGTCACGGGAGCCGTGTCGACATCCACCGAGAGATTCAAAAGGAAGTCCCCTTTCGGTTCTAAAGCATGAAAAACCCAAGTGGAGAAAAGACAGAGAGAGAGAGAGAGAGAGAGAGAGAGAGAGAGAGAGAGAGAGAGAGAGAGAGAGAGAGAGAGAGAGAGAGAGAAAGAGATTGAAAAGAGGAATGTTAAAAGAAATGAGTTCCAGTTGGAATACATTAAATTCCAATAGGGCAACCATAACAGACTGAGAAAGTTCTAGGCTGCATGAACAGAGGGATAGAATCAAGATCACGCGAATTGTTAATATCACTTTATAACGCCTTGGTAAGGCTACACTTAGAATACTGCATCCAGTTTTGGTCAACACAAGATAAAAAAGATGTTGAGACTCTAGAACAGTGGTTCTCAACCTGTGGGTTGGGACCCCATTGGGGTTGAATGAACATTTCATGGGGGTCGCCAAACAACGCAGTCTGCCATTTTCCCCCCCTTTTCCTTAGCTCTGCTACTCCCTTTTATTCTATTGGCTTTTGAAAGCCAATAGAATAGACTCTCTTGAATAGAGTCTAATTCTATTGGCTTTCAAAAGCCAATAGGAATTGTCCAAGCTGTCTCTGCCCTACTGAGCCCGCCAAAAGCCCCAGTCTGCAAACGGTGCTGCACCAGTTGAGTAGTCCTCGACTTACGACCGGTTGGGGGTCGCGGCATTAAAAAGGTTGAGAACCACTGCTCTAGAAAGAGTGCAGAGAAGAACAACAAAGATGATTAGGGACTGGAGGCTAAAACATATAAAGAGCGGCTGCTGGAATTGTGTATGTCTGGTTTAATGAAAAGAAGAACTAGGGGTGACATGAAAGCAATGATCCAATATCTCAGGGAGTGCCACAAAGAAGAGCTATTCTGCAAAGCACCCGGGGGCAGGACAAGAAGCAATGGAAACTAATCAAGGAGAGAAGCAACCTAGAACTAAGGAGGAATTTGGTGACAGTTAGAACAATTAATCAGTAGAACAACTTGCCTTCAGAAGTTGTTGGTGCTCTATTACAGGAGGTTTTTAAGAAGAGACTAAACAACCATTTGTGTGAAGTGGTATAGGGTTTCCTGCCTGAGCAGGTTGGACTAGAACAGTGGTTCTCAACCTTTCTAATGCCGTGACCCCATAATACAGTTCCCCATGTTGTGGTGACCCCCAACCACTTATACATCACTGGGTACCAGGGGGGTGGCCAAGGAAAAGGGGGAAAAAATGGCGGACAGCCTTGTTTGGCGACCCCTGTGAAATGGTCGTTCAACCCCAAATGGGGTCCCGACCCACAGGTTGAGAACCACTGGACTAGAAGATTTCCAAGGCTGGTTCTAACTCTGTTATTCTAGTCTATTCTTCTATTCTAAATGTGGGACAGAAGTGGATCATTGAAAAATCAGGAGCTGAAGAACTTAAGCAGCTCTCTTCTCCTACACAGTTGCATGGGCTTGCCTTATCCATGAATCAGCAAGTGACTCTCCCACTGCCACTGGTGGTAACATCTCCCACTGCAAAACTACACCTGGCATGCCAGGCTGCAGCTCCGAGAGGCTGAACCCCTGAGCCTCTTTGTGGATCTCCAGGAAGAGCCAGTCCTAAAAGAAATGGTAGTAGGCAACTGGGCAACCTACTAATTGCAAAAGATGTCACTGTTGCACACTGTGATGCCCAACAAAAACTCAGGATGAAGGAAGTGGCTACATAGATTTGGGAGAAATGGCCTGTATCTTCTCCCCCCATGTTCCCACTGCTTGAGACCATCCTTTCCTTTGGTCACAGGCAAGGCTGGCTGTATGTACCCATGTTTCCTAAGAAATAGAATATAGCAACCAGTTGCAAGTGGGAAAAAGAGAGACTTTGCAGACAAGTAAGGGGCAGCCAGTATTTAGCAAGGGAGAACTGGAGTCCCCATAGATAGACACATCTCAAGCCCAGCACTTGAAATGGGAGGGGTGGACATTCCCAGGAAGCTTTTTGCCAAGCGTGGAGGGGAATGCAAGCTAGGGGTGGGGAAGCATTTACCTTTTCCCTCCATCGGCTGTGTGTGTGTCCCTGCTCGTATGATGTCTCCCTTTGCCATCACCTGGAAACAAAAGGGCAATTCTTGCAATGCAGGTCAAAAAGCGCCAAGGTGGCAGTCACCATCCTATCTTTTTTTTACCGCTTTCTGTGGACACCCTTGATCGAGATACTTTCAATACCCCCTGAAATCGGGCACCAGGTTTTCCAGTCATTTAGCAGCAAGAAGCTCATCAACAGTAGTGTGAGACAAACAGTCCTTGAACTTAATTTTTTTTAAAAGCAATTGTCCCTCTGAAATTCACTCTAAAATCACAAGCTGAAGATCTGGAGCATAATGCCGTAACAATATTCTACTCACTGGGGCCCATAGCTTCCTAAAATTGGTATAAGAGCAATCTCCAGCTTCCAAAAGGTTTCCAGTTGTGGTTTATGCCACTGATGAAATCAAAAATCAAATCTGTTGCTATTCTACCTAAGACTGAATCTTCATCAATCTATGTTCGCATTCTATACCCCTAAAGTATATCCTGTCTCCAGAAAAAAAGAATATCTTTCTTTTCCAACTCACCAAATAATGAAAGATAATTTCCTTCTTCACTGCATTTGGATCCAAGATGAAATGCACTCGAATCTGCTCTGTGTCACCACAGCTCAATGTTTTTGGCAGAGGCTCAATGTGGAGGTAACTTTGACTTGGTGAGTAAAATCGGTACACTAAGTGCGAGGCATGTCGGTGATAAATGGAGACTGAATTGTGACACCATTCATTTTCTTTGTAAACTCCCTGTTTATAGAAAGGAAAAGAAACCACCCTGCTTAAAGAGCAAAAAAATAATAATATTTTCACCAAATATAGTTACCGAATGAAGGAAAAAGCTAGACCAGTAATTTTTTCTCCCCAATTCTCTGCCACAAAGAGGACGGGGTCAATTTATTTTCCAAAGCGGCAGAAGGAAGGACAAGAAACAATGGATGGAAACTAATCAAGGAGAGAAGCAACCTAGAATTAAGGAGAAACTTCCCATCCGTGAGGACAATTAACCAGTGGAACAGCTTGTCCCCAGAAATTGTAGGAGCTTCATTACAGGAGGTTTTTAAGAAGAGACTGGACAATCACTTGTTTGAAATGGTGTAGGATCTCCTGCTTGAGCAGGGGGCTGGACTAGAAGACCTCCAAGGTCCCTTCTAGCTCTATTCTGATTGATTTGTTCAGTCCAACCATCGGCACACAGCAGGAATATACTACTACAGCATAGTCTTTAAATCCATAGGATTTTGTTTGAGACACCAGAAGGGTAGCACACGGGTGCAACTACCAATAAACCAGTACTCACTGTTTTGAGCCAATAGCTGAGTACTAATTTTTCCAAACAATCAGAGGAATAAATTATATTTATGCATTCAGTCAGGGTTCTGCTAAATACAATAGCATGTTTTGGTCTTCAAAATTCTGAATGCAAGATGCTCCTTTGCCTCATCTTGCTTGTGCACCATCATGATGGGCAGGACATAAGCCAGGAAGCAGGCAAGCTGTGTCTCTTCAGTAAAGACATCAGCTATACCATTGTTCAAGGAAGGAAAATGAACCTTTTAAAAGTAATCCTTGGAGGACCCAACCCTGTACACCCAATGTTTCTACACCTACAGAAGCTCCTCCATTAACCACCACTTATTCAGAGATTATTTGAATTTAACAGTAGCAATACTTAATGACCAGTTCTCAATTTTGCAGCTGTTTATTTATTTATTTATTTATGAGACTTATATACCGCTTTAAGTGTGAGCACTCTCTAAGCGGTATACACCAGTAAGCAATGTATATATAGATTTACATTGCCCCCAACAATCTGGGTCCTCATTTTACCTACCCTGGAAGGATGGAAGGCTGAGTCAACCTTGAGCCAGTGAGATTTGAACCGCTGACCTGCTGAATACAGTCAGCTAAAGTGGCCTGCAGTACTGCACTCTAACTGCTGCACCACCTCGGCCACCTGTTGCAGCACTCCTGCAGTCACACGATTGCAATCTGGGTGCACGGTAACCAGCCTGGATTTCCAAGTGTTGCAGCATCCTGAGGTCACAGAATCGTGATTTGCAACCCATCCCTGCTGGCTTTCCACAAATAAAGTCACTGGGGAAACCAGCAGGAAGTCAAACATTGCAAATTGCAGTCACGTGTGGTTCTCACTTAATGCCACATGGTGATTTTCATAATAATGATAATGGGGACTGTAAAAACTGCCCTCACTAAGTGGAATCACATTTTATGACCATGTCACTTAGCAGCAGAAATTCCAGTCCCAATTACTGTTGTTTAACAAGGGCAACCTGTATTGGGCTATAGGATAACTTGTGAGTTTTATCAGAGAGACTTCCTGGGCATAATAAACCTATTCCCAAGCATTCAATATCTTTGTTGCTTCCTCTTCCTTCTTCAGTAAAGATTCTCTCTTTAGTAATTCTCTCTTTAGTAAGTTATAGATCAGAAGTCTCCGACTTTGGCAAGTTTACAGCTTGTGGCCGTCAATTCCCAGAATTCCTCAGCTAGCATGGCTGACTGAGGAATTCTGGGAGTTGAAGGTCACAAGTCATAAAAGTGCCATGTTGGAAACCCCTGCTATAGACAGACTAGATCATTCAGATCAGTGGTGTTGCAGGGATGTCTATAGCAAAATATAAGGCAGCAGGGAAACTCCTTCCTTTGCACATCTTCATTATGACATTGCTGCAGGGTAGAATCAAAAAGATACTTTTCTTTGCCATGTTTCTGTAGCCTGTAGCAAAGCCCCGAGATATACAAGAGTGACATCTTTGTATGTTATGTGCATCTGAAATACACATCCAGCAAAATGGCCATGATGTGATGAAGAGCAGAATTGAAACAGATGTTATGAATGTGAGTGTCCTAGAAAAAAAAAAAAAGGAAGTTCTCAAAGCAGTGAGAAATTGGAAAGTGGTAAGGCTGCAGGCATAGATGGTATATAGTGGAAGAAATGTTCCAGGATGAAACAGGCAATTTGCTTATGGAATGCTTATGCAATTCGTTGAATGTTTGTGAAGACGGCATCTGTGCCAAACAATTGGAAGGACATTGCTATTGTTTCCTGTTACAAAGAGAGGGATAACAAGACCGAATGCAAAAACCACAGGGGATACCTTTGTGAGTTCTCCCCAAGATGGCACTTAGCAGAATTTGGAAGGAAAAGGGCACAAGAGGGGATTGTTTATTTAAAAAAAATACCGTATTTTCCGACGTATAAGGCGACCCGGCATATAAGACAACTCCCGACCAGCGCCGATTTCCATGCCTAGAAAGTTGTCTTATACATCGGAAACTACCATAATTTCCGGCGTATAAGATGACTCAGCGTATAAGATGACCCCCAACTTCGGCGCGATTTCCACGCTTTAGAAAGTCATCTTATACGCCGGAAAATACAGTATGTTTTATTAATTTTTTAACATAATCACCTTAATATTCGGTAAACAGTGTGCTGTCTGGGTTTACATTTAAGAAACATTCACTAACAGTTGATTTCTATAATCAATAATCTACATAATAACTTTACTTGATTTCCTCTTTTTCCCATAATGTTCTCTTTTACCAGCGTTAAGTTAATACAATTCTTGTTGTTTTAATGAATGATGATTGAGTATAAAAGTTTTCTAATATTTCTACAGATAACAATCACATCAATATAATATTCTTGGTTGTCTCATTATAGATCCTGTTTACAGTTCTTGTTTACATTTGTTTTTCCCACAATGTTCAAAACATTCTTATTGGTTAAGATTTTCTCAAAGTTAATTACAGTTAAATATTTAAGTATATTTTTTCTCATGTAAATCAACCCAATACTTTTACCTTTCTTAAGGAATAAATAAGACTAAAAAAAGAAAAAAGAAGAATAAGAATAAAAAAAGATAGTATGCTACTTAAAATCCCTATTTTCTGTAAGCTAATACATATTTATTTCCCAAAAAAATCGTTCTTTTTTTACCATAATTAAAAATATATTTAATCTTTAAATATTCCATTTAATAAATCTAATCCTCTAGTCTTTTAACTCTTATTCAAAACATTTTTAATCCATTGTAATTTTCTTAAAGTCTTTAGATTCTTTAGATATCTAAAACATTTGCTTTATATAAGCCATTCCAACTCTTTTATGTTACTCATATCAAGAAATAAAAAAATTTTAAAAAGAAGAAAATAGAAAGTACTATGTTATTTGAGGGGCTCTTCCCTCTTAAAGTCAAATTTACATCCAAAATTTTTCTATTTCTTTAACCATATTCAAACAGGTGTTTCTTTTTAAAATATTTTCTCTGATAGGTTCCATCGTCTATTTTCTTAATTTTCACTTTAGCCTTTTTCTTTTGCCCAGTATCTTTCTTTTAAAAAAACAAGTTTTATTGTTTTTTTTCATTTTACAAACAAGTGCTTAAGAAACAACGTGGTGGCCAAGCCATCAATTGTCCACAAAACAAAACCATACTCATAAAGTTCAGATTAAGTCATTAAAAACCTCCTCTCTTTTCCGTCTAATGACATATTATATTCAAATTGATATATTCCAATACAACTAAGTCAATCATAACAATCCTCAATAATCTTTCATCTAAATAAATCCACAAATCCAGATCCTGTGTTAAGTTTGACTATTTCACTTACTATGTTCCATATTTCTAATCTAAATATCTAGTTAACACTTCGGGAGTCTCCCCATAACCTTTTTCCTTAACATATTCAATAAACATTTATTAATATCATTTCTTCTTTTTTCCTATTCCTCTTCCATTACAAAATAACTATCAGTTCTAATAAGAAAAGAAAACATTAGTTCAAATCAGAAAGGAAAAAAAAACAAAGAAGAAAAAACAGAAACAAAGCAAAAAAAGAAAAGAGAAAAAAATACCTTTCTATTTCTATTATTCTTTATAATCTAACAATCAATCCTTCAATATCTGTATCAAATTTCTTTAACATCCTCCCAAAGTTACTATATCCAAAACATATTAATACATAGACAAAACAACCTGTTATTAAGTTCAAACCTTTAATTAATTTTTATTCAATCTAACCTCTTATTTAACTGTCTTAAGCCATAAATCAATCCATATCTAATAAGCCTTTTAAACCCATTACATAAAACCTTAAGTCACAGTTTTAAATCTTACTCTACCTTTCCTTTTATGCCAAAAAGGTTTCCATAACAAGGCCTCTATATCAATGAACAAGTCACTCTTTACGCCTTGTAGTATCCTTTGAATCAAACAAAGACGTCCTCTTTTCTGTTTTAGAGACCTAGCTCCTTTGTAAGTAATCCCTTGTTGTTTTGAAAAGTCAAATCTCCACGTTTGAAATTGTTGAATAACTGGCTCAGTTATGTCCAACTTTGTAGATGATAATTGTTTATCCAAGCTACCATAGTTCTCAGTTCGTTGGGCTTGTCCGTCTATTTCTATTGGTTTTAAGATTGTAAGTGGTTTAATTGCAATCCTTTTTAGTTCCTCAAAGATCTAATCAGCATGCATATGAAATAGGATGGAATCTTCTTTACCTTTAGTTAATCCCCCTTCTGTTGTTTTTTTGTCTACAGAGTGCTCAGAGAAGGTCTGGGAGTCAATTTGTAAATTCAAAGCAGAGTTTCTGTTTTTTATTTCCATAGTATATTCTTTTATTTGCAAACATATTTCATCAGTAGCTTCGTAAAGTTTTTCCAGTATAAGTTTATAGTCAAGTTGAACCAAGGGTTGCTCCATTTCAAAAATAATTAGAAACAGTCTGTATCATTTAGTAGAGGCTATGTTCAGAAAACATTTAATCAATGTCCACCCCCACCAGTACATCTGTTAATTTTCTTTGTATTTTCCCTTTTATGTTAATCTGAAAGTCAAGATCAGTCTGATCATCAGCAAAAAGGAGAAAATTGCAATTTTAACTTTTTCCACAAGGTGTCCTCAGTACAATGTAAAATCTTCTCCCATAGACCAGGAATCTCATAAACAAGATCAGGAAACACAGGGGGGGGGAGGGGAAGGAGAATTCAAGTCCAATAGCAGATTCAATATTAAAAAGTTTTCCAAGACCCCAAAGTGAAAAATAAAATAGAGAAAAAAAAGTCACTTTAAATTAATTCAATCCATAAGCTTCTTTTTCCCACACTCATCAACGCTGCCTTCTCAGAGCAGGGAAATGATTTCAAAAGTGCTTTTTACAGGCAAAAAAAAAAGGAGAAGCAAGAGAGGAAAGGGAAAAAGTCTCACCCAGCTCAGCCACGGTGGTTCCTGTACTTAGATGCTCTTCTGACTTCTGGTTACAGCAGCAAGGTGAATGGCCATTTTACTGGCCGTTCTTTCCACGTCAGCCCAAAGGAGCAATCTCAGTCCCTTGGAAGAAGCTGCCGCTCTCCCAAGGACGACAAGGACCTCCTCTCCGGTACCCGCCCCTCCAAGGCGGCTTTTCGACCCAATTAAGGGTCTAAAGGAGAATCAGCTGGCGAAGAGAGCAGTCTCCTCGCACAGCTGCGAGCGCCGCAATCCAGAACCCTGCCTAGTATCTTTCTTAATCAATATATTCTGCTGAGTCAAAGAATCTTTCCATATTCTTGTAGATGTTACGGTAGGTATAAAAGGTAAGTCAAGTACAATATCTTTGTGAGAGGCATTTGCCAATTTTTATTGAAAATCTTTTTCTTTCTTTTTCTCTCTGCTGCTGTTATCATTTTTTGCCTCTCCAGTTCTAGTGTTTTTCCTGGCATCTCTGCAGTCCATTTTGTCCAATCTTTTTTCTTATCCTCAAATTTGTTTTGTGGTGTTAAAGTTTTCTTTTCCAAATCCAGTATTTCTTGTAATTTTTTTTCCACTTAGGTCAAATCATACTTCTTTGTTTTGTTAGGTTCCATCTTTAAGTCTCTATCCTCAAATTTGTATTCAGTTGTTTGTTTTATCTGTTCCTTCTCTGTCGTTGTTTCCTGGGATTTTTTTGTTGTAAAGTTAAATTGGAGATGAATTGGTTTATATTTTCAAAGTTATTTTGGATTTCTTTGTGGTTTGAAATCATTCTTATTTGAATTAGTTGCAACATATCATATATCTCTTCTTGAAAAGTATTTATTTTTTCTTGATAGATTCTTTCTATAAATCTCTGATTTTCCATGATGACCAAGAATCCAAATTTTCTTTTCTCTGCAAATAGCTTTGAGGTCAGAGTTAAATAGATACTTGTAATCCAGAAAGTTCAAAAAAGTTTTTTCTTTTTTGTTTCTTTTTTTTTGTTCCCTGAACTTTGTCAGTCTCACTTTGTCTACAGCCCAGATTTTTTTCTTTTTTGTCACAGCTATTCTCTATTGTTAGAGCTTTGAAGGTCACAAGTAGAGATTAGTTTTTTTCCAGATTTTGCCAAGACCTGCATGAAAGCCATAGCTGTCATAGTCTTCATCCACCACTAGATGTCAGCACTGGTTTATTTTTCAAATTTTCAAAATGAACAAATTGCCTTTAAAATGAGAATCTTAACCATTCAGTAACTTCAAAGTTATCCAAACTTAGGTTTTATAGTCATTTCATTTCATTTCAATGCGTTTTGGTCCTCCATAAAAGGTTTAATTCACCACTTCCATTAATAAAAGGGTGGGGCAAAAATCCCCCTCCTTCACTTTCAGAGGTTTTTTGCTTCTTGGGATTTTTTTTCCCTTCAGGAAAGTTGATAAGTAGGATAGAGAAAATTGATGTTCTTACCCAGATTCAAATGCACTGTTTACAACCAGCTTAAAATAGTGTTTTTGACTTCAGTTGCTTGCAGCTTGGGCTAGACTCTGAAGTTAGGCTAGCCTTTCTCAGTTTCTGGAAGGCTTATCATGGACCAGTTGGGTCAACTGCCATCTCTCTGAGGTCCCCAGGACTTCCTTCCTTCTTTGCCACCTCTTCGAGGTGGCTTCTGGCCCATTTAGGGTCCCCTAACATGAAGAAACTCAACTGAAGAGCACAAAGTCCTGAACCCCACGACTACTGTGCTACTGCGCAGGACCCAGAGGGGATTGTTTTTCACTCCAAAACACTCACCTGAAAATTGATGGAGTCCTCTGTGAAATTAGATGTATCTATGGAAAACTGTATTCGTCCTTCCTCATTAGTTGTGTGCCTGGCTGTATATTTCACTGAAGGTCCTGTAATCTGAATGGTCTTGTTAGCCATCGGCACATCCATACCATCCACCAGTTTCATCTACATGGGAAAAAAAAAATCAACCCACATCCAATTATTTTAGATTCGAAATCTCATTAGGGGCATCCCTGCCATCAGAACCTTGCTGGTTTTTTTATGTGTGTTGCACATGGGACACACATTAAAAAGGACAAAGATTTTGATGCCCAGCCACTATCCTGACTTTTTTTGACTCACCCATGAATATTCATTGCTCAAGGGTCTTAAGGCTCCCTCTCCCAAGTTGAGTAGGAGCAGGATTTATGAGGAGGGGTTTGCTAACATGTTTTCATAGGTGGAATATTTGTGATAAGCAAATTAACACCACCACCCCAAATCTTCCCCCAAATTTTAAAGGCTGAAATTATTGTCCTATACTCCCTTGGGGAAAGCCACTAAAGGAATTATGGCAGGCTATATATGTGATCTTTGGTCTTTTTTTTCATCCCTGCCATATTGACTACAAAATTGAGAAGCTCTTTTTTGAACTCTGGTGGGTGGGGGAGGACAGATAGCACAGAGGTGATTGGGAAATGCCATCTGTTGGACTAGCACTGATGAGGTTACCTAGTTTGAGTAATGGAACGTCTGCAAGAAAACAGCAAACTGAGAAGCTACCAAGGATTCCTCAGATGCCATCAGAGGAATGGTTCTCAACCTATGGGTCAGGACCCCATTTGAGGTCAAACGACCATTTCACGGGGGTCGCCAGACAACGCAGTCCGCCATTTTTCCCCTTTTCCTTAGCTGTGCTACTCCCTTTTATTCTATTGGCTTTTGAAAGCCAATAGAATAGACTCTCTTGAATAGAGTCTAATTCTATTGGCTTTCAAAAGCCAATAGGAATTGTCCAGGCTGTCTCTGCCCTGCTGAGCCCACCAAAAGTCCCATTCTGCAAACAGTGCTGCACCAGTTGTCCTCGACTTACGACCGGTTGAGTAGTCCTCGACTTACGACCGGTTGGGAGTCGCGGCATTAAAAAGGTTGAGAACCACTGCCTTAGAGCAACTGGTTGAAAAAATCAGTGTTCGCCTCTTCCCCACCAGTAATCTCTTTCCCGCTGCCTTACCTGCAGGAAAAGGGGGATCCCAGGCTTATAATAAGGCTCTGCATTTTCAAAGTTCAGTTTGCTGGCTGTCGAAGTGATGCTTATGGTGCTCACCTCTGTCATTTCCACCCCTGTCAAAGAGAGGAAGCATTGAAGGAGACGGGAAAGGTTGACGCGTATACAGTGAGCTCAGGAGATGAGTGGAATGGGGATCCAGAAACCAGCCTTATCTGTTATGCCCCCAACCTCTTTTGAAACTGCTCTTCAGATGTTGGAATGGACCCCTGCTGCATTCAAAACCTGCTAATGTGAATGAAAGCAAATATGCATGCTCCAGGATAATATTGCAGGATCCAATCTGGGTTGATCACTAAGACGAAAGGTTTACTCTTCCAAGCTTTCTGGCTGATGCTGGAGCCTATCATCAGGGTGAATGTCTACGGAGATTCTCAAGTCATCAAGGTCATGGTGATACCAAGGGTGTTTTTTCAGGAGGCAACTGGACTTCCTTGTTTTTTCTTTGAAGACATTTTGCTTCTCATCCAAGACGCTTCTTCAGCTTCTTCAGAGCTTCTGAAAAAGCACCTTTGGGAATATCTTCTCTCTCTCTCTCTCTCTCTCTCTCTCTCTCTCTCTCTCTCTCTCTCTCTCTCTCTCTCTCTCTCTCTCTCCCTCCCCCTCCCTCCCTCGCTCTCTCTCTCTCTCTCTCTCTCTCTCTCTCTCATATGTCCGTTGGGCTGCTCAGTGGTTGTGTTTATACAGTTCCCAGTTGTAGGTAGCTTTAACTTATTAATTAGGGCATTAATGACTGGTAATAATAATAATAATAACAACAACAATAATAGGCTCCTTGGGTGCAATACCAAAACAACTGGAGCACCACCTGAACACCATTGGCATTGACAAATTCACCATTAGTCAATTGCAAAAGGCAGCCTTACTAGAAACTGCTTCCATCCTGCGACGATACCTGTAATACCATCAAACATCCACATCTGCCTATCCCACGTCCTGGGTAAAGACTTGATAGGTAGACAAAATGCCAAATCCAGTTTGAACATCTGGCTGACTATGTGATGATCAATAATAATAATAATAATAATAATAATAATAATAAAAATAAAAGTTGGAAGGGACCTTGGAGGTCATCTAGTCCAACCGCCTGCTCAGCAGGAAACCCTATACCATTTCGGACAAATAGCTGTCCAGTTTCTTCTTAAAAACTTCTAGTGTTGGAGCATTCACCACTTCTGGAGGCAGGTTGTTCCACTGGTTAATTGTTCTAACTGTCAGGAAGTTTCTCCTCAGTTCTAGGTTGCTTCTCTCCTTGATTAGTTTCCGCCCATTGCTTCTTGTCCTGCCTTCAGGTGCTTTGTAGAATAGCTTGACTCCCTCCTCTTTGGAGCAGCCCCTGAGATATTGGAACACTGCTATCCTGTCCCCCCTCGTCTTTCTCTTCATTAAATTAGACATACCCATTCCAGCAACCGTTCCTTATATGTTTTAGCCTCCAGTCCCCTAATCATCTTTGTTACTCTTCTCTGTACTCTTTCTAGAGTCTCAACATGTTTTTTACATCATGGTGACCAAAACTGGATGCAGTATTCCAAGTGTGGCCTTACCAAGGCATTGTAAAGTGGTATTAATACTTCACGTGAACTTGATTCTATCCTTCTGTTAATGCAGCCCAGCACTGTGTTGGCCTTTTTGGCAGCTGCAGCACACGGCTGGCTCATATTTAAGTGATTGTCCACTAGGACTCCGAGGTCCCTCTCACAGTTACTACTATTGAGCAAGGTACCCCCTATACTATACCTGTACATTTGGCTTTTCTTGCCTAAATGTAGAATCTTACTTTTTTCACCACTGAATTTTATTTTGTTAGATAAGTCATTAATTTTGTTTCATGCCATAGGGCGTCTCCTAAGTATCTGATAGGCTGGTGGTAAATCAACACTCCTGTTGACTGACAACATAATGGAGAGAGAGGAGTTCTCTGATGATGCCTGAAAGCTTGGAAGAATAAATCTTTGGTCTTGGTGACCGACCCAGAAGGGATCTTGCAATATTGCTAATGTTTTGCTCTGAGATGTGCTTATGTGTATGTATGTATGTGTGGGTGTGTTTGGGTGGGTGCTTGCATAGCAATTTCTACTAGAGAGTGGTTGCTCTTGTGTTATCAAAATTGATGATGTTCAGTTGAAATTATATGATTGTCTTTATACTGTACGCTTCTAAGCTGTCTAAAATCTGGGTCAGATTACAAGAATAGAATAGAATATAGAACTTAGAACATAGAATATAGAATACAGAATACAGAATAGAAAATAGAAAATAGAATAGAGAATAGAATAGAGAATAGAACAGAGAACAGTTGGAAGGGACCTTGGAGGTCTTCTAGTCCAACCCCCTGCTCAGGCAGGAAACCCTACACCAGTTCAAACAAAGGCTTCCAATCTTCTTAAAAACTTCCAGTGTTGGAGCATTCATAACTTCTGGAGGCAGGTTGTTCCATTGATTAATTGTTCTAACTGACAGGAAATTTCTCCTTAGCTCCAAGTTGCTTCTCTCCTTGTTTAGTTTCCATCCATTGCTTCTTGTCCTGCCTTCAGGTGCTTTGGAGAATAGTTTGACTCCCTCTTCTTTGTGGCAGCCCCTGAGATATTGGAACACGGCTATCGTGTCACTCCTAGTCCTTCTTTTAATTAATTTAATCAATTAGATTACATCTGGTCCAAGAGGGATACAGTGATCTCCCACTCTTACCATAGAGCAAAAAAATGCTGATCTATTGACACCACACACACACACACACACACACACACACACACACACACACACACACCCTTGTTCAGATGTCTTAGAGCTAGAATTTCCACCAGAGCAGCAGTTCTCAAATATTTTGGTCTTGGGAACCCTTTACATCACGGGTGTCAAACTCGCCATGTCATGTGACGTGTCGTGAAGTATCACAACTTTTTTTGCACTGCCAGAGCTGGGGTGGGTGTGGCCTCCATATGATGCAACTGGCCTGTTTGACACCCCTGCTTTACATTCTTAAAAAATGATAGAGGTTATATCTATAAATATATACTGTATTAAAAATTAAAACTGAGAAATGCTAACGCATTTAATTATTTGACTTTCCAGACCCCCTGAAAGGGTCTTGATCACACTTTCAGAATCACTGCACTGCAGCATCACTTGACATGGCCATCCCAACCCCTAGGAATAGCGATAGCCCACAAACCCACTGCCACACCCTTCCAGGAATTATCCAGAACCAAAGACAAGACACAGAAGGATGAAAGAAGCAACGTAATCTACAAAATCAACTGTAACGATTGTGACCACTTTTATGTGGGACAAACATCAGGTCAAATTAAAAACCAGGAACCGCGAACACTGGCTGGCAGTCCAACACTACAATCCCAAATCCTTAATCGCTACCCACATCAACACCGAACAACACCAGCCATGCTGTGACCTGCCAGGCTCGTGAGTTCATTGAAGCCTGGCATTCCACAAGCAATTCCATCAACAGACCTACAATCAGCTTAGGAACCTGTCATGCCTCCGTCTGAGCCTGAATCTGTGGAGGAAAATGAACTGGAACGGGATCCTATGGAGGCCGAGGAAGAGGTGTCTGTGGCTTCAGAGGAATGTGAGAAAGAGCAGGCTGAGGCAGGCCAGGGCCCTTCAGGATTGGGACAGGAGGAACAAGAGAGGCAGAGTTCAGGCCCCCACCTGATCCTACAGCACGGAGAGTGGAGAGAAGGAGGGAACAACACAGGCAGGCTCAATTACTCGGGAGGAGAGCGTCCCGCCCTACTCCACAAGGAACACCTGGAGATTGAGATTTAAGGAGCCGCTGTGGGGAGGGGCATTTGTCAAGAACAAATGCTGATTCATTGTAGTGTTGTGTATTGTTGCTCTTGTTCTGTGCCTTCTGTTTGGAAACCTGGAAACCTTGACTATCGGAGTGTATTTCAGATTCTCTCTTTTGGAAACTGTTCAGGCAAGCTAGGATTCAAACAGACTCCTTAAGTTTATGTTGTCTTCCTTGTTATCTCTATGGCCTTGAATACTTTCTTATGCTAATCAGACTGTATTTGAACCTACTTTCAGCCAGAGTCGGCTGAAGGGGTGTGTGTGTTATTTTGTTGGAGGTTTGCCAGCAAACGTGGGAGCATTTGGGGGAAATTGGGAGCAATAAAAGAACGGTTTGAATTGCCAGCTGACTGCATTGCCTCTGTGCTGTGCCCTGGGTCATCACAGAACCCCTCAGAATCCAAATCAACCTCACAGCCAACCAGAGACAGCATCGACCCTCAACCATGCAAGTCCCCTCTCCCCCCCCCCTCCAGTTCACCTCCCAATGAGCTTGACCTGATGTAGCCTCCCCATCACAAGACCCATCACCAGCCTCTCACTGATGACTCACACCTGACCCATCAGAAGACCCTCACTTGACACACCCATACCCGAAGCCCTTATCAGCAGAAGAACACTGACATCCCCTAAACTCCACTGAAGATGTTACCTAGCGATGAAATGTTTGGAAACCAACCCACAAGCTCGGAGAACGAACCTTCACCCTCATGACCATTCGTAACCTTCCTGAAGCCCTCCAATGAAGGAAAATTCATTGTTTCAGGTGGCAGCCCATTCCATCGGCTCACCCCTCACCCAATCAGGGAGTTCCTCCTGACATCTAGCCCAACCCTCTCCTCCTGCTGCTTCCTGAAAGATACCTGTGCCTTCTTCGATGATCTTGCCTTCTGCCTTAATATGCATTTCCAAACCATTTTGCTTCAGATGAAACATCTTGGTTTCTACCACCTGAGAGAAACACCCTTGTCCATTCGCCTGTAAGGGAAAACAAAAAAATACTAACCCAAGAAGCCAATGGTTTTAAGGACCATGTTGCTTTATGTGTTGCCTTCCTCAAATGGCTGTGTTCATTGGAACTGAAAACCCATCAGCCATAGCCAGCCTGTGCAATGCAGCTAGAAGGCATCAGAACAGCAAAGGGTGCTTTACAGATTACCGAAGAGGACATTTAACAGATGAAACCCAACTCGATCTCTTGGGAAACTACTTGCCTGCTTCATCTCAATCTTGCCAGGTTTTTTATAATATTTGGAGAACCTCAAGGCCATCTAATCCAACTCCTCAGTCTCTTCTTAAAAACCTCCAGGATTGAGCACCCATGATTTCTGAAGGCCAGGTGTTCCACCGGTTAATTGTCCTCACTATTAGGAAGTTTCTCCTTAATTCCAGGTTGTTTCTTTCTTTGATCGGTTTCCAACCATTATTACTTGTCCTGCCCACTGGTGCTTTAGAAAATAATTTGACCCTCTTTTTTTGTGGCAGCTCCTCAAATACTGGAACACTGCTATCATGTCTCCCCTATTTCTTCTTTTCTTTAGACTAGCCAAACCTAAGTCCTGCAGCCGTTCTTCGTATGTTTTACTCTCCAGGCTTTTGATCATTTTAGTTGCTCATCTCAACATCTTTTTTGTATTATAGTGACAGTATTCCAGGTGTGGTCTCACTAGGGTTTTATAAAGCGGTACTAATACTTTGCCTGATCTTGATTCTATGCCGCTGTTTATACAACCCAGGATTGTATTAACTTTTTTGGCTCCTGCTGCACACTGTTGGCTCATAGTCAAGTGATCGTTCACTAGGATTCCAAGGTCCCTCTCACAATTACTGTTTTTGAGCCAGGTCTTGCCTAATCTGTACTTATATCTTTGATTTTTCTTGCCTAAATGTAAAACTCTGCTTTTCTCCACACTGAAACTCATTTTGTTGGATAGGGCCCATTGTTCAAGTTTGTCATGAACTGCAGCTCACGAAAATTACACAGTCTGCTAATAAAATGTGTTAGTTTGAAAAGGCATCCCAGATTCCTCATTTTCATAAATTAACTACGCACCCATACCCGTCTACTGGCATTCATATAACTTTGATTTGAAATCTAAAAAGACATCAGGGAAAGGCTGTTAATGCAAGCACAAAATAGGGGCATGGCAATATGCAAGGGAGAGCTTTCAAAACATGGCAGATGAGCATCATCCCACCTGTTACGAAATCCATAAAAAAAATCAAGCAACTCCCGGAGACACCACTGGAAAATTCTCACTGATTAAAAAAAAGGGCTGGTATAACCATGTTTTGTGTCATCTAACCCTCTTTCCCCGGCATTGAAGCTGATTAATGAGACTGTGTGAATCTCGCTTGGGGTCTGACGGTAGCCTTAGATCCTCTAAAGCAAAGATGGTCAACATCTTTGGTAGCTGGGCTAACATTCCCTCTTCCAATTGTCCATGGTGGCTCAACCTAGCAGGAATCAGAACTGAAGAATGTTGGACGAACTACACATTCCTCATCCCATCTAGAACATTTTCCTTGGTCTGGAACCTACCTCTCCACTGTACTCTTCACACAGATTCAGCTCTGTCTCTGGACATGGATTATGTTGCATATAACGACGGCAGACAGCCATTTTCACTAGGCCAGGGACAGGTTTCCCATAGGTGTACCTGAATCCAGAACCAAACTGATTAAAGAGTTTAAAAAAACCAACCACAATCTACCGCGATAAGTTTTTGTGTGCTTTTATGATACAGAAGGGAGAAGGCTTGCCTCTTTTGTGAAAACAAGATTGTCTGTATCTGTTCATTCTTTTGATCACTGCAACTCATTTTATCAGTATGAGAAGTTGTCTTGCCAGGGATATTGTGAAGCCATTCCCCAAATACAGGACCTATTCTTTCATCAGCACGATTGATTATGGACACTGATGGCAATGCTCCCCTTCTCTGACTACTGTAATGCCTTGGGCTGGACTAAAATGGGAGGCTGGAAAAATACTGAGTGTCTGACAGAAATTGTGGGTGAAAGAGAGGTTTTCCTGTTCCCAGATGACACTTAAATTTAGAAATGCCAGATATCCTGTTTTTAACTCTGCACATGATATATTGCAAACTGCCTATCACTTGAAATATTGCAAATTGCTAAAAGCATTCCTATGTTAAAATGAGGAACTATAAATTATAACCATGTCTAGTAACCTTCCTATGTTAGAATAAGGAACTATAGAATGTAACCATGTATGGAATATGTCCTGATCAGGGAATACTTACGGTATGTATTGGGGGTTATAAATATGATCACCCATGCCCCTGTTGGGCTGTGAATAGCTCTCTGAACCTGCGCAAATAAACTTTCCTTCCACAAAAGAGTTGACTCAAGTCTCTCACTTCTACAACAGGATGACCACGAGGCTCATGACACAGTGATGGCACCTATCTTGTGAATGGTGCCTCAAGGAAGGATTGAGGTTGACAATGCATCTTATCCACATATCGTGCCTAAATTAATCTTTGGAAAGGGTCCTGGAACAACGCCGATCATTGATGTGAAAGAGAAGAGTTTGGAAGAGGAAGGAATGGGGGAATCCCCAGACTTGGAGGTATCTTTGTCCACCCCACATTTTCCTACGTGGCGTAGAACAGAGGAGGAATTACCTAGTCCCCTCCTCTTCCTCTCATCTCTATTCTGCTACTATAGTGTATGTCGAAGATTTAAAACTAGAACAAGTCTTTGGGACTCTTTATACAAATTATGAGCAGCATTGCTTTGAGCTGCCTTGGAAAGTTGTGTGCCTTTCATTATACAGCCGGAGATATGCAGATAATTTTAGTTTTTACCTGCTGTTCACATTTCTCCATGTTTTTACTTGGCTTTCATCCCTATTTTGCCTATTTAACCATTTCTGATGTTTTCTGATTTTTTTAAATCAATGCACCGCCAAGATATATATTTTTGCTATAATAGAATTTCAATATAGAATTGCAAGGGCTTACTCTAAACTGGATATAGGGAGTGACTTGGGGGCAAGAGAGGAAATTACCCATATAATTTCCCAACATGTGATTTCTAAAAAAAATTATCATGTCTTTCAGGCCACCAACTTGACCTTTTCATACCCTCCCCACATTCCCACCCCAAAGGAAGGTACCTAGGATGAGATAAAGATCCAGGGAGAAGTCCTCCATTCTCCCTTTTTTCCCCAAATAAGGAAAAGAAACCTTGTTAGATCTTACTTCCCACAAAAGGTTATTTCAAATTTTCCAGTCCAAATGGAGATTTGCTTCGGTCCCGTCATCGAAACTTTAAACTTGGGTAATACTAAAAAGAGGAGAGAAATGTCAACTCTAAAGGAGAACTTTATATGCTCTTCAAACCATGTTACTGTTTGCCTTGTTTTGCTATCCTATCATATTAACATGGAGTTGAATCCTAGCTGAAAATTCTGAGCATCTCTAAAAGCCAATCCAGTATTAGAATTAAGGATACATCCCGCATGCCAAGTTATTGAGTCTTTTTTGCCCTGGCTGGTCACAAGGGCTAACTTTGGGTTCTCTCCCTAGATCAGGGGTAGGCAACCTTGGCTCTTTTATGACTCGTGGACTTCAACTCCCAAAATTCCTGAGCCACAAGTCATAAAAAAGCCAAGGTTGCCTACCCCTGCCCTAGACAAAATGGAGATACCGATGCTAAGGCAATGTTTCTCAGTTTCAGCAACTTTAAGATGTGTGGACTTCAGCTCCCACAATTCCCCACTCCACACATCTTAGAATGTTGGCTGAGGAATTCTGAGAGTTGAACCCTTCTATATACTACAAAAACTCTTTGGTTTCTTTGTCTGTACATAATTGGGCAAAAAAATTTGAATCAACATACGTACTTCATATGGATTAACTTAAAGAATGCGCCCAAAATCCAGTTCCTGTGGGATTGAAATTTGGCAAAATAGGGACAGATTCAACACCATCACAGCCAGTTGCAGTCACATGTTTGTTATTTCCACTACTTCCTGCCTGCTTCCCACAAAGAAAGTCAATGGGGAAGCTGGCAGGAAGTTGGAAGTCACTCCCAATCCCACTGCTTTTTTGCCCTCCCATGATCATTCTGTTACTCAGTTGAGATAAGGAAATATCTCTGAAAAAATGACCCAGTGAGTTACATGTTGTCTAATGTATCTTCAGGTACTGGCTGGGGAATTCTGGGAGCTGGAGTTCACACATCTTAAAATGGGTGATATTGAGAAACATTGTGCTAAGGCAGGGGTAGGCAACCTTGGCTCTTTTATGACTCATGGACTTCAACTCCCAGAATTCCTGAGCCAGCCACACTGGGTCAGGAATTCTGGGATTTGAGGTCCACGAGTCATAAAAGAGCCAAAGTTGCTTATCCCTGTGCTAAGGCATTACTTGGAAATCCAGGAACTTTGTTTAACACAAGAAAAATATGAAGTAGAAGTCCCCCCTTGGACTCACAAGTTCATTCCAAGAATGCTGTGGAAGATCCATAGATATCACTTCTATTTCATTTATGAAAGTGTTCTTAGAGAGATTAATAGGAGTACAATCACCACCCAATTCTATTCAAGGCTCACAAGTAGGCTTGAACCTTCTTACCATATTCTTCCACATGAAATGTGTGCCCGGCAATCTTCCTGGAAGATTTTTCTATCACCAATTTGTAGGTGCCTAAGGCGGGCTCAGAAGACAGAAGGAAAGACAGCTGGGTGAGGCCCATGTTAAGCTTAACATCGTTCCACTGGAACAGACGATTCTTCCTGGGGTCCTGTCAATCACAAATTCAGAACATGAGAGCTTTTGATGTTGATAGCTAGCACACTTAATGCCCCACCTCATCTTCCGGTCAACGTTCCCCCAACTTTTCAGATTCTTAGAAATATAATTCCCAGATTCTTAAACCAACTCACATGGAGATTGCTCTTTTATTCTTTGGCTGCACAAATACATTTTCAAATTTTGTTCAGCTGCTTTCATTATTATTATTATTATTATTATTATTATTATTATTATTATCATTGATCATCGCACAGTCAGCCAGATGTTTATACTGGATTTGGCATTTTGTCTACCTATCGAGTCCTTACCGAGGACCTGGGATAGGCAGATGTGGATGTTTGATGGTATTACAGATATCGTCGCAGGATGGAAGCAGTTCCTAGTAAGGCTGCCTTTTGCAATTGACTAATAGCGAATTTGTCAATACTTATGGTGTTCAAGTGGTGCTCCAGCTGTTTTGGGATTGCACCCAAGGCGCCTATGACTATTAGTACTACCCTTGCTTGCTTTTGCCACAGTCTTTCTATTTCTATTTGTAGGTCTTTGTATTTTGTTATCTTCTCCAGTTCTTTCTCGTCTATTCTGCTGTCTCCAGGAACTGATTATTATCATTATTATTATTATCATTATTATTATTATTATTATATAACATAAAACATAAAGATACAAAAGAAAATAGTAAGTAACAATAGTAGGGGAAGGGGAAAAAGAAGTGTGGAAAGGAGGAGGGAAGGAAAAAAAGGCGTTGACTTCAAATGCCCTCCGTTGCAGTAAAACAAGGCAATAATATCGAATCTCAACTTTTTACATTTCTATAGTAGTATGAACTAGCCATTTCTATATCAACAAATCAATCTAATCAGTAAAATCCAAAATCATAGTATCATTTTTTTTTCACCTCAAGCACAAAGCCCAGAAATGGTTTCCAAGTAGAAACAAAAGTACTTATATTCTTTTCTTTTATCAAAACAGTCAGTGTAGCCATCTCTGCTAATTAAGCTGCTTTCAGTTGAAAAGCTGGTGCCTCACTTGGATTGTACTGTACTCGGAGAAGGGAACTTGGTAGGAATGGTGAACAGAAGCTCACAGACAGATATCTTGCAGAGATAAAAGGAAAAAAAACCTAATTTGGGCTTCATGGGTAGATAAGCCATCACACAAACTGAAGTTGGTTTAGAGCAGGGGCCTTCAAACTTGGCCCTTTTATGACTTGTGGACTTCAACTCCCAGAATTCCTCAGCCAGACAACTTCCTAGTCATTTTCTTCCAAAAACATGGGCTAAAAATATTGGAAACCCTCACACAAGATCTCCTAAAGTCAAGCGGTTAGGAAAATGAATCCTTTTTAAAAGCCACAGGAATCAGACCAGCTGTGAGGCAGTTGGTCTATATTAGGGTGGGTGGGTGAGCGTGTAAGTAAAAAACAGATTTCACAACAATAGGCAAAGCATTTGAAAAAAACCTCATTTTTTCAAAAAAAAAAGTTAAAAAAATATTCTGTTTTCAAATCTCCTTGGATCCACCACTTTGCCTTCCTTCATTCTATCAAAGCCAATCTGACTCATTTAAAAAAAAAAACATGCGAACGTTTGTCATCTGCACATCCCTAACAGGAAAACAGAAAGCATCACTTCCCTCTGATAGCCTGTTGGCCTCTTTCCCCAGTTTTGAAGCCAATTTGCATTCAATCTTATCAGAGAACTTTATCTGATCATTGACATTTCTCTCTTGCTTTCACAATAGAGACAGAAAACAGAGAATGTCCCAGTTGTAAAATGAAACATATTAGGTATCTCAGGTTGCTGGGGGAGGGGGTGGAGAGCTTAAAAGTAGTTAGGGTGGGGCAATAACAGGTTTTGCAGTCTTCAAAAGTATAGATCAGGGGTCTTGAAACTTGGCTCTTTTATGACTTGTGGACTTCAACTCCCAGAATTCCTCAGCCAGCGTGCTTGGCTGAGGAATTCTGGGAGTTGAAGTCCACAAGTCATAAAAGGGCCAAGTCTGAAGAGCCCTGATATAGATGAGTGGGGCAATCATCCCACAGCTGAGAAGTAAATCTTTCTTGAGAAAGCAAGACTGTGTTTCTGAAACTTAGCAACTTTAAGATGTATGGCCTTCAATTCCCAGAATTCTCCAGCCAGCCAACTTTAGGAGTTGAAGTCCACACACATCTTAACATTGTCAAGATTGAGAAACACTGAGCTATGGAATATTTGGACTGGTTAGTTGGTTATTTATGTGCTTGTTTGTTTGTTTGTTATCAAATTTACATGGCCACTCATCCAACAAAAAAAAAAATACTTGAATGGGAGAGCACTAGAAAATTCCCACTGGACTAAAAAGTCAGAAAAGCAGCTGGAGCACAGGAGTGGCAAACTTTTGTTATTGCTGATGTTAACCGGGTTGGAAATGGCTATTATCTTGATAGAAAATGCCTAGGAAATCTTAGACCTATAAATTACACTGAGACGTCTGAAAAAGTTTCCAGGAAATCATATCCATACTGCTGCCAAGAACACTTCCTGGACCTGTCCAGCTTTGGACCAGATTAGTTTCTAAATGGAAAATCACCAGCTTAAAGTGGACCAAGAATTAAAAAAATAAATAAATCTGGAAAAAGACCATAGCAACTTACTTAAGCACAATTGCTAAGAATGTTACCTGGGCAATGAGTCCAGGTGAACAGCAGGACTCACTGGCAGGTTTAGTTCAATTCTACTCCAATTTGGGGAAAAGCTACATTAAACTATTGAGGACCTTCTAAAAGAAACTGGAATTTCTTTGCGCTTCTTTTCTTTTCTGCAGCCAATTTTGGTCACCATATCCCAAAAAAGAGTTTGGAAAAAATTCAGAGAAGAGCAACTAAGATGATCAAAGGCCTGGAGACCAAAACATACGAAGAATGGCTGCGGGACTTGGGTTTGGCTAGTCTAAAGAAAAGAAGGAATAGGGGAGACATGATAGAAATGTTCCAGTATCTGAGGGGCTGCCACAAAGAAGAGGTGTTCAGGTTGTTCACCGGAGCACCAGAGGGAACGACGAGAAGTAACGGTTGGAAACTGATCAAAGAGAGAAGCAACCTGGAATTAAGGAGAAACTTCCTGAAAGTGAGGACAATCAACCAGTGGAACAGTTTACCCCCAGAAATCGTGGGCACTCCATCACTGGAAATTTTTAAGAAGAGACTGGACAATCACCTGTCTGAGATGGTATAGGTTCTCCTGCTTGAGCAGGGGGCTGGACTAGAAGACCTCCAAGGTCCCTTCCGTCTCTATTCTATTCTAAAGCAATGAACTGTCCCTGTCAAGTCCCCAGAACCTAATTCAAATTTAAATTCTTTCTTTTGAAACCCTTTCACTCAATCATTAACTGATATTGAGCGTGGATTTGGAAATCCTATTTCACCCCAACCAGAATAGGGAAGTACGCCTCTCCCCCTCCCCCCAAAAAAAAAGTACTTCTGCCCATATCTCTTGGTTAAAAAAATTGCAACGATGGTTAATATTTAACACTTTGTTCTCCCTATTTCTGCACCCGTAGTAAATCATATAAAAAAATCTATTTGCTCTAGATAACCTAAGGGACGAATGGTGCCTGCAACCTGAGCAGATTGTAACACCTTGCATTCTGGAGAAGAAAATCAAATAGTAATAGTAACAGTAGTAAAGTTGGAAGGGACCTTGGAGGTCATCTAGTCCAACCCCCTGCTCAGGCAGGAAACCCTACACCATTTCGGACAAATGGCTGTCCATCTCTTCTTAAAAACGTCCAGTGTTGGAGCATTTACTGCTTCTGGAGGCAGGCTGTTCCACTGATCAATTGTTCTCACTGTCAGGAAGTTTCTCCTTAGTTCTAGGTTGCTTCTCTCCTTGATTAGTTTCCACCCGTTGCTTCTTGTCCTGCCTTCAGGTGCTTTGGAAAATAGCTTGATTCCCTCTTCTTTATGGCAGCCCCTGAGATATTGGAATACTGGAATTCTGAAGCATCCCTAAAAAAAAATATACTCGTACAATAAACTAGAAATTAAACTTTAATTCAAATCATAAAAATGTCTTAAAAAACAAAAGCACTGAGCTGAGCTGAGTTCACAGATAAAAGTCTTCCCTAGTTATTGTCTCCCCTCCCCAAATTATTTCATTTCTTCATTTCCACAGGAAAATGCATTGATATTGCTAAATGACCTCATTTTTGCCCACTCATTAAGTCCCATTGACTTAAGGTCAATGTTTAAGTCCCAATGACTTAGAGTTCATGCTCTGATATGATAGCATGATGGGGAAACAAATTCAAGGCCAGCCAAAATACTTAGATTTCCTGGAAGATATAACAAAATACCATCCGTTATCCTTACTAACATAACATCATAGCCAGTGGCTACGTGGCTAATGATAGGCCTATTGTAGGAGAAGTCCCAAATTGTCTGTTATGCCCATGATAATGGTGTCCTCAAGTGATCACTTTGGCATTATTATTATTAACTTCCAGAAAATATCACAGAGCAATTTGAAGGAATGGGATTCCAGGATGAGCACGGCAGACTTATACTCAGGGAATATCCACTACCAATAAAGATGTTCCTTTACTGTTAGAAAGTTTTGTGAAATGTCTCTTTAAGAAAAAATTGGACCACCATTTTTCTGAAATAGTATAAGGCAGGGATGTCAAACTGCCAGCCCATGGGCCAGATGTGTCATGATGAAACCGCACCCACCCCATTGCTGGCAATGGAAAAAAACTCACGATACGCTGTGACATGTCATGTGACATTGTGAGTTTGACACCCTTGGTATAAGGTTTCCTGCTTGAGTAGGGGGTTGGACTAGAACAGGGGTAGGGAACTTTGGCTCTTTTATGATTTGTGGACTTCAACTCCCAGAAATCCTGAGTCAGTATAGCTGGTTCAGGAATTCTGGGTATTGAAGTCCACAAGTCATAAAAGAGCTAAGGTTCCCTACCCCTGCACTAGAAGAGTTCCAAGGTCCTCCCAACGCTGTTATTCTGTTACTGAACTGGAAACCTAAGATTATGACTTCTTAAATAGCCTTATTCTGTAGCTCCCTCATTTGGATATTTGAAATGGACTGTCCTATCCAACTGCTCATGTTTTATTAGCTTGTAAATCAGAATGCCACAGGGTACTTTGTCAAATGTGTTGCTGAAATCAAGTCATATTATATCTGTTGCATTACCACTATCTACTGAAAAAGTTACTTAATATAAAGATAAATATAATCTGACAAGAGTTGTTGACAAACATTCATGCTGACCTCTGGTAAATTATTGCACTGTTTTCAAGGGGCATAAAATATTTTTTTATGACCTACTGTAGAATCTTCACAGGCATGCATGTATACATATGTCTTATTTTGGCTTATATACTACTGCATTTCCAGAAACTTTTTTGTCAGTTTTGATACCAAATTGATTGGTCTGTCTTTTCCTCTTCCTGAAGATGTAGATATTAGCCCTCTTCCAATTTCTGGCAATCGGCTCTTTTTCCAGAATTTCTTAAAGAAAATAAAGTACACAGCACACGGTCCAACAAGCGCTGGATATATCCGTGTGTTCCAACTAATTCGCATATTAACTATAATTCTATCATGCCCAAACTGCATCTCTTCCTTCAGTGTGTTCCATAACATTTGTTGGTTCTCCTTCTTAAACAAAAGAAAATAAAATCTGAAAAGTTGTGGATGATGACATTAAGGAGGAGATTAAGCTTGAATTATGCTGAACATTGTGCAGTTTTGATACCAACAAACATAATTTGGGGGTGTAGCAGCCATCTTGTTATTACGGTAAAAGGAAAAAAATAAGTACTTACCTGGATGTAAATTAAAGGAATCTGACAGAAATAAAAGCAAGAGAGAGAGAAATCAGAAATTACAAGACTACAACAAATTATAATCTTATACACATGCACACACAGAGAGGAAATATGGATATATGAGATTACAGGTAATCCCTGCTGTTTGTGGGGCACGGGGAATTTGCTGCACTAGGACCGGGGAAGCCAAATCCTGGTCCTCCTCAGACATGGAAAGTTCTAGGAGAGTTTGGATCAGTGCCAAAGATGGTTAGGGGACTGGAGAATCAAATTAATGAAGAACGGTTGCAGGAATTGGGTACGCAACCTATTCTCCAAAGCACCTGAAGGCAGAAGAAGAAGCAATGGGTGGAAACTAATCCAAGAGAGAAGCAACCTAGATCTAAGGCAGTGATTCTCAACCTTTCTAATGCCGTGACCCCATAATACAGTTCCCCATGTTGCGGTGACCCCCAAGTGGGTGTGGCCACCAATAAGAGGGAGTAGGACAGCTAGGGAAAAGGGAAAAAAATGGCGGACAGCATGGTTTGGTTACCCCCGTGAAATGGTCATTCGACCCCAAATGGGGTCCCGACCCACAGGTTGAGAACCACTGATCTAAGGGGAAATTTCCTGACAATGAGAACAATTAATCAGTGGAATGGCTTGCTTTCAGAAGTTGTGGATGTGTCATCACTGGAGGTTTTTAAGAAGAGACTGGACAGCCATTTGTCTGTAATAGTATAGGGCAGGGGTAGGCAACCTTGGCTCTTTTATGACTTGTGGACTTCAACACCCAGAATTCCTGAGCCAGCCATGCTGAGAGGAAAGGGAGAGGTTTCCAAGCTGAGCCAGGCTGGCTCAGGAATTCTGGAAGTTGAAGTCCACGAGTCATAAAGCGGCCTAGGCCTAGGCCAGAGGTAGGCAACCTTGGCTCTTTTATGCCTCGTGGATTTCAACTCCCAGAATTCATGAGCCAGCCATGCTGAGGGGAAAGGGAGAGGTTTCCAAGCTGAGCCATGGTGGCTCAGGAATTCTGGGAATTGAAATCCATGAGTCATAAAAGAGCCAAGGTTGCCTATCCCTGGTATAGGGTTTCCTGCTTGATCAGGGCATTGAATTAGAAGTTCTTCAAGGTCCCTTCCAATTCTGTTATTCTGTGATGCTTACAGGATTGCCGTTGAGAGGAAAAGGGGAGAAAAGAGCCACCTTGAGCTCCTGGACAAAAGGCATGGCACAAAACTAACAAATAATTAATGGAAGAGGGAACACAAACTAAAGGACTCAGTTTGTGTCACATGTATGGCATGTTTGTGACAGACATATCATTTTGATGCCCATTGTGGTTTTTATAGACAGGGAAGATCATTGTGCTTATGTGAGTGTAAGGCAGGGGTGTCAAACTCAATTTCATTGAGCACCGCATCAGCATTGCAGTTGCCCTCGGGGGCCGGGTGAGTGTGGCCAGGGTGGGTGCGGCCTACTGGGTGGGCATGGATGGAGTGGGTATGGCCTACTGGGTGGGCATGGCCAGCTCTACATCATTCACGTCAAGGGTGACTGTGGGCGCCTGGAAAGGAGTGGGACAGATCTGAGGGTCTCTGGCAGAAGGGGGTGGGACCGGGGCAAGCGCCAAGGCATGGTCCATTTCTTCATTCCTCACAAAAGGTGACACCTCTCCAGCATGCACCCAGGGGGTGGGGCCGACACAGCAGGGGCTGGTTCTCGCTGTTTCCAGACGGCCTTGTGGAGCTAAGACTGAATGCCTTTCAGCATAGATGGCCACCACAAAATTGTACATTGGCTCCTGGCCGGCCAGGGCCAGGGCCAAGGCAGCGGGGGCCATTCCCTCACTGTTTCCAGGATGGCTTCATGGGCCACATGAAACCACTTGGCGGGCCGCCTCTGGCCCCCGGGCCTGGTGTTTGACATGTCTGGTGTAAGGTGAGCATGCAAGTTCATGATATTATTGTAGACCAGGATGTGCTCATGGGCCTAGACTTTATGTTACTATCCTTGCCTGCAGGAATTACATGAACATAGGAAAGGTATATTTTCTTATTATGCCAAGGTGGAGCTTCAGCGACGGCTGTAGCCTTCCAAGGAAGGGAATGAGCAGCCATTGTACTCTGTCACAGCCTACCTTCTTATTTGCAGGGCGAAAGTCTTCATGCAGACAAACGATGCGAATCTTCACTGTGAAAGGAATAAATAGTATTGGGTTTGTGGCCATGTAGATAGATATCTGGAGCCCAGCTTCAGCTTTATAAGCATAGTAGCTCCAAATTCCTCCTAGGCCAGTGGTGGCGAACCTATGGCATGGGTGCCAGAGGCAGCACTCAGAGCCCTCTCTCTGGGCACGTGTGCCGTTGTCCCAGTCCTAGGACTTCAGCTGGGTTTTATAAAACCTTTTTGCTTTAGGCCTTCACCGCCATGTGCAAAAAAAAAAAAAGTTTCAATTAGTCAATTTCAACTTCTCGTGGGAAAAAAAAGATATTGCAAAGTTGGAACTGATTGATTGAACTTTTTAGTCCCACTGCAGCCACACCCACCCAATTGGCCACACCCACCCAATTGGCCACACACACCCAATGGGCCACATACCCCTGGTACTCGACGATGCATAAGTGGGTTTTGGGTTGCAGTTTGGGCACTCAGTCTCTAAAAGGTTTGCCATCACTGTCTTAGGCATTTCTATCATCCATTTTTAGACTTGGAATGAAGGGAGAAGTCATCTATTCTGACTTCGAATGGGTACAAGATCAAGCCAGAACGGAATTGGCAAGAGTGACTGGCACCAAGGAAAGGGTTTATTTGGTTTATTGACTCATATCAGAAATTCTGTTTATATAAAGAGAATACAGAGCACAAATGAAGAGTACAGTCACCATGTGCTTTACTGCTCAACTATATCCTGTAACAGGAAACAAGAAACTCTACTCAGAACAAAAGATCACAGAGTATATAGCATAGATCCAAACTTGTAAATACTGCCATCTACTGGCTGAATACTACTGTAGTTGTTGCATAGAAATACTGGGTGTGACGAGCCATCCATTAAAGCATTCAGATTTTAAAAACCTGCACAGATTCCCAGAAATGGAATAAAATAAATAAATAATCTTCAACATAGTCTTAAAAATTATTGGAGGTGATCTGGTCCTCTGGGGGCAAGCAATTGCTGCATTAGTGGTATCCATAGAAAAGGGCCTGTTTTCATGCTCCGAAAATAAGCCCTAGCTTGATTTTTGGAGGTGGGCCTAATATACCCCCTACCCCAAAAATAAGCCCTAGTTTGGGGTCAAGGTACACATCTAAAAATCAAGCTAGGGTGGGGATCCAGGAGGTGGAGCTGCCCCACACGCCCTTCACCCACTTCCTTGCAGCCACTTCTGCTGCTGCGTCCCCAAGCCTGCATTTTGCAATCAGAGGCCTTTCTCATTGCACCAAGAACTGAGCTATGGATTCAATCCATGGTTTGGTTCTGCAAGGCCTCTGCAGCCGAGCACCAAGCTATGGGATTGAATCAATAGCTCGGTCCTCAGCTGTAGTGGCCTTCCAGGAAGGCCTTTGACTGCAAAATGCAGGCTGGAGCTCCATTCTCAGCAGCAGAATGAAGCTGCTCCTTCTGTCCCAGAAGAAGTGGTTCAGCTGGGCAGGGCTGTCAGTGCTAGAGGTGAGTGAAAAAGACACGTTCACACCCAAAAAATAAGACCTGGTGCCTCTTTTGGAGGAAAAAAAAGTCTTACTTTCAGGGAAACACGGTAGTGATCCTTTTTGACTGACTTCTCCATTCCTTTTCAAACCTGTCTACCATCTCTCACAGACAGATTTGTTCAGAGAGGCAGTTCTCCCAGTAACTGGGGGCCAAGGCATTCAGGGCTTTGAATTGGCCTCCAAAACCTAGTAGCAACCAGTGCAGACTTCTTGGGGGAGGTATGGCAAATTGAAAATATCTCTGCAAAAGTGGAATCAACCACAGCAACAAAGACCAAGTAAGTTTATCAGTTCCTTAGAACCCCTCTGGATAAGGAGAGGGCAGGAGATTGCCCATATGTGCTCCAGACAGCTACTCTTAGCAGAACAGTGGTTTTCCACAAATTGGAATGCCCAAAGACAAAAGGGATCAGCTATCTTTGCAATCGCAATGAAGCCTTTTAAAGGACACTAAGTTTGCAAGCCTCACTTTCTAATTTCTGTCAGAAATTGCCTATTAACCATCTTAAAAAGCAAACCGCCATACAGTGGTCATCCGCCCTTACGAATGATCGTAGAGACACTACAACATGTCCCCTGCCTATTTCAGTAAAGCCATGGGAAATGGGGTGGGAAGGAGTAAGTGGATTACGGGATGCTAGCAAAGCAGGCCCAGTCTGTGGAGACCTGGCAGGGCAGGATGGGGAAGAGCAATTGTGGGGACCCAAGGGAGTGTGAGGTATCTCAGTAGACCGGGGGAAATCTTGGGTGGCCTGCTCCAGCACCAGGCCCCCATAGTCTTCCTCACCTTGAGATACCTCATGTGCATTTAGCAACCTTCATGTTCAATTAGCAAATGCATTGGAGAAAGCAGGGAGTCATCACATTCATTTAAAGTGATTCGATCAAATGAATCCTTGGATTACAAATGTAATTGGTAGGCTCTATTATATTCGTAACTCGAAGATTAAGTGATTCACTTAAGAACCGTGGCACAAAAAAGATGGTAAAATCAGGCATGACTCAATTAAGTTGCTCAGCAATGGAAATTCTGATCCCAATTGTGTTCATACCTCTACCTCTACAATTTCTCCACTGGGAGACCTCACTTACCTTCCTGTCCTGCCTTGTAGATGGGCTTGTCTGTCTGAACAAAAAGTAGGTCACTTGGGTTTCTGACCATGACCAGTTCTTGTTGTGTCACGTTCAACTTTTTTCCCTTCAGTGCCACCTGGAGAAGGACCTTGGGACAATCTGTAGGGCTGGGAAATCTTGAGGGACAGCTTGAGGAATGATTCAACTTGGGAAGCTGGAGAAGAAACAAAGATAGCAGTGTGAGGCTTCTTCGCAGTTCCTATTGAAAGCATCTATAACCTCTTGCTTTACTTCCTGGACCCTTGCCAGTAATCATGGGGGCCAAAACAAAAACAAAAAATGGAATTCCTACCTGGAAGGAAATACATTGGAAGATGTCCTTCTCAGCCATCATGTTTACTTCAGTCAGGCTTATTTTCTTGTCCTCAAATTCCATAGTGATGCTCAAAGTCAAGGTCTCATTGAAATGGAGCATCTGGACACAAACCTTCTCAGAGGTCTGCGTGTGGATCACAGAGGGCACCAGAATCAAGTATTGCCTGGAAGGCAGGAAAGGTAAAAGGATTTATCAAGTGAGTGACATGGATGCCCTGTGACCAGGGTAGGTTTCACTACAGAAAGTCACCACCCCTGCAGCTAAAATAATTTCCTTGATGGATTAATTATCAGTTTTGTCAGTGTGGCAGAGGAAGGAAGGAAGGAAGGAAGGAAGGAAGGAAGGAAAGAAGGAAGGAAGGAAGGAAGGAAGGAAGGAAGGAAGGAAGGAAGGAAGGAAGGAAGGAAGGAAGGAAAGGAAGGGAGGAGGGGGAAGGAAGGAAGGAAAGAAAGGAAAGGAAAGAAAGGAAGGAAGGAAGGAAGGAAGGAAGGAAGGAAGGAAGGAAGGAAGGAAGGAAGGAAGGAAGGAAGGAAGGAAGGAAGAGGGAGGGAAGGGAAGGAAGGAAGGAGGCGGAAAGAAAGAAAGAAAGGAAAGGAAAGGAAGGAAGGCTCTTTTTTGCAAAAACTTTTATTGATTTTCTAATTTCACATTTAAATATTTGAAAAGCAATGTGGCAGCTGAGTTGGTCAATTATTCAATAACATACAAATATCTTTAGTACAGATCTCAAACTATTACATTAAATATTTCCTCTCTTTTCCCCTTGGTATTTACTGTCTCGTATTTAAATTAATACAATTCTTATTATATCAATTAAATAAAAATAACTTTCTTACATTTATCAATAATTTTTGTTTATACATATCCTAGTTGTTTTAACATTCAATCTTTTTAGACAATCAATGTCCTGATTAGTTTTCCCAATTTTTAGTTTCCCATTAATATTTAAATTTAACGTTTAATATTTATAATTTCCAAGTTTTAAATAATCCCAATTCCCTTTATCACAATTCATCACAAAATCTAATGTTCAGGATACATGTCTTGTCTATTTGAATCTCACCATCTTACATCAACCAATTAATAATACAATATAATATTCTTGTTTTCTGGTAATTTCCAAATATCTTAAATTCAGTAACCAAAGTTTTTCTTATTTCAACATTTAATACTTTCTCTCTTCTTCTCTTAATATCTACTATCTCATATTTAAATTAGTAATTTTTTATTACTTCTAAATAAGAACATATTTATTACATTCATCAATAATTTTAGCTTATATATATATTATCTTTACATTTAGCCTTTATAAGCAAATCAATGTTCAAATTCAACTGTTAATATTTCTACTTCCAAGTTTTAAATGACCAAAGACGGAGCTCGCCTTCCAGACATCCATGGCAACCACATTGGCAAGCCGAAAGTCAGAAAGAAAGGCTCTTAATGGCTAGATATATTGATATTTCTTGTCTCTTGAGAAATGTTGGCAGTTTGCAAGAAAAAAAAATCACCGCTTCTTCTCTCAATACCATTGCACCTGGTCAAATAGATTTGGTGGACTTTTTTTTTACCCCAAACCAACCAAACCTGTTTAAATCAAAAAGCAATATTTGTGCCACATGCTGCATAATGCCTCTCTCAAAATTACTTTCCTTAGACTCTAAAAGATATTCCTGTTCTCTTATTTAAATGGAATAATGTTCTCTCTTTTTGTCAAAATAGCCACTCACATCCAATTTGAAACAACACGCACAGGGCAATCTGTCTCCAGTTAAACGTCTAATGGCCTGATTGAAATACTATATGGATTCTTCCATGAATATAGCATGAGGACTAAAGGAACTGGGCAGGAGAATTAAATCTCATGAAATGATAGTCTGTGAAAACGACTTTTGAACGCTTACTGTCCTGGAGAAGAAGCCCGAATCCCTACTTAACAGAAGTTAACAGAATAACAGACTTGGAAGATACCGTGGAGGTCTTTTAATCCAATCTTCTGCACAAGCAAGAGACTCTATTCCATTCTAGACAAATGGTTGTCCAGTCTCTTCTTTAAAATCTCCAGTGATGGAGCATCCACAACTTCTGGAGGCAAGCCATTCTATTGGTTGGTTGTTCTCACTGTTAGGAAATTTCTCTTTAGTTCTAGGTTGCTTCTCTCCTTGATTTGTTTCTATCCATTGCTTCTTGTCCTTCTGGTGCTTTGAAAAATGCTAAATGAAATGCAGTTGGACTGGATCTTTGATTAAATTTTTGCCATGGACTTGTAAATTGATTTTTGCAAGAAAATTGTAAAGATGTATAACTAAAGTCGAAGCAAAACTAACTCTGAGGTTCCAACACAAAGCAAGTTCACTTTGTTATGGGAACCGTCTGCTTCAAACCCATGCCTGTTATGGTGTCCTTGAAAAGGTTTCAGGCTTTTATGTAGAAGTTTCTTTTCTCCATCTAACCCACTGAAAAGTAACACCTCCCCCCCTTTAAAGGCAAGTTGAAACATAGAGGCATGTAGCTGCCAAAGTTTCATCCTTGATAAGAAGTCTGTTGCAAACAGAATTAAAGTAAGATATTGCTCTATTACAATCAGTCATCACTTGGGGAATAAAATAAAATGGCCTGTGGATTTATCTGTCTCAATTCAAAGGTATAAAAGCCAGAATTGATTATTATTTGAAAATAAAACGGATGCCAGAAATCATGGCTGTGTGGTTAATAAATGAGAGAGAGAGATGGAGCCTTTTCAATATTATACTTCAACTCTTAGCTCCCAGAAGTTATCCAGAACAGAATAGAATAACCAAGAATACCAATATCCAAATGTATAATGCACATAAGTAGTAGAAACTTTCATATAAACCATGATCCCCCAGAATTCTATGAAAAATCTTATGATTTTTGAATTAACTGCCTGCACAATCCAGAGAGCTAAACTCTCTAGTCACAAGATCCATGTGTTTTCATGCAAAAAATCCTGAAATCTTTAGAAAAACCATTCTGCTGTGTTCTGGGCAAAAGGACATCAAACTTTTTTGAATCATTAACTCTTTGCAAAATGTAACTAAACTGGATTTTGGACCTGCATTTTGGACAACAACCAAGGCATGTTGTCACCTTAATTTGTTATTTTGGATCTACTTGATTAGCCATGATTCAATAAATTTTGGAAGCCCAGAAAAGTATTACTGCTGAGCCCTAATTAAATCATCTTTATGCTACTGTTTGTGTACATGCCTGGTCACATTCAACAAAATGGGACTAGCACAATTTTCTAAAAATAAGGGGTAGTGATAGTCCATAATCTGAATTTTCCTCCTCACATTGAGCTCTGGAATAAATTCCTACCAGGTAAGACAATTGTGAAGCATTCTGGATTGAAATGCCCAAAGGGGCTTTGGAGTGTGCTGTCTGCAACAGCAGAATTTTCCAAAGAGACACAGCTGCTTTAAAGAGTTGCAGATAAGAGCTGCATGAATATCCCATCACTCCCAGTTTTTTGCCTTTGAATATAGAGCATTGCATAGCCGTCGCAAACCCATCCGGAATGTTTGTTTCAGCTAATGAAACAAATCCTAGTTCCTCTAACTAGTTTTTGATGGCCTACAAAGACTCTCTAGAAAGAGTACAGAGAAGAGCAACAAAGATGATTAGGGGACTGGAGGCTAAAGCATATAAGGAACGGTTGCTGGAATTGGGTATGTCTAGTTTAACAAAGAGAAGGAGGAGGGGGGACATGATAGCAGTCTTCCAGTATCTCAGGGGCTGCCACAAAGAAGAGGGAGTCAAGCTATTCTCCAAAGCACCTGAAGGCCGGACAAGAAGCAACGGATGGAAACTAATCAAGGAGAGAAGCAATCTGGAACTAAGGAGAAACTTCCTGACAGTTAAAACAATTAACCAGTGGAACAACCTGCCTCCAAAAGCAGTGAATGCTCCAACACTGGAAGTTTTTAAGAAGAGACTGGACAGCCATTTGTCCAAAATGGTGTAGGATTTCCTGCCTGAGCAAGCGGTTGGACTCGATGACCTCCAAGGTCCCTTCCAACTTTATTATTATTATTACTCATGAGAACGCTAGGCTTACTTCCTCTGGCCTCAGAGTTTGTGGATGGGTCTCCAATTGATTTTTCTAAACCTCTGAGCCATACAAAGCCAGCTGTTGCCACACTGTTGCCACACTGGAGTCATTGTATGCAGCAGCCATACAATGACTCCTCTGTTGAGTGGGTGAATTCCCTACTTGCAAACCCGCAAAGAAGAAGAAGGAAGGACAAAGCTGCAAGTGGAGAACTGGTGAGGAAAGAAGGAAGACAAGAAGGTCCAACAAGCATCTTACGGTTCGGTGTAATTAGCCAAGGATGTCCGAGGAAGAAGAATCACCAGCAGCAGCAGGGCGAGGCTGGGTATCTCCCGGATCCATCCCTTCCCCATGATATTTGGATGGCTGGTGGTGTGCAAAGCCAAGGGCCCTGATCATTCGCCCTATGGCTGCTGCTACTTATACTGTCTAACTGCAAACAGAGAAGATAAGAAATGGGCTGGAACAGATTGCAACAGCCAATTCTGTTTGCATGAATTGATCTTCCTGGTTGCTGAGAAGGAAGAGGATTAAGTTGAGATAACTCAATTGCCAAATTGTTTTCCAGGGGTGCTGTGGCTTATGATTGAAAATTAGCGAAACTGGCCCCGTATGTTACCTTCCAACCAGCTCATATTTGCCTAGCAGCCACACTGCTCACTTCCTGTACCCACTAACTGATGTCATGATTTTCCAACTGTAACCCTTTAAAACCCACGGCCTTAGAACAAATCTCCGCACTTGCTTTGGAAACCTTAATCCCAAGTGACTTTTCTTTCGCAAAGCAAGGATTTCAAAAAGATTTGCACGCCTTGTGTGCTCAGTTAGCATTAACGCGCCATGCCAAAAGCAAAACCCAGCATTTCCTGGGACAACATCCTGGGTGCTTAAAAAGAAAAAAAAATCCATTTTACTAAGAGGATTCTGAGCGCCCTCGTTGAAAAAGGATGCTGGAAAATTGGGAGGGAGCCCAGGAGAACTACCAAGATGGTAGAAGATCTGGAAACCAAGCCTTTATTTATTTCAGTGTTGCTTCTCAAATTTATACGGCCACCATTTCACGCAAAGTGACTCTGACCCTCACTCGACACACCCACACATTCCCTAAGCCAGAGGTCTCCAACCTTTCTGGGCTCCAGGAAAGGAGGGAAGGAGAACAGCTTCAAAATTGGTGTGCGTGTGAGCGTGCACACTGGTGCGGCACTAGCAGCCCAATTCGAGCATGTGGCATATACTAATGCCTTGCACATGCGTGAACGGCTGCGCACCCCTCAGGGTGGCTAGCGGCCCATTCACACATGCACAAAGGCCACGCAAACCATCCGGGCTAGCAGCACATGCGCAAACGGGCTGTGGGCACTCACCCTGCGCTAGCATTCCGTTTGCGCCCACGCGCTTGCACAAACAGGACCACAGGCGCTAGCACGAGTGGGGGGGAAATGTGCACCCAGACATGCATGCACCAGCCAGCCATTTCCATGGCCCGCTGGCCAAGAGCCCACGCCCACCCGGCACCCAGTGATACATAAGTGGGTTTGGGGTGGCAGTTTGGGCACTCGGTCTCTAAAAGATTTGCCACCACTAGTCTAACTGTTGCTTTCTTGCTTTTTGTAATCGGCTTTTGCACCAGGGCAACCTCATGCAGGCGTGAGAATCATGTATCTGAAGTTCAAGTAAGGAACTGGGACCTTACAAAAGGAAGGAAGGAAAGGAAGGAAGGAAGGAAGGAAGGAAGGAAGGAAGGAAGGAAGGAAGGAAGGAAGGAAGGAAGGGAAAGAGAAAGAGAAAGAGAAAGAGAAAGAGAAAGAGAAAGAAAAAAAACCCAGTTTTCCTAACTCCAAGGATGACAGATGTGGCTTGCTAGCTGCAGAGCAGGAAGTTATACATCCTGAGCAGGGGATTAGACTAGATGACCTCCAAACTTCCAATATTATTATTATTATTATTATTATTATTATTATTATTATTATTATTATTATTATTATTATGGATCATTGCACAGTCAGCCAGATGTTCAGACTGGATTTGGCATTTTGTCTACCTATCGAGTCCTTACCCAGGACCTGGGATAGGCAGATGTGGATGTTTGATGGTATTAAAGATATCGTCGCAGGATGGAAGCAGTTCCTAGTAAGGCCGCCTTTTGCAATTGACTAATAGCGAATTTGTCAATGCCAATGGTGTTCAAGTGGTGCTCCAGTTGTTTTGGGATTGCACCCAAGGCACCTATGACTATTGGTACTACCCTTGCTTTATTATTATTATTATTATTATTATTATTATTATTATTATTATTATTATTATTTATTACTGTTGCCTGGGGGATGCCCAGTTGGGGGCTCCTTTCATGTCCCCATTAACGAGCTCACCATTCGGGTCTCAAACACGGGCCTGCAAATTGTCAATCCAGCATCCTAACCCATGTGAGCCACCATGTTCCACAACAGGAACTTTAAAAACATTGTGATGATTTATTTTAATTTTTTTGGGGAAGAAAGTCCTTTAGGTAGCATTTGTGGCTAGGAGAACCTTTGCACAACTACTTGTTGTGAACCCTTTCTTGCTTCAGGAGTTCCTGCACTCAGTCACTCCTGTTTGGACTATTGGTCATCTCCTGTTTGGACTATTGCAATTCTGTTCTCTTTGAATTTGTCAGACTGCACCTGGAACAGTATTTCATTCTGGGGGGGGGAGGGGGAGGTGCTGACTTCCTACACTAGGGGAAAGGAACTAGCCATGCTGTCTCAGGAATTCTGGGAGTTGAAGTCCACAAGTCATAAAAGAGCCAAGGTTCCCTACCCGTCCTACACAGTCTTCAAACATCCCCCCACCCCCATCACCTTCACCCATATTTTCTAAACTCTTTGCAATTCCCTCCCCCCACCTTTCTTCTATTGCGGCTACCAGATCCAGATATAGTGTTCCAGTGCAGTCTGACAAGTTCAGAGAGAACAGAATGACCACTTCCTGGTACGTTGCTCAATAGTAGTAACTGTGAGAGGGATCTCGGAGTCCTAGTGGACAATCATTTAAATATGAGCCAGCAGTGTGCTGCAGCTGCCAAAAAAGTCAACACAGTGCTAGGCTGCATTAACAGAGGGATAGAATCAAGATCACGTGAAGTATTAATACCACTTTACAATGCCTTGGTAAGGCCACACTTGGAATATTGCATCCAGTTTTGGTCACCACGATGTAAAGAAGATGTTGAGACTCTAGAAAGAATACAGAGAAGAGCAACAAAAATGATGAGGGGACTGGAGGCTAAAACATATGCTGGAATTGGTTATGTCTAGTAGTTTAACGAAGAGAAGGACGAGGGGGGACATGATAGCAGTCTTCCAGTATCTCAGGGGCTGCCACAAAGAAGAGGGAGTCAAGCTATTCTCCAAAGCACCTGAGGGCAGGACAAGAAATAACAGATGGAAACTAATCAAGGAGAGAAGCAACCTGGAACTAAGGAGGAATTTCCCGACAATGAGGACAGTTAATCAGCAGAATAAGCCAGGCTTCACACGTTGTAGCTGCTCCATCACTGGAGGTTTTTAAGAAGAGATTGGACAGCCATTTGTCTGAAATGGTATAGGGTTTCCTGCCTGAGCAGTGGTTGGACTAGATGATCTCCAAGGTCCCTTCCAATATTATTATTATTATTATTATTATTATTATTATTATTTCTATTGATGCAGCCTAAAATGGCATTAGCTCTTTTGACAGTTGCAGTACCTTGATGGCTTTGGTCTACCAGGACACCCCATTTTTTCTCATGGTTCTGCTTCTTAGCCAAGTACCATATTATCTCATACCTGGGCATCTGGTTTTTCCTGCCTATGTGCAGGAAAACCATTGAACAACATTTTGTTGGATAGGCCCCAAAGTTCAAGTTGATCAAGATTTTTTAAAAATCTATTTATTAAATTCATTTGCCTCCCATCTCGCTGTCACATGTCTCTGGGTGACTTACAAACTAGTAAGCTCTAGTATAAAACTTAAATTACGTAGTATGAAAATTAAAACAATAAATACTTTAAAATTAACAAGAAATAGCCAAGATAGCTGGGGAATATATAATATGGTGAAGCTGAGATCTTACAGTTAATCCAATAATCAATTCCAGAATAGCATGAATGGGGTGGGCTGATACTCTCGGGTTCAGACAGTTCCTCAGATAACCTAGATCCATGCCATAAAAAGCTTTATAGGTAACAACCAATACCTTGAATTGTACCAGGAAGCAAACTGGAAGCTCATGGAAGAGGTCTTACATAGGCCACTCTGAGACTCTCAGAACTATCCATGCAGCCATATTCTAGGCCAGCTCTACCTTCCAAATACTCTTCAAGGGTAGCTCCATGTAGAGTGCATTGCAACAGTCCAAACAAGAGATGACCAGGGCTTGAGTGACTCCTGAAGCAAGAAAGGGTTCAACAGGTGCACAACAAGAAGTTGTTCAAAGGCTCTCCAAGCCACAACTGCCACCTAAAGGACTTTCTTCCAAAAAAAAAAAAAAATCATCGTAGTGTTTTTAAACTTCCTGTTGTGGAACATGGTGGCTCACATGGTTAGGATGCTGGATTGACAGTTTGCAGGCCTGTGTTTGAGACCCGAATGCTGCTGTGCGACAGGGTGAGTTCCCGTCATTCGCTCCAGCTCCTGCCAACCGAGCCGTTCGAAAGCGTGCAAATGCAAGTAGATAAATGTTAATGGGGACATGAAATGAGCCCCCAACTGGGCGTCCTCCAGGCAACAGTGATGTCACTGGAAGATCCTTTCATTACAGAAGTGCCTCGCTGCTTCTGACACAGAAGTATGATATAACTTCCTGCTCTGCAGCCAGCAAGCCACATCCATCACCCTTGGAGTTAGGAAAGCTGGTTCTTTCTTTCTTTCTTTCTTTCTTTCTTTCTTTCTTTCTTTCTTTCTTTCTCTTTCTTGCTTCCTTTCTTCCTTTCTTCCTTCCTTCCTCCCTCCCTCCCTTCCTTTTGTAAGGTCCCAATCCCTTACTTGAAGTTGAGATATCATAATCTAATCAGATAACCCAAGTGGAGACTTCTTGATCAAGCAGCACTTTATCTGATCAAATCAAGCAGCTGGGCGGCCAACAATCTGGAACGCTGGCAGAGTTACATCCAGAAGTGCCACACCTTAGAAAGCTACTAAAATTGCTTTATAAACCTTGTTAACCAATGAAAATCAGATAACAGAGCCATTACAGCATAAGGAAGACATCAATCATTCCTGTATACTCCCTTATTCCCTCCCTCATGTACATCCCATCCATGTACATGATTCTCACGCCTACATGAGAGTTCCCTGGTGCAAAAGCCGATTACAAAAAGCAAGAAAGCAACAGTTAGACCAGGGGTAGGCAACCTTGTCTCTTTTATGACTCGTGGACTTCAACACCCAGAATTCCTGAGCCAGCCATGCTGAGGGAAAAGGGAGAGGTTTCCAAGCTGAGCCATGCTAGTTTAGGAATTCTGGGTGTTGAAGTCCATGAGTCATAAAAGAGCCAAGGTTGCCTACCCCTGAGTTAGACTAAACAATTTCCCTTTGTTCCAGAACCCTTCACTTTCATCCTCTTACAAATTTCCTTCTGAATCAGAAGGAAGCTCTTTTTCTGCTGTGCTTTGAAAAACAGTTGCTGGCTTGTGCCAGATCAAGAGGTCTATCCAGGTCACCTGCCATATTTCATTTCGTGGTAAGGAAAGATCTATTTGGCTCCTGTGCTCCATTCCTTCTGCTTCACAATGGGGTTTTTTTTTCCGGCACTTTCACCGATGGAGCAATGAAAGGATGGACTTTGGTGTGTGTGTGTGTGTGTGTGTGTGTGTGTGTTTAAGCCAGCCAAAATCAATAAGAGTAACCCCAGCTGGCAGTTTCTGGACAGCACTTGTACGTTTGCCAAAGCGCTTTGAGATAATTTATTTTTTTCAGAGCTTGCACCTTCAGACTTTTTTCCACACAACCTGTAAGAACCCACCCCACTTTGCATCTTAAGAAGACAGAACTCTTGGAATATTTCTTCCAACAGGCATCCTTTATTAAGAGAAAATGGTTGCAGGCGTTCTAGACAGGACTTGGGGGCCAAGTCCCATGGTTCAAAGTTTTAAGGGGTTCCCAGTAACCCCACCCCACCCCACCATCCTTCCAGTGACAATCCCAGACGTTACATTTCCACCCCTTTTCCTCACTGCCAGCAGAAGGGAGACTTCAGGGGGGAGTAGATGAAAGCTGATGGCCCCATTGTTATGTGTAGTCCTTTTGGTGGTATCCACATTCAGTCCCTTTTGAAGTTGTACCAAAGGAAGTGGGGGCCATAAAACCCCTTTGTTCACCCCCCTTCCCCTTCATCGTATGACAGAATCCTGAGAGGGCAGAAATGGGGTTTTCCATAGTCGATAACTAGAGATGAAATATAATTGGATTCTGACACAATCCTACCTTCTCGCTGAATGAAGGGATTGTTTGGCAGAATGCTCAGTGTGAAAAAGTTTCCCAGAGTGTCAAGTACCAAAGCAGGCTTTTGCTGATGCGACAATTATTGCTTCTCAGCTTGCCAATGATAGAAATAAAAGAAAGGTCTTCAAAATTTAATATTGAAAGAGAAATTTAAAATATAATTTGCTGCAGTGGAAATTTACTGAGTAGAGAAAAAAACCTATAATATATGGGAACCAGGAAAGGAGAGTGTAAAGAAAGGAAGTAAAATAAACACATAGGCAAAAATAGTTGGGTTTTAGAGTGGGAAAAGGAAGAAGACAAACTATAAAAACTAGCTGTAAGAGGAAATGGCTAGCCAGGAAAGACACTGAATTGAAATTGAAATAGGAAAGGACCTATTATTCTAAAAGGGGGACATAAATATCCACAGAGTTTAAAGTAACCATTTAAATGTCTAATTTTTCTTATTGTATATGTGAATATGATTTAATATGTTATCAGGAAATGTGTGAGAGGCGGTCAGAAAGAGTGTAATCTCATAGTACCTCAGCCAATAGGGAAAGAGGAGGGATGTGAGGCTGGGACAAGGATTGTATAAAGAAGAAAATATTTTGGGTTGGAACTTTGGAGAGAACCAAGCTTTGATAGCTTCTCTCCTTGCTTATTGCAATAAACGAAACAAAAGGCCTTCACTGTGTCTTGGATGGTTATTGGTCAGGCGAGCTTGCCTCTGGTCACGAAGGAAAGTAGCCAGGAGCACATAACACCAACAAGCTTGGGAGGGAGGGAAAGGATTGGAATGCAGGCTTCAAGGATTAAGAAGCCAGGCCGTGAGAGCCAAGGACAATTCACCTGGCACCTGGCCAGGCCAAGGATATTTTCTCAAAACCATATTTTTGCATTTAATTGGACAATGTGACATGGTCAAGAGGGAAGAGGAAGAATTCTGTGCTTTTACTATATGGGGATGGGTGGGGTCTTGCCAGAGCTGGTTTCACTTTCAGTCGTGCTGAATTGATGTACTCAATAAAGTTTTACATTAAGAGATCAGAATGTCTCAAAGATGTCTACTCTGTTGGCTTCATCAGTCGGAATCTTGACATTGCATTTAGAAACTATGGACATATTTTGAACTATATTTGAACTACATTTTTAATTTCTGTCTAAAAAAAGATCTCCCTCTCTCCACAACAATTTAAAAAACCCCAAAGTCTTCATTATTCCAACATGCCATTTGGACTGCTGCCAGAACGGATGGAAACACCCCATTTGATTTTCTTTTGGAAAATAAGGCACAAGGTAGAGTACACAGGTTTGAGAAGGAAAACCAAACAGCTGCCTTGATCCTGAAAAAAGTTATTTATTTATTCATTCATTCAATTTTTATAGCCACCCACTTCAGTCAACCACTCTGGGTGGGCTTACAGTTCAAAAAATGTATTACAACCAATTTTTAGTCTTTAGCGTTTAATATGTTAGTATATATAAAACCATGATCCTCCTTAGTTTCCCAGAAATTCATTCTTTCTGAGCTATTCCGGAAAACATGAGCTGAATCCTTAGACTTTATAGATTTCCTTGATGTCATCTGTCATGAAAAAAAAGTTAGAAAGTAAGTAAATAAAAACAGCTCAGATCAACTGATAAAAAACAAAGTTTAGGGTGGCATTAAGCAGAATGCCCAAATGAAACAACTCTCTTCTCATCCTCCTTTATGGATTACTGCCTTGTCGTGGCGAAGGGGCTTGCATAACTCAATGAAGCTATAAGCTATGCCGTGCAGGGCCACCCAAGACGGACAGGTTATAGCAGAGAGTTCTGACAAAATGTGATCCACTGGAGAAGGAAATGGCAAACCACTCCAGTATCTTTGCCATGAAAACCCCATGGACATACACAGACATAATAATGATAATAATGAAGATAATAACAATAATAAAGAAGATCTGCAAGAAATATCATTTGCCTGTAAGCAAAAACTGGTGGGATCATAAAATAAAGAAAGTCATAGAAAATGATAAAATTAAACTGCTCTGGGACTTCAGAATTCAAACAGACAAGCACCTGCAACATCACATCCCAGACTTAACAATTGTCGATAAGAAAGACAAAAAAGTCTGGATAGTGGACGTGGCAGTGCCTGGAGACAGCAGAATAGATGAGAAAGAACTGGAAAAGATAATAAAATACGAAGATCTACAAATAGAAATAGAAAGACAGTGGCAAAAGCAAGCAAGGGTAGTACTAATAGTAATAGTTGCTTTGGGTGCAATCCCAAAACAACTGGAGCACCACTTGAACACCATTGGCATTTACAAATTCACTATTAGTCAATTGCAAAAGGCAGCCTTACTAGGAACTGCTTCCATCCTGCGACGATATCTGTAATACCATCAAACATCCACATTTGCCTATCCCAGGTCCTTGGTAAGGACTCAATAAGTAGGCAAAAATGCCAAATCCAGTCTGAACATCTGGCTGACTATGCGATGTTCAATAATAATAATAATAATAATAATAATAATAATAATAATAATAATAATAATAATAATAGCAACAACAACAGAGTTGGATGGGACCTTGGAGGTCTTCTAGTACAACCCTCTGCTCAGGCAGAAAACCCTATACTATTTCAGACAAATGGTTGTCCAGTCTTTTCTTAAAAACTTCCATCATTGGAGCATTCACAACTTCTGGAGGCAGGTTGTTCCACTGGTTAATTGTTCTAACTGTCAGGAAGTTTCTCCTTAGTTCTAGGTTGCTTCTCTCCTTGATTAGTTTCCATCCATTACTTCCTGTCCTGCCTTCAGGTGCTTTGGAGAATAGCTTGACTCCCTCTTCTTTGGGGCAGCCCCTGAGATATTGGAACACTGCTATCATGTCCCCCCTCATCCTTCTCTTCATTAAACTAGAGATACCCAATTCCAGCAACCGTTCCTTATATGACCCAGTCCCCTGATCATCTTCATTGCTCTTCTCTGCACTCTTTCTAGAGTCTCAACATCTTTTTTACATCGTGGCGACCAAAACTGGATGCAGTATTCCAAGTGTGGCCTTACCAAGGCATTGTAAAGTGGTATTAACATTTCACATGATCTTGATTCTATCCCTCTGTTAATGCTGTCTAGCACTGTGTTGGCTTTTTTGGCAGCTGCAGCACACGGCAGGCTCATATTTAAGTGATTTTCCACTAGGACTCCAAGGTCCCTCTCACAGTTATTATTATTGACCAAGGACATATTATCCTGAAATAAGCCAGAGAAGTAACTATAGGTAGTCCTCAATGTACGACCACAATTGACCCCCAAAATTTCTCTTGCTAAGTGAGTTAGTTGAGTTTTGCCCCATTTTACAATCTTTCTTGCCACAGTTGCTAACTGAATCACTGAAATTGTTAAGTTAGTGACCCAGTTGTTAAGTGAATCTGACTTTCCCAGTGATTTTGCTCATCAGACGGTCACAAACGGTGATCACATGACCCCGGGATACTGCAACCATCATAAATATGAGCCAGTTGCCAAGTGTCCAAATTTTAATCACGTGACCATGGGGATGCTGCAATGGCCATAAGGGTGAAAAATGGTCATAAGCCACTGTTTTCAGTGCCGTTGTAACTTGGAATGGTCACTAAACAAATGGTTTGTGGTTGTAAATTGAGGACTACATGTACCTAAAAACATTTGGGCCAATGGCAACTCATGCTTTACCTGTACTGCAGGGGGCAGTGTACTCGGCTGTAGCAAGTTCACCTGAAATGCAAAAAAGAAAAGTATGTCAGGGCTGAGGTGTGTCTCTCCTAGACTTTGATCTCTATCGGATGGTTCATGATACTGCTCCAGGAATACAAAGTGCACAAATGGGAACAGCAGAATCTGCAGGATTGTCTGGGATGCTACACATCGTCTTTACGACCCATTTTCCTTGTTGCCTTCTGGGAGGGGGATTCGTGGTATCCGAATCAGAACATCCAGATTCAGTCACAGTTTTGTTCCATGTAGCATCAACCTTGTGAACTCTCAAGTTTCTTCTTTCCGCTATGTGTTCAAAATGGACAGTGATTAATGTGTGTGTGTGTGTGTGTGTGTGTGTGTGAAGCACCCAGTCTACCAAATATAAATCAGTCTGTTCTATGTTTCACTCCAATCTAGGAGCATGTTTTGCACGCAGACGTCACATACTGTGAAAACTGTAAATTCAAAATTTGTGACTGACAAAGAGTTAGTGGGAGACTAGTATAGCTATTTCAGGCTCATTTGCCCTCATCAACTAGTCACACCCTTCAGGGATTCGAACCTGGGCAGCTTGCATGTTAGGGAGCTGTATTACCCTTTTGAACCACAGGTTCCCCCTTACTTCTGTCAGCAGAAACCAGGGAGGATATATATCTTATCTATTGGGTGAAGCACCCAGTCTACCAAATATAAGTCAGTCTGTTCTGCGTTTCACTCCAATCTAGAAGCATGTTTTGCAGGCAGACATCACATACTATGAACACTATAAATTCAAAATTTGTGGCTGACAAAGAGTTAGTGGGAAACTAGTAGAGCGAAATGCAGAACAGACTGATTTATATTTGGTAGACCGGGTGCCTCGCCCAACAGATAAGAGATATACCCTCCCTGGTTTCTGCTGACAGGAGTAAGGGGGAACCTGTGGCTCAAAAGGGTAATACAGCTGCCTAACATGCAAGCTGCCCAGGTTCAAATCCCTGAAGGGTATGACTAGCTGATGAGGGCAAATGAGCCTGAAATAGCTATACTAGTCTCCCACTAACTCTTTGCCAGCCACAAATTTTGAATTTGTGTGTGTGTGTGTGTGTGTGTGTGAATATGTCCATGTGTATATATGTATTATCTATGGGTATGGGTAGATATATACCAGGCATGTCAAGCTCACGACTTCACGTGACGTTGTGTGACGTATCGTGACTTTTTCCCCATTGCCGGCAATGGGGTGGGTGCAGTTTCGGCGTGACGCATCCGGCCTGTGGGCCAGCAGTTTGACATGCCTGATATATACTTTCTTTCAAAGTAGGCAACACAATTTCATTTTTAATGTGGGCCAGTGTACTCACAGTAAAAAATGACAATAAAGTTTGTCTTGTCTTGTCCTGTCGTGTCCTGTCCTATCTTTTCATATCTTATCCTAACCTAATCCTAACCAGTTACAGACAAACAGAACCCACATGGAGGGGCCTGAGTTTCAACTGCCATCTTGACATTTTTCACTCCCACATCCAAGTGCTTCTGTCCTGAGCACCCACAGAGATGCAACTAAAAAAGCTCCAAGGGAATAGATGAAAAGTTCCATTCTGCATGACCACTCTAGGCTCCTACTTCTATGACCCCAGCCAGCAACGGCCTCAGTGGCACAAAACAACCCTTGTGGATTTGGACTTAATCATGATGCCTGGAAATGCCTGAGCTAGGTTGTGAAATGCAACTTTAAACAACTAAGTAAATTGCAACATGCAGACCAGTGAGGGGAGGGTGATTGTCCTCTGATTTTGCACACAGTTTCAAATGTTGTGCAGGAGGAAAGTTATCTGTCTCATTAAAAATCCTGAAATCTCCCCAAGAATCTGATGGATTTTTTCCACCAAGCAGTGCTTTAAGGCAGCTATCCCCAAACTTTGCAGCAGGGGACAGGGGAACTGGGCGGTGTGAGCAGTTTGAGCCCTTAATCTCCCAATGCAAAAAGGAGGAAAAAATGCCGATCAATTGCACGTTGAAAAATAATTAATGAAGCTAATTGGAGCTGCCACCATTCAGTCCCTTCTCACCAGTTTCATAGTAATCGTAGACAATCGCTGAGGCAGGCTTCAGGTCCTGGATGGGTGTCTCCTGCTCCACTGTAAAGGAGAAAGTCTGGATTGTGTTGCTTACCTGCAGAGAAAAGTTGACTGTGAGATTACTTGAGGGGAGGTTTAAGCAGGACAGACGGTTCTGCAGACATCACACTATTGAGTCCTTTCTGATCTCTGAGCTTGGTTGTTTGCTTGAAGACGTTTTATTACCTGCCTAGTGATGTGGAATTTGCTACTTTTTATATGCAGTAGCCTATCTATGTGTGTGTGGGGGGGTTGCTTTTCTCCTTGATTGTTTTCTGTTTATTTGTTTGTCTGGTATTAGTCCCTGCTTTTCTAGGAGTAAGCAGCTGGAGAGGATATCTTCTGGTCATATTGTTTCCTTCTTAGCTTTTTATTATCTTTTCTGAATGGTGTATAAATGTGCTTCATTTCTGTGCCTGTTGAAGGCTGATTTGTCTGAATGCTAAGCTCCTAGACTAGGGATATCAAACTGCCGGCCCGTGGGCCGGACGTGTCATGCGGAAGCCGCACCCACCCCATTGCCAGCAATGGTCAAACAGTCCCAATACGTCGCGCAACGTCACATGACATGACGAGTTTGACATGTCTGTTCTAGACATTCTGTAGCGTTTTTAGATTTGCCTTGGTCTGAGCTACGTGTGTTAGTTTGTCATGAGCTACATACATCTTTACAACCTTGAACTACATGTAATCTCTTTTATTGGAGGCATCACACTAGCAAGGATCCTAGAAAAACCTGGATGTATTTCAACCGTATCTACCATAGGCAATATGAAATACAGAAATACAATGGAAGTCTCTGAAAAAAGAGATTGGCTCCAGTAATCTCTTAACTATATTCCCTAGTGAGACCTCCAAGCTCTTTCAGAATCCTTGGGCCAAAAGGGGAAGATCTAAAATATACTGGTAGAGGAAAGATGGGCATTGTAGTCCAATCTATCTGGAGCCTTTAATCTTCCTTTTTTCCTTGTGTCCTAAAGCTGTTGGGGTCTCTTTTTCTCCCTGAACAGACTGGAGGCAAAGAATCCTGAAGCTGGAAGAGATCTTTGAGGCCACCCAGCCCACCCCTCTGCTCATTGCACAAAGCCAAATGAAAGTCATTTGAGCATCCTTTCACTGAGAAGATGCTATTATTTAATATGGGGAGAATTCCAACTGACATATTCTAATGTTGTAATGGAATTAAGCAGCATCATGACAGATGAGAGATATGCTATTTGTTTACGTAGAACAGGTTTCTCAGACTTACTGGCTGAGGAATTCTGGGATTTGAAGTCCATGCATCTTGAAGTTGCCGATGGTTGCGAAACACCGACATAGGAAAATATACCTGCCTCAGAGTGTACAACTTTGTGTAAAGTGTGGAAGCTGTCCTTGACCAGAAATAGAGGGTGTGGCATCCACTTGAAAAAACTCAACCCATAATAAACTTGTAACTCCTTGCTTCCAAGAAAAATAAGGACAAGGAGAAAGGAAGCTGTCCTGCCCTGCATTTTATCCCCTTGATTGAATGATCTTGTCCCCTGCTTGGGCTCTGCTCCTGATGCTCACTCACCTCCTCCAAGTATAGCAGGACATGATTAATGTTCACTTCAGTCCTCTTCACCTGACTCTGTTTTTCCAGCTTGAGGTGTGGAAACATTGGAAAAAAACACAAAGAGCTTTAGTAGCATTCATAGTCATACTTGTTTAACTAGTTCAGGGGTAGGCAACCTTGACTCTTTTATGATTTGTGGACTCCAACTCCCAGAATTCCTGAGCCAGCTGGCTCAGGAATTCTGGGAGTTAGAGTCCACAAGCCATAAAAGAGCCAAGGTTGCCTACCCCTGAACTAGGTGATTATAGAGTTGGAGCTGATGTTGTAAGTCACTAAGTTAAACCTCTCACTCAATAAAGAATCTGTGATGTCATCTTTGGCAGATGGCCTTCCAATCTTGAAAGCCTCTAGTGGAGAAAAATTCAGCACTTCAAGTGGCAGTCTCTTCCACTGGCTACCTGCTCATATAATCAGGAATGTCTTCTGATTCTAGCCTGAATCTGCTTCCTGGTAGCAGTAACCCACTCATTCTGGTCTTTGTCTCTGGGGCAATTGAAAACAAATCTATTCTTCTTCTGTATGACAACCCTAAAGACAGTTGAAGACTGCTGTATCACTCCTCCAGTCTAATGAAAAGAAGAACTGACATGGCCACAGTGTTCCAATATCTGCCACAAAGAAGAAGGGTTCAACCTATTCTCCAAAGCACCTGAAGGCAGGCCAAGAAGCAACAGATGGAAACTAATCAAGGAGAGAAGCAACCTAGAACTAAGGAGAAACTTCCTGACAGTGAGAACAATTAATCAATGGAATGACTTGTCTCCAGAAGTTGTGAGTGATCCAACACTGGAAGTTTTTAAGAAGAGACTGGACAAGCATCTGTCTGAAATGATATAGGGTTTCCTGCCTGAGTAGAGGGTTGCCTAGAAGACCTCCAAGGTCCCGTCCCATTCTAAGTGTATAAAAACACTTAGGGTTAACAGCTAGTCAGTGCTGACTTACTGTTAGCCCCGTCTTTGACACACGTAACCAAAAAAATGAGGCACTTCGTCAGGAACGGAGAACATCCAGTTTATTTCACAAACGTAAACGGAATAAAGTCAGCACTGACTAGCTGTTAACCCTAAGTGTTTTTATACATAGCTGGAACCCTTCCTAGCCCACACCCCTGTCACCGCCCATACACCGCCACCCACCTACGGACCGCCCCACACCTCCAAACTTGCTGCATCATGATGACTGAACGCTTCCCGACGACCCGGCCGCTTCCCGTTGCTTCGAGCTCTTCCCGAAGCTTCTGCCGTCTTCTTTCGACTCTTTGAAGATGTCCCGTGGCCACTATTGAGTACGCATGCGTTGGATTGCCTGTTCTGTCCTTCACGCATGCGCGGCTCTAGAAATCATGATTGCATGCCGGGCCGGCTTCTGCGCATGCGTGGCCGCCGGAACGATGTCGGGCCGACCGGACGTCACACAGAGTGGCGAGTGCCTTGCTGCCACAGGTAGGTTCAGCAGTTGGTTGCAGCACGGCCCGACAATTCTGTCAACTAAGCGTGCAGGTAAGCCTTGACTTACAGCCAGTCACCTAGCAAATGTTCAAAGTTATGATGGATTCCCCCAAAAGTACTTACCTGCATCAAGAAATAGGGCACCAAAGGTTTAGTGGAAAAAGGAAACTGGGAAAAAAATACCTTTTTTACACTGGATTTCACCGGGATGTATCCGGACAGCATCTTAATCTGGACAATTGCCATATTGGAAACCAGACGTTGGCCAGTGTAACTGAGAAACCAAGAAAGGAAAGAAGGCATATGACTCTTTTTTAAAACCAAGAAATACACAACTTGAGGCAAAATGCTGCATGCAGGTTCACAAAAGATTGGCCACGCCCTCAGGCCTTCCATCCAGTGGTCGGATTCAGCCAGTTTGCACCGCTTTGGCAGAACTGGTAGCTAATTTTTTGTTGCCCAGGCCCAGAATGGACTTCCGGAAGCGGCATCCACACAGAGAACCGGTTGTTCGCATATTTGAATCCCATGTTGCCTCCATCCCATGTTGCCATTGAATGGAACCTCTGGAATGTAGCACTGTGGCCTTTCAGAAGGTGAGGGAATTGAGTAGCAGCCTTTGGACCCTCGGACATGGTTCATCCCTGGAGGAGAAGTGTTTGTATCTGTCCAAGGAAGCAAGGCTCAGCGTTGATCCAAGGAAGAGATTACCTGACATTCACGGCAATGTCAAAAGTGACGTGAGCTTTGGCTCTTGTGCAAGTCTCAGGAACTGTCTTCACATCCAGCCTAAATGGTGCATCTTCTTGTCGCAAAGGGACATTGTATTTCAAGGTGGTCTGGAATAGAAATGTCATCATTTGATAAGCCGTGGTGGTGCAGTGGTTAGAATGCAGTACGGCAGGCTAACTTTGCTCACGTTGCCAGCAGTTCAATTCCTTTGATCCTGACTGGCTCAAGGTTGACTCAGCCTTCCATCCTTCTGAGGTCAGTAAAAATGAGGACCCAGATTGTTGGGGGCAAGAGGCTGACTCTTTACAAACTGCTTAGCGAGGGCTGTAAAGCACTGTGAAGCGGTATATAAGTCTAAGTCAATGGTGGCAAACCTATGGCACACGTGCCAGAGATGACACTCAGAGCCTTCTCTGTGGGCACACACGCCATCACCCCATACCTGTCTCCCCCCGCAGCCTCCTCCTCACCAGCAGCCCCCCGGAGGAGAGTCACCCCTGATCACGGCCCATGTGAAGCAGCACAGACAAGGACATGGCAGCCGAGCAGCGGGGACAAGATTCTGCCCTCACGCCCCATTGCACACAGATGATGCTGCAGGGTGTGGGGAAGGGTGTGGCCAACATGGTGCTGCTGGGCCACCTGGGTGATCTGCTGTGGCAGACCGTGGAGGCAGTGAGTGGCCCTGTGGGCAAGTGAGGTGGGGGGGCAGAGTGGTGGGGGGTGGGGGCAGTTTTGGGGCACTCAGTCTCTAAAAGGTTCGCCATCACTGGTCTAAGTGTTATTGCTGTTGCTATTTGGGATGTTCAACACTTCTGTGACGGAAGAATTTGGAGGTTTGAAACCAGTGGTATATGTAAAAGAGCAAGAAAAATCTGAATTCAAATACACACAGATACAGAGGATTTAAAGATTTGTAAACAGTTGAGACCAGAGGCTTTTCTTTGGGGAATTCAATGGACAAACAGTTGGGAAAAAAAGTCATAGAACTTTGCTGTAGTACATGATAACTACAGCAAGATTATTATATGCGCAAAGATGGAACGATTCAACACCTCCACAGTAGAGGAATGGTTGGTGAAGAGGATGGAATTCACTGAGATGGCCATATTGACTTATCTGATCAGAGAAAAGACAGGCCCAGGCCCAGAATGGACTTCTGGAAGCGGCATCCACGCAGAGAACCGGTTTTTTACATATTTGAATCCTACCATTGCCCTCTCTGAGGAGAAGGGCAGTTAAGAAGTATGAAATATAAACAAATAAATGAACAGCATCTTCCATTGCACCCAGAAGGAAACTGAGAGCTAATGCAGCTTGCCCAACAGAAATATTAAATAGGTAAATCTAAGAGCACCCATCACTGTGCACACTGTGACATTTTGGGCCAGTTGTAGCTTCCGGATGATCTTCAAGGGCAGCCCCATGTAGAGTGCCTTGCAGTAATCCAAATAGAAGAAGGAAATATCTTGGGAGGAGTGCTTCATTCATGTGTACAATTTAGTTGCTAGTAACTCTCAAAAGACCCTGGGTGGGAGCATTTTGCTTGGCTAGTGTAAACCACTCCATCGTCAGAAAATGGCTTCTCTAAAACTCTAGTCTCTGCCCACTTTTCTTCCCCAGTGCTTTACTCCCTCCCCTTCCCTCCCTTCTCAGGTCTCCTATATTTCATAAATGACATATGGATTTCATTCCCTCAAGACATGGTGATGGTTATTAACTTGAATGGCTTCTAAAGTAGGATTGGATGCATTCCCAGAAGACAAGGTTCCATGTTATTTCTGAATTCAGGACAGCAGGACCCCAAATGCCAAGTTGTGGGAGAAGTTCTGTCTCCTGCTTATCATGGCTGCCCACCATGAGAAGCAAAATGTTCTTCTTCTCTACTTGCGTTCCCATAATTCCCTTGGGAACCCAAAACACATCATCACTGGCCTCTTCTCTCATCAGGGCACTCACCTGCATAAAGATGCAACTGGTCACCTCAGCCATGTAGTCCCCTGGCACTTGGGGCAGCTCCTGGCACTGGAGCAGCAGAGAGTTGTTGCTGTTGACCTGGAATTCTGTCAGGACAGCATCTCCTGAACTCAAGGTCACTCTGGCATCGACGCCATCCTTGGAATAAGTAATTGTTCTGTACTGGCTGAGGGCCTGGAGAGCCACCACCGTATCCTGCAAGAGAAAGCAAAGCTACGACATCTTCTCTTGAATGACACACCTCAACTGGGAATCCTGGGAGCTGAGACTCAGCACAGCTAGAGGCCATATCAAGGCACATCATATCAGGTTGGTTTCCATTTGCTCTGTTGAAAGAAAAATCAGGTCCAGTTCCAAGCCGGGAGTAAGATGCTGGAAATGAAATGGAGGCTGCTTAGGAAAGAAGATTCCTGTTTATTGATGAGCAGAACCAATAACAGCATTCAGTTCTGGGACAGCTGACAAAATGGCTGAGTGAGCGGATGAATCTTTATGGGGCTCTGAGACTTTGAAGTGGAAATGTTTCTGGGTTGTGCAATAAGGTGAGCTTTTGTGTCTTTCACTAGTCTGAAGAAGGTGTTGGGTTAATCCTATTGTGTCCTAAAAGTCATGTCCTGTCCTTAGATTTTGGGTGAGGGAATGTAAATTCTTAATCCCTTCAGCTGTGGGGGCTGAAGGCATTTTGTTTATGAATGGACTGGCCCAGTCTTTCTTCACAGATTAGAAAATCTGCATTCCTAAAGGACAGCCTCTTCACGTTTCTTAGTTGGAAGCTGTTTTTCTTATGGCAGGGAGACTGGGGCTGCTTTCTGCCTTTAAGATTTTTCTCCATTTCTCCTTTGGGGAAATATCATAGTCTGCCTCTTTTTAATATTAAGAATAAAGAATATTTTAATCTGGGGAGCGGGGCCCTTCCCACAGCTCCTTCCAACATCCTCTGAGAATTTGTGAGGAGCAAACATACCTGTGTAGAGGAGTATCCTCCGTTGGAATTCTGTTGTTTGAGCAACCATTTGACAATGGCAGCTGCTATAGTTAATTCTTCCTGGGACGGGGTTGTATTTTTGGTCAGGCAAGCAAGGAGCACATAGGAAGTCATCTCTACCTCAGCAGAGGGAGCACGTGAGTAGAATGGAAAATCGGACCTCTGCTTTGGCTTCCCAGGCCTCTCCCAGTGGATGGAGCCGTCCTCTTCAAAGAGAGATGGAAAAGTTAACTTTGGGTTACTCAGTCCAAGCACTGTCAATCAAGTTTCAACTGGTTATCTCTTCAGAAACATCTGGCCTCGCTTGGTGTCACACCCTATGCAACTGGGCAATAGGACAAGCACATGACAGGTGGTCCTTGACGTACAACCGGTTACTTAACAGTTGATCAAAGTTATGACACATCTCCCCAGAATCACTTACAACTCATCTTTGGAGTTACAATAGCCATTCACACCTCTGTGGTCACATGATCACATTTTGGGCGCTTGGCAACCGACTCACCTTTATGACTGTTTGCAGAATTCTATAGTCACATAGAATCATGTTTGCAGCATCCTGTAGTCATGAAAGGTTTTTTTTGCCAGTAACTAGCATTTACTTCCAGTTTCTAGCAAAAAACATCCTTTGGAGAAAACGGATTCACTTAACAGCCGCCATGTTTACTAAACAACTGTCATAACAAAATGATTGTAACTTTGAATCCAATCTTCTGATACCTCAGCTTATGACTGCAGTGACTTATAATCATGATTCTGGGCTCAGCTACAGTGAATGGGATGGGATGGGATGGGATGGGATGGGATGGGATGGGATGGGGAGGGATGGGATGGGATGGGATGGGATGGGATAGAATAGAGTAGAGTAGAGTAGAGTAGAGTAGAGTAGAGTAGAGTAGAGTAGAGTAGAGTAGAATAGAATAGAATAGAATTCAGAATGAGTAGAATAGAATAGAATAGAATAGAATAGAATAGAATAGAATAGAATAGAATAGAATAGAATAGAATTCAGAATGAGTAGAATAGAATAGAATGGAATGGAATGGAATGGAACGGAACGGAACTGAATAGAATATAGAGTTGGAAGGGACTTTGGAGGTCTTCTAGTCCAACCCCCTGCCCAGGCAGGAAACCCTATACCATTTCAGATAAATGGTTGTCCAGTCTCCTCTTAAAAACTTCCAGTGTTGGAGCATTCACAACTTCTGGAGGCAGGCTGTTCCACTGATTAATTGTTCCAACTGTCAGGAAGTTTCTCCTTAGTTCTAGGTTGCTTCTCTCCTTGATTAGTTTCCATCTGCTGCTTCTTGTCCTGCCTTCAGGCGCTTTGGAGAATAGCTTGACTCCCTCTTCTTTGTGGCAGCCCCTGAGATATTGGAACACAGCTATCATGTCCCCCCTCGTCCTTCTCTTCATTAAACTAGACATACCCAATTCCAGCAACTGATCTTTGTATGTTTTAGCCTCCAGTCCCCTGATCATCTTTGTAAGTCAAGGGCTACCTCTAGACAGATTTCATTGAATCCCCAATAAATCATCCCATGACCATCATGATAAAGTGATAATAAGATGTTGAGTGTTAATACAATACTAACGTGAAAGACAGATTCATGATGGCCAGAAAGAACATCATCTCTGGATCATCTGCCCACTTATTTCCTTCCAGTGGTCATTAATGAATTATTCAGGTAATCAGTATATGCTTCCATCCTTATATAGCGAGATGGGCAGCAAATACAGTTAATAAATAAATAAAGTATACTCCTATATGAAAAACACTTGGAGCTATAGCAGTGATGGGATTCAAATAGGTGAACAACCGGTTCTCTGTGTGGATGCTGCTTCCGGAAGTCCATTCTGGACCTGGGCAACAAAAAATTATCTACCGGTTCTGCAAAACTGGTGCAAACTGGCTGAATCCCACCACTGGGGTATAGGCACCTCTTCTTGACTGGGGGGTTGGTTTCCAATGAACATTAATTACTCTTTGCATGCCAATAAAGTTTGTTGCATATCTCCAACTTCTTTGGTGGGTACATAATTTTCATAACAAAGAACTCATGTCTCACCGTCCTTCACAGCTACTTTTAGAAGGAAGTCCAACATTTCTTGCCTCTTCTCCTCTTTCTCCGCCAAAGCAAAGGCGTATGCCAACAGAGCCCGGAGATAAACGTGGATCTCTTTAGCTTCAGATGCCTTCTCCAGGCAAACTAAAGCATTTTCCACCACAAAGAACTGCAGAGGACAAGGTATTTAATGGAAATCAATATAGCAGGATACAAAGCATATACATCCCCGCCCTGTATTACCAGGGTCGTGGCCATTTGCAATAAAGCAGAAGCGAAAGTTAGTCACCGTGGAAGGGAGATGTTTGAGGAAAGCTGCTGGAGTAACCAGAGAAGGGATAAAATCAAAAATGAGATCAAAAGAGAATGAAATGCAATAGATCCAACGTTAAACATATGCAAAAATAGCAAGTTAAGTGGTTTGCTCACCTAGGGAGAATGTCTTTGAGATTCTATACCAGGGGTAGGCAACCTTGGCTCTTTTATGACTCGTGGACTTCAACTCCCAGAATTCCTAAGCCAGCCATGCTGGCTCAGGAATTCTGGGGAAGTCCACGAGTCATAAAAGAGCCAAGGTTGCCTACCCCTGTTCTATACCATACAAAGCATTTACAATAAAGAGGCCAAAGAATACGACAGACCCAGTAGAAGATGGAGAGACAGCATCAAAGACACAGAACAACAGCACAAAAATAACAATGATTGAGGCCACCAAAAGTGCAAGAACCAGAACTTTGTATTTCTCTCCACGCTTGAAGGGAGGGGAAGAGAAGGGGGAGGGGAGGGGGAGGGGGAGGAGGAGGAGGATTCTTGTAATCTAAAGTCAACAGGAGGAAGGTTCCTGAAGGAAGAAATTTTGAAGAAACTCAGGATCTCAGTAAAGCCCTGGGATGAAGGTATTACTATTACTATGAATTTCTGTATATCTGCTGCCTGAACCACCACTAGCTACTTGCTTTTTCTACATGTTCCTGTGTTTTTGGAACAAGGCTTAGCAGTTCCTTACTTTGTTGTTGTTAATTGCGAAGTCGTGTCCGACCCATCGCGACCCCATGGACAACGTTCCTCCAGGTCTTCCTGTCCTCTACCATCTTCTGGAGTCCATTCAAATTCACGCCTCCTGCTTCAGTGACTCCATCCAGCCATCTCATTCTCTGTCGTCCCCTTCTTCTATTGCCCTCAATCTTTCCCAGCATTAGGCTCTTCTCCAGTGAATCCTTCCTTCTCATTAGGTGGCCAAAGTACTTGAGTTTCAACTTCAGGATCTGGCCTTCTAAAGAGCAGTCGGGGTTGATCTCTTCTAGGACTGACCGGTTTGAACGCCTTGTAGTCCAAGGGACTCGCAAGAATCTTCTCCAGCACCATAGTTCAAAGGCCTCAATTCTTTTGCGCTCAGCCTTTCTTACTAGGTGAGGTCTAAAATGAGAGTGCTGGTGGGTCAATGCAGGAGGAGGAGGAGGAGGAGGGCAAATCAGGAATGATAATATAAGGATTCAGGAGATTGTTTTGTGAACAACCCTCTACAGACTCCGCCATTATCTGCAAAAAGAAGCTCCTTCTTTCCAGTTCACACAACAGCCCTTAGAAAGAAAGTCAAAGAAGTCTTCACTCTAATGTACTGAAGGACAACATGTTACTAAAGTGAAAGCTGCTGATGTTGTCACAACCCTTTCCTTCTCCTTTCAATAAATCTTGCTAAAGAAGACTGTGAACATCTTGCTTGGAAGAATTACATTGGTGGAGTCAGCTGCCAAGAGTCGGAGAGATGGCCATTAGGAGTCAAATCTAAAGAAGCAGGTGAGGTCAGAATAGATAGGATTATTATTGGCGTATGGCATTGTTACAGTAGCCAGGAGACCACAATGCTATTGTAGAGTAGCAGTTTGGCTTGCCGAAGTACCAGCCCTGTTATAGGACATTGCACACTTCCCATGGTGGGCCACAGGAGGGTGAGCTGGCTTTGCACCAAAGAGAAAGACGAGCGGTTCTTCCTGCAGCATCCGAGAGTTGACTCATAAATGGGCACCACAACTGGGAAGTGTTCTGTCCTAGCTACGTGAGTCCTTGTTAAGCTCACAAGGAAAAACCCCTCTTCCAACAAACAGGCTGGAACACAGGAAAAAAGCAATCCTCTTTTATTCTTCATAGACCTGAGTCAATGTCCAAGGCAAACAAACACAGTTCACAGAAACTCGATCCTCAACACTAACGGTTGCCTTCGGCAACCAGCACCTCCCACACCTTCTTTTTATTATGCAGCCAAGGCATGGCTTCCTAATGCCTTCTCCTTTGCCTTTGGAGCCACCCCATTGCATTTCTCTGTCCTACTCTGTTTTCTTGCCGGCATTTTTGTGCATCCTGGATATCTCCCATGATTCATCACTGTCCAACTCAGACTCCCAGCACAGCTGTGTCTCAGCCTGAGTGCAAGTAGAGGGGCCAGGCTCCTCATCAGACTGAAAGTCTTGGAGCTCCTCAGAACCTTCCTCTGATTCTGATGTCACTACAGGCCCCTCCTCCTCCTCTGATTCTTCAGACTCAGCTGCCGGGTCCACTGGCTGGTGAGGAATCACAACAGGAAGGTTCAGAGCCATCAGGAATCTGATTGCCTGCACAGAGCACCAGTTTGTCTCCTCGCCAAAGTGGTACCTATCTATCTACTTACATAGAACATGCTTTTCAATTGCTAGGTGGACAGAAGCTAAGGCGAGTGACAGGAGCTCATCCTGCCACACAATGCTTGGGCTCAAACCCCCAGAGCTGAGACACCTTCATCATTAAGCCATTGAACCACTCCGCCTCTTTTTTGATTGGAGACAGAAAAGGACAGAATTGACTGGAGAAGGGGAGGGATAAGGAAGAGGCAACTAGGCTTATTCAGCTTATATAATTACATTTTGGGTTCACCGGACTATGGCATGGTTTTGAAACTAGTCAGATGTGGTCTATTTCATTAGCCTAAGTCAGTGGTTCTTAACCTTTTTGAATGAATCACCCCCTTGAGCCAATGAGGAAGTTGTCATCACCCCCCTCCCCCAACATAACCTCCCAATCACAACATGGGAAATAATTCTTCAATTTATGCAAATACTTTTTTTGTTTTCTTTAAAATTGTTCATCAGGACATATCAATGCAAATAATTTATTTCCAGTCTTTTCCCCATATCTCCCATATTCTGGCTAATGGCATGCCACTGTATGGGTAGAGGCTGCTGCACAACATGCATGAAGATAAGCAATGCATATTTACATATGTACAGCGTTCTGTACTGAAGCTAGCTGGAGGAACATCTGAAAACACAATTCAATCCACTAATAGCGAGCGATCTGATGTTTTTGTATGACAGATATACAGCCATTCACTGTACGAAAAAGTCTCAAAAGTGCCCCCAAAACTTCTCGCTCCATCGCCCCCATATCGCCCCCTTTTTGTTCCTTCGCCCCCCGGAAAAATGAAATCGCCCCCTGGGGGGCAATATCACTGGCCTAAGTGATTGTGAACTCCATGACCAAGTGGGAACTTGAACATGGTTTTCCCCACTGCTAGTCTATTGCAATCATGGTTGCACTTAGCACACTTACGGAGGGAGATAGCGGCACTTCCAGCAAAGCAATGGTGATGTAAGCTGAAAGAGTGATCTGGTCATCAACTCCCCCCTGCAAGAGAGAAACAGATATTAGCTGCACCTATTAGACAAATGACTTCCACCATCTTCTATCACCCTGTGGGAATAATCCAGAGAAAGAAATATTTTGGGGAATATTAAAAGGCAGAATATTATATTTCCCCAAAGGATTTTAAAGGCAGAAACCACCCCCCCCCACACACACACACACACAAGTCTCTCTGCCCCAAACAGAAACCAGGTCTGCAGAAATGCAAATGTGATAATTTTGTCAGAAAGACTGGAGTCAGGAAACTGGGACTAGAAAGACAAAGATCTCTAGAATCAACAATCCCTCACACCAAAAATCCAACAGTCATCAGCCACAGCTCCAGGGAAGCAGGATATGACCTTTGGGACGTAATAGGATTAACCCACCACCATCAGAATATCAGAAAGGCACATTCAGACTCAGGTCAAAGTTCATGCCACAGGAACAACTCCAAACAAAAGCCCAAGAAGGTATAAAAATCCACTCCCTACTACATGTGGTCACTTTTTTCCAGAGTCATCTTTCTGTCTGGCTCTCCTCTTCAATAAACTACAATCTTCTTTCTAAAGCAGTCTCCATGTTTGTTTATTTCCAGCTTGAACTGGATCCTGATGAAGATTTTTCCTTCAACAACCCCTTCACTCTTTCCAAATCGATATTACATCTCCCTCACAAGAAATCATGGAGTTTTGGGAACTGGGCAATAAAGAAATGTTTCTCATCAGTAAATAGATTTTCTGGCATCTATAGCTAGCTTTGATTGGGAGCTTCCAAGTATATCAGCTATTACAGATGGTCCTTGCTTGCCGACTGCCTTGTTTTGACAACTATTTAATAAAATAATAATAAAGTTGAAAGGGGCCTTGGAAGTCATCAAGTCCAACCCCCTGCTCAGGCAGGAAACCCTGCACCATTTCAGAAAATGGTTGTCCAGTCTCTTTTTAAAAACTTCCAGTGTTGGAGCATTCACTGCTTCTGGAGACAGGTTGTTCCATTGGTTAATTGTTCTAACTGTCAGGAAGTTTCTCCTTAGTTCTAGGTTGCTCCTCTCCTTGATTAGTTTCCATCTGTTGCTTCTTGTCCTGCCTTCAGGCGCTTTGGAGAATAGCTTGACTCCCTCTTCTTTATGGCAGCCCCTGAGATATTGGAACACTGCTATCATGTCCCCCCTTGTCCTTCTCTTCGTTAAACTAGACATACCCAATTCCAGCAAACGTTCCTTATTTGAAGTTGCAATGGTCTAAAAAAAAAAAAAGCTTTGTGACCAGTCATCTCATTTACAACCATCACAATGTCCCATGGTCAGGTGATCACTCTTCTGACAATTTCCAAGCAGAATTAGTGGAAGAATGCAGAATTAAAATTGAAAGTCATTGTGACATGATGTTTTGCTTAATGACTGTACTGACTTGCTTAAGAACGAAATGGGAAGTGACATTGTAAATCTGCCCCTGTCAAATGATTTTTCCTCTTAGCAACTCCAGCATTGGAGTCAACAATTCCAATTGTGGTTGCTAAGCAAGACTAGCTTTAATAATTCTCATTTCATCCCTCTTTCAGTTCTGTATTGATTTTAGGTGGAATTGGGGCATGGGGTGCCTTTGTGGGGCTGAAAAAGACAAGATGGAGATTGTGGGTAGATCTTTGAAGCCTTGTTTATTTTTTACCTGCTTTGCAAATAAAAAAGAGTGGAGCTTCAACCGTGCAATTTTAGCTGCCATGTTGATTTTTATTTTTTTATTTTTTCTGCCTCTCCTGTAGATAACTTTGAAATGGGGGCACAGCTTTCATTAAATCACTGTTATCATATTTTAACATCATCCTAATTCTTTGCACCGTATCTCATTACATTATGCAGTTCACTGCTATTAAATAGGGTGGTAACCCCACCAATTGACATGGCCCTGAACGAAAAGGAGCATTGTAGAGAAATTCATGGAGGATCAGTCAATCCATAACTTCTCATCCTGTTAGATACCTTTTTTTCTGAATCAAAAAGAAAATATGCTGGGAAAAGATTGCAGAAGATTGGATGTGGATATTCTTGCCCTTTGTTTTTTAAAAAAAGTAATTTTAAAAAGCTTACTGAAGATATTCTGTCAGTTTTTCATGTAAAATGTGAAATCCTGACTGCAGAATATTTATAAGTCTTTCTGTTTTGTCAATACTGTCCTAGTTCATAAACAGAAAGAAAACACATATTTTCTTCCCAATTAGAAATCCAGAGTAATTCCCAGTCATTCTCTCTATGGCCAAACCAACTCAATTCATGTGTATCTTCAATCCACATTCTTTCTTGAGCTCATTCATTTAACGATGGTTCAAAGTTACAACTGCCTTGGAGAAATTGGTTTTCAGGTCATTCTTGAAATTACGACTCTCACATCACCCCCATAATCCCGTGTACACAATTTGGGCACTTGGCAACTGGCTTGCATTTACAACGGTTGCTTGCAGTTGTGTGATCATGGTATGCTACCTTCTTGCCAGTTCCGGACAAGAAAATGTTAATTGATGAAGCCAGATTTGCTTAACCACCATGGTGATTCGTTGAACAAGTGCAGTAAAAAGTGGTCGTAAAATCAGGTTGGTCATATGATCACTTGCTTAGCGACCATATCTTTTAAGTTCCAAAATTCCAGTCCCAAATTGTAGTTGTAACTCGAGGACAGTGGTGGGATTCAGCCGGTTTGCACTGGTTCAGCAGAACCGGTATCTAAATGTTGTTGAGTTTGGAGAACCGGCTGAACCCATGCTGCTTCTAGAAGTCCATTCTAGGTCTCAGAGGCCTGGAGGAGTCCTCCCAGGCCTAGAACAGCCCACAGGAAGTGCGTGGATGTCACTTTTGGAAGTCCATTCTAGGCCTCGAAGGCCCAGGCCTGCATCCACGCAGAGAAGTGGTTGTTCAGGTATTTGAATCCCACCACTGCTCGAGGACTACTTGTGTTCCCAATGTGCCCACTTCTCACTTCCAAAGACATGTCACCCTTTTCTCCCACCCGCCTCTTGTACCTTGAGGGCATTGTTGAAAAGAGACCCTGTGCTCCGAAAGCATCCATTTGTCTCCTGCCTCAGTGTCAGTGAGTTCTGAGCATCGATGATGTGCTTTTCTTCCACAGAGATGAAGGACCTCGCTGGAGCAAAAGACTTCAGCACGAAAGCCGTCAGCCTGTAAGACAGCCCAGAGCACAAGACAGCCTCATTTTAATTTTTCTAGTTCTTAATGTTATGATCCAGGTGGTCAAGGCAAGGCAGGCCTCTGCCTTCCATTGAGGACTTGTATACCACACGAGTCAAAAAGAGGGCTTTGAAAATATCTACAGAGCTTTCACTTCCTGGACATAAACTGTTTCAACTTCTACCCTCAAAATGATGCTATAGGGCATTGCACGCCAAAACTATCAGACACAAGGACAGTTCCCCCCTCCCTTGCCATCACTCTGCTAAACAACTAATTCCCACAACACCGTCAAACTACCTAATAGAGCTGCATTACTATTATCCTTCTCATCCTTCCTATTACCTATTCCTTATCTTCTCATGACTATAACTTTGTTGCTTGTATCTTATGATTTATATTGTTTTATTTAGTATCCTAGTATGATTTACGCTGATTGCTTATTTGGTATCCTATGACTATCACTGTATTATATCTTACGGTTTATGATGAATGTATTTTTACATTGACTACAGTCATGATTTATCACATATTGCTTTTATGTGCACTGAGAGCTTATGAACTGGAGACAAATTCCTTGTGGGTCCAATCACATTAGGCCAATAAAGAATTATATTCTATAAAGAAATAGAGAGTTCTTTATTTTTCTTAATAAATGTTCCAGCCATACGCCTTCCAACAAATGGTAAGGCTCCACCCTCACACTACTCTGAAGGCAGCCACTCTCAAGGCCCCAAACAGCAGCCCTGGTAGTTCAAATAACGCCCACAGAGTTGGAGCATGCTCACAGGGTAAGATCCAGGGTTCCAAGTCCCATCCACTAGGTAGAGTCCAGACACAAGACCAGGGCAGTCCTCAGGATAAGAAACAGGTCCCAGAAAAGAAGCAATTCCAAAGCCCCAGTGAAGCAAAAGCCAAACGTAGGCCACCAGAGAAGGGTGAGGTCCAGAACAAAAGGTGAAGAGCCATCGTCCAAGTGAGGCAAGGCAAACAGCAAACAGGCACTAGTCGAAGCCGGGGGAGTGTAAACCAAAGCAAGCAATTGTTCCTGGAAAAGACCAACTCCCCACGGCTTCTCCTTAAGTTACTCCCCTCCAGGTGTTCCAAATAGCCTTGCAGCCTTTCTCTGTGCTTGCCTATGCTCCGCTCTCCATGCCCTTGGATTGAGTGGGGGAGGAAGCTGTTCCTCATCAGAGGGGATCGGCTGCCTATCAGCATTACTGCCGGTCAGCAGTCGATCCTCCCCTGTGTCTGTGCAGGCAGGCAGCTCTCCATGTCCACCTCCGCAATGCCTGAGGGTCCTGGGACAATAACCTCAGGTGCCCCTTCCCCAGTTCCAATTCCTCCTCCTCCTCCTCCTCCAAATCGGGCTCTGCGGGGGCCATGACACCCAAGCTCCTACAATCTTCGGCCATCTTGGGATTGAAGAATCCATTGAAGGAGGTTATCAAGCAACTTAGGAGGGAAGCTATAACTAAGCCCCCTTTTTCACCAGCAGTGTGCTTGGTTTCACACAATTATAGGCAATTATCTTCACTTTTTTTTAACCATTCCTGAGTTATGCCCCCGCTTGGTATGGTTGCCATGTTTGTCTTCAATCCTGCACATGTGCAACTCTCTTAATAGAGAGGAATGGTCTGTTTCCCTGCATCCTTCCCTTTTAAAAAGGCAAAACTTCCCTCAAGGAATTAGGGATGTGTCTCTTGGGGACCACATGAATATCCCTGTGTAATGTTCTTGGCAGCAATATGGCACTCTCTTCCAACTGCCTTCTTCTGGGATGCCATTTCCACTTGCAAGTTTAGCCTAAAGCCATGGGATTTCCTAGTGGCCTGCCATCCAAACACTAAATGGAGCAAACCTTGCTTTTTGGGGCCAGAAGAACAGCCAAGTCTGGCTAGGTGGTGGTCCCTGCTGCCTTTCTCTCTAACTTTGGCAACTTTAGAATAGGTGGACTTTAATTTCCAGAATTCCCTAGCCAACATGCTGCCTGGGGAATTCTGGAAGTTGAAGACCATCCATCTTAAAGTTGTCAACGTTGAGAAACACTGTTTCAACACTGCTAACGTTGGATGTTCTTGCTCTGACAAAATATGCAGAACTGTGTGGTATTTTTAGAGTTAACTCAGATGACACTGGGAGGGAGGAGAAAGAATGTATGTGGTAATTATATTAGATAAAAATCCCTCACTGCAAATGGAAGAGAACCTTTGGCCTTCAAACTGATAGGAGAATGTGATTTATGACAGTGAATTAAGGGAGGGAACTGGCAAATATGTGCTCAGGGGAGGAGAATTTAGATCTTAGCATCCCTCATTCATGCCGTGCCAACATTTTGTTACATGAATAAAAGTCTTTTTAGGATAAACAATGCCTGGAAGTTCTTTGAAGTATTTCATTAGTTGGAACCATGACACACTGCTCTAAATGGTACACCCCATTCAGCTGCTCAGATTCCATTTTGTTGCCTCTGGTCCTCTTTGGCCACCATCAAGCTGGTTCAGGAAAGTGGAGCAATGGCTGGAAACTCATTCATTGAAGTTGCCAAGTAATAACACAAGGAGTAACATTCAGAGAACTGACAACAGTGAACAGGGCACCTCTGAACTGTAACTCGGTGTGTGTTTGGCTAGGTGGAACTGTGATTTTACACCAGAAATTCAAAAAAACAAATAAACCCAAAACATAAATTGGAAATACAATGATGAATATCTAAAAAATTGGACTGGGGAATATTCCTGCTCCTAGCTCTTTGGCAATGTCAGTCTTTCAGGGTAGACCAGACTTGGGAAGCCAAAATTTGAATGCCAAAAATCACTTTTATTGTAAAGTTACAGTAACAGAATTTTGCAAGTTGGAATGTTCCTGTCCCCTCCCTGCCTTTATCTACAAGAGAAGTAAGGAGGGACAAGTCAGAAATGTTTTTCTAAAATTACATTTCTGCTTTGGACTCTGATTTCCTTATCTGACTATTGTCTTGACTGCAGCTCTTCCTCCTGTCCCTCAAGGTTATTCTCATATCCCCTTACAGCAGGGGTCTCCAACCCCAAGTCTGTGGATCGTAATTTTTTCTTCAAATTACAAAACTTAGAATGATAGAATCTGTGCTCATACTTTATAGAATCACAGAATCGTGGAATCATAGAATTAGATTTGGAGGGCTTCATTTACTTTGTAAAGGATCTTTATTTCATGTTTGATGAAAAATATAAATTTACACAATGGCTCCTGAATTTTCGGAATGTTAATTTAGTTAGTCCATCATTGTAGAACAGACATGTCAAACACAAGGCCCGGGAGCCAGATGCGGCCCACAAAGTGGTTTCATGTGGCCCACAAAGCCATCCTGGAAACAGTGAAGGAACGGCCCCCACTGCCTTGGTCCTGGCCCAGGCCGGCCGGGAGTCAATGTACAATTTTGTGGTGGCCATCTATGCTGAAATGCATTCAGTCTTAGCTCCACAAGACTGTCTGGAAACAGTGAGGAACCAGCTCCTGCCGCATCGGTCCCACCCCCTGGGTGCATGCTGGGGAGGTGTCACCCTTTGTGAGGAATGAAGAAATGCACCATTGCCTGGAGGTGGCCAGGAAATGGCCCTCGCCTACTTCACATATCCGGCTTAATGGGCTCCAGGAGAGGTGTTTCGGCAGGCAGTGGGGCACTCTCCTCACAGCACCAAGAGGCTGAGCCAGGCGGCGCAAATCCAAAAAGAAGCACAACAATGCCCAGCCCCCAGCCTGCCCGGTTTTGGCAAGCAGCGGGGTGCTCTCCTCACAGCACCAAGAGCTGAGCTGGGTGGTGCGAAACCATACCACCATCCAGCCCCCCTGCATGGCCTGAGAGGAATGGTGAGGCTCCTCCAGTGGACCATGCCTTGGCACTTGCCCTGGTCCCACCCCCTTCTGCCAGAGACCTTCAGATCTGTCCCACTCCTGCCCCGACCCCCACAGGCACCCTTGACGCGAACAGTGTAGAGCTGGCCACACCCACCTAGTAGGCCACATCCACTCCATCCATGCCCACTCAGTAGGCTGCACCTACTCTGGCCACACCTCCCCCCAAGAGCAACCACAATGCTTATGCATCCCTCAATGAAATTGAGTTTGACACCCCTGTTGTAGAAAGTTTGAGAAATACTACCTTAGGAACCAAGAAATCTCACCAAGTGTTCCCTTCCTCTGAACGTTCCCCAAAAGCGCTATAAGAACCATCCGGATGCTTGTAGTTCAGTTGCCTTTGATAGCCTGAAGTGGAAAAAGAAAATTAGAACCGAGCTGAGTAGCATGTACATTTCCAGGTCCAACTGGAATATTTCATTCCAAGATTCATTTCCAAAAGTCCGTTTGACTTAGAAATTGAACCAAATTGACTTTGAATCTCCAAATCAAATCTGGAATATTATTCAGCCTGCTTGACTACACCACCACCCCTCTCCTTTCCCAAAGGTTCCCCTTATGATATCATGGAGACCAACCTCTGGCAACTGGGCGCTTAACTGTCAAGAGTGAAAATTGGGCAGTTATAATAAAAATTACTAACTTAAATATGAGATAGTAGATATTAAGAGAAAAAGAGAGGAAGTATTAAATGTTGAAATAAGAGAAGTTTTGATCACTAAATTTAAGATATTTGGAAATTACCAGAAAATAAGAATATTATGTTGTATTATTAATTGGTTGATGTAAGATAGCGAGAATTAAAATAGATAAGACTGTATCCTGAACATTAGATCTTGTGATAAATTGTGATAAAGGGAATTGGGGTTATTTAAAACTTGGAAATTATAAATATTAAACGTTAAATCTAAATATTAATGGGAAACTAAAAATTGGCAAAAACTAACCAGGACATTGATTGTCTAAAAAAAAATTGAATGTTAAAACAACTAGGATATGTATAAACAAAAATTATTGATAAATGTAAAAAAGTTATTCTTATTTAATCGATATAATAAGAATTGTATTAATTTAAATATGAGACAGTAAATACCAAGGGGAAAAGAGAGGAAATATTGAATGTAATAGTTTGAGACCTGTAGTAAGGATATTTGTATGTTATTGAATTATTGACCAACTCAGCCGCCACGTTGCTTTTCAAATATTCAAATGTAAAACTAGAAAATCAATAAAATTTTCTTTTTTTAAAAAAAAAATTGATAGTTACCTGCCTCTCTGTTTTTATCTTGCCATTAAAGAAGAGGAGAGGGAGGTGTTGTTTTTGAGTGAGTTAGTTAGAGAAATGAAACCTTTCCAGTTTACAGAAGCTTGCTGAAAGTTGGCAGTATGGAAAACTTTCAAGGACATTCTAGAACAGGGGTCCCCAACCTCCAGTCTGTGGACCAGCACTGGGCCACAACATACCAGAAACCGGTCCATGCAAACAAGCAAAGCCCTATCCACGGGATGCAGGCAGTACATGAAAACATGTCCCCTCTGGTCCGCAGAAAAACCTCTCTCCATGGAACCGGTCCCTGGTGCCCAAAAGGTTGGGGACCTCTGTTCTAGAAGGTGTGAAGAAGATAACAGATGGGTCCCATAACAAAGAAAACTTGTTTACATGAGCTACATGGACATCTTGAGGGGGGTGTTCGGCTAGGAAAGTCATTGTTATATGCTATCGTCTGATGCCTTACAATTTTAGAGTTAGTTTTACCTCGCCTTTACCAGGCCATGTATTCAATAAACAGCTTTTCAAAAATGAAAATTATCCTGGACTTTTATTTGAATATTTCAGCTGGAAGTTGAAATTAATGTTCAGTGTTCCTAAATCTTACACATTTTGTTTGTTTGTTTGTTTGTTTACCATTATACTTATAACCCCCTTTTCTCTTTGCATAAACACTCAACGGAGCTTCCATATTTAAACTGTAATTCATTCTAATTCTTTACTATTGCAGGATACCTGGATTGTCCCGAACAGCAAGCCATTGAGCAATATTTTATGTATTTATTTATTAGATTTTTTATCCCTCATTTACTATTTTTTTATAAGAAATTCAAAATAGTAAATATGCACTCCTTCCTTGTTTTATCATCCTCACAACCCTTTTCTATTTTCCCCAACCAAAATTTTGAGGCGACTTAAGCCAAGAGAGAGTGACTAGCCCCAAATCACTCAGCCAGTTTTTCATGCCTAGGCTATACTAGAATTCACAGTCTTCTGTCTATGGAGATTCTCAGTCATCCAGGTCATAATTATCCCAAAGGTGCTTTTTCACAAGGCAACGGGACTTTCTTGTTTTTCTTTGAAGACGTTTTGCTTCTCATCCAAGCTGGTTTGAAAGAAGGGTCAAAGAGGCCATCTATGTCAGAACAGAACAGCCCTTTCACAACAGAAGGGGAGGGATACGACATCGTCGATCTTGGTCCTTGCAACACTTCTAAGAAGGCTCCACGCCCATTTGCACCACTTAGGTGACCCTGACAACACAGATAAACTTCCAGGTAGCCTCAATGACCCTCTAAAAGAAGTCAAATGACCAGCTGTCAGCAAGGAGTATAAATCCTCGCATTCCCCCCCCCCACCCAGTCAGAGTAGAAGAAGCTTCTTGGATGAGAAGCAAAACGTCTCAAAGAAAAATAAGAAAATCCAGTTGCCTCATGAAAAATGCACCTTTGAGATCACAATCTTCTGGTTTCTTAACCACACACAAAACGGGTTCTCTATATTACTAATGTATCTTGTTCACAACCTCTGAAAAGGTCCCAAGTGCCTCAGTCAACCTAATTTGTCCAATTTACAACCTCCTCAATCGATACCAGTGACTCATCTGTGGATCCAGTCTTTGAAAGCTCCCAACTGCAATACAGAAAGCATGAGGGGAGGATTCCTGTGGGATGCTGCTCACCAGCTACTAAATATCTGATGCCCTTGGATTTGATCTCCTGGGTCAGTTGTCCAGTCTTTTTGAGATAGTTCAGGATGTAGATATTGGGGGCAAAGAGGGCCATGTTCTGCTCCCCACAGCCGTAGGGCATCTTGAGAAGCTGGTGGAGGTTCTGTATCGCTCCCCCGAGAATGTCTCCTGAGATGGGGAAAGAGGAAGAGAGATGACAAAGATGATCTTGCCAACGTTGTTTTTTATATATATAAAAGTTTTATTAATTTTAAAAAATTACAGTGTCAACACTGCTAACGTCGTTTGTTTTTGCTTTGACAACTTATGGAGTTGCAACCATTTTCCTTCTTGTGTTTTACTCTTAGAATTAGAGTTAGAATTAGATGATGCTGGAGGGGAGAAGGAATGTGCATGGGAGTTTAGTTAGACATAACAATACTGTAGCTAGTGTGTGAACCAAGATGATTGAAATATTTATTTATTTATTTATTTATGAGACTTATATACCGCTTTAAGTGCAAGCACTCTCTAAGCAGTGTACACCGGTAAGCAATGTATATATATATTTACATTGCCCCCAACAATCTGGGTCCTCATTTTACCTACCTCGGAAGGATGGAAGGCTGAGTCAACCTTGAGCCGGTGAGATTTGAACCGCTGACTTGCTGAACACAGTCAGCTAAAGTGGCCTGCAGTACTGCACTCTAACTGCTGCGCCACCTCGGTTCTTTTAAGAGATGATAAGAATTGGCGGGCTGGAGAACCTAGAGGGAGAGCCTGCATTTCAAACTAATTGGAGAATGTGATTTATGACTGTGAATTAGAGGAGGGAATTATGCTTTGATACTATGTGCTCAGGGGAGGGGAATTCAGATTTTGGCTTTGACTATGTAAATGCTGAAGTTATGCTACTTGAATAAAGATTCTTTAAGATAAACAATGCCTCGAAGTTCTTTGAAGAGTTTCATCTGTTGGAAACATGACATACAATCTTTAATGCTTAGTAAACAACATGTTGTCTGGGTTCAAATATTTAACATTAATGTCTTCACTATAAATCTGTTCAATACTACACAATACAGTATTTTTCCCTGATCCACCTTTCTTCTCCATATTTTTTCTATTTCTCCCTCATTACACCATTACAATTTTTGGCACTGTTAATGTTTACAAACTTAAATATAAGCATCTTCATCATATTTTACTAATATCACGCCAATAACAATAATAGCAATTCATAAATCAATAATGTCAATTCATCAATCAATATCCTGTTTTTCATGCTCTTGTTAAGGTTTAATTTCCCATTGGTATTTGAAATATCTTTATCAGTTATGATTTTCTCAATATTAATTACATGATGCTCTTGCCAACTTTGATCCCCCCTCAAAAGATGCCATTGCTTGAGTATCCAGAGAAATCTACCAACTTTCTCCCAGTCTTAGTCTGATGCCTAAAATGACCAACTGCAGTGAGGGTCTAACATGCTAGAACAGTGATGGCGAACCTTTTAAAGACTGAGTGCCCAAACTGCAACCCAAAACCCACTTATTTATCACCAGGTGGGCATAGCCAACTGGGTGGATGTGGCTGTGGTGGTCATGGCAGAATGGGTGGGTGTGGCCAAGGTGGGCGTGATCACCTCGATGTTGTTTGTGGGGAGGGACACCTGTGGGGGCTGGGCAGGGTTGGGGGAGATCCAGGGGGTCTCTGGCAGGTGGAGTGTTGGGCAGGAGGGGTGAGGCAAGGCAAGGCGAGGCAGGGCGGGGGTGCCATTGTCGCAGGACAAGGTAAGGCAGGGGCCGGGATGGCTGCTGCATGACACCCTCCACCCCCACACACAGAGGCCAGTGAGCAACTGGGGGCCAACAGTGTCTGTTAGCAGCCACAGCCCGCCGGCCCCTCAACCAGTGCATGCTGGGGCTCTGCAGCCCACCGTCAGCGGTTCAGAGAAGCCGCCTCTGAGCTGGACAGCCGGACAACAGCTCAGAAGGTCACAAAAGGGGATCACATGACCCCGGAAATGCAACCATCATAAATATGAGTCAGTTGCCAAGTGTGGGAATTTTGACCACGTGACTGTAGGGATGCTGTAACAGTCAAGTGTGGAAAATTAGCAATAGCACTTACACTTATATATCACTTCACAGGGCTTTACAGCCCTCTTTAAGCGGTTTACAGAGTCAACCTATAGCCCCCAACAATCTGGGACCTCATTTTACTGACCTTGGAAGGGTGGAAGGCTGAGTCAACCTTGAGCCGGTGAGAATTGAGCTGCCGAACTGCTGGCAGCTGGCAGTCAGCACAAGTAGCCTGCAGTACTGCATTCTAACCACTACGCCATCATGGCTCTTAAGTCAGTTACTGACTTAACTGACTTTAAGATGGTCGTAAGTCCCCTTTTTCAATGCCGTTGTAACTTCGGTTTCTCGCTAAATGAACTTTGTAAGTCAAGGACTACTTGTATATATGATGGGTGGGAGCAGCTTCTGGACTGACCCAGGGACTTTATAAAGGCATGCCCAAAGACAGAATTAATTTCCAAAATGAGTAGCATAGCAACCTCACTTACCCAGCACACAAAAGGAGGCCTTGGCTGAGCCTTCGACGACATTTTCCGGTAATGTCAGAGGAATAGATTCGGATTTAGGTTTTCCTATAAAAGAGAAACAAAATTTAAACCACGGTGCATTTGGCACTGTTATTCTGACTGGACTGTTGGTGCATGTACTGCTTAGATAGAAGGCTGAGCTACAGTAGTGATTTTAGCAGGAGTCAAATTGTTCAAGAGACTATGTCCAATATTTATATCATTTTCCCCCACCCTTCCTCTCATCTAGGCTTTCCCAAATATGCTTTTTCATGAGGCAACTGGACTTTCTTGTTTTCCTTTGAAGACGTTTTGCTTTTCGTCCAAGAAGCTTCTTCAGCTTTGAAGCTTCAGAGCTGAAGAAGCTTCTTGGATAAGAAGCGAAACGTCTTCAAAGGAAAATAAGAATGTCCAGTTGCCTCGTGAAAAAGCATCTTTGGGATAACTATGACCTGGATGATGGAGAATCTCCATAGACATTTAGGCCAGGGGTGTCAAACTGCCAGCCCACGGGCCGCGTGCATCATGTCGAAACCGCACCCACCCCATTGCCGGCAATGGAAAAAAAGTTGCGACACGTCAGTTGCGAGTTTGACACCCCTGATTTAGGCTTTGGTTTGGGAGGTGACGATCTTCTTTTAAAGGAGGTGCTTAAAAAAAGAGCATTTAAAGTAAGTTAATATTTGTGTCTACAGGGGCAACGTACCATCTGTGCAGAGATGAGTGTTGAAGACCACTTCTTTCTCGATCCCTTCAGGCTTCACCAGAATAGAAAGGGAAGGAAAAAGGAAGATGAGAACATGAGTGTTAGAATCATTTTTGAAAAAATCACTGTAGAAATAACATTTGAGTTAAGTAGATAAGCACCAACAGGAAATCCCAAAGGTGCTTTTTCAGGAGGCAACTAGACTTCCTTGTTTTTCTTTGAAGATGTTTCACCTCATCCAAGAAGTTTCTTCAGCTCTAACTGGATGACGGGGAAATGGAAGGATTTATACTCCTTGCAGACAGCTGGTCATTTGCCTTCTTTTAGAGCAGACATGTCAAACTTGCAACGTCATGTGATGTCGCACAACGTATCGGGAGAGTTTTGCCATTGCCAGCAATGGGGTTGGCGCAGCTTCCACATGACACGTCCGTCCCGTGGGCCGGCAGTTTGACACCCCTGTTTTAGAGAGTCGTTGAGGCCATTTAGAGCAGAGGTCTTCAAACTTGGCCGTTTTATGACTTGTGGACTTCAACTCCCAGAAATCCTCAGCTAGGCTGAGGAATTCTGGGAGTTGAAGTCCACAAATCATAAAAGGGATAAGTTTGAAGACCCTTGAGTTAGAGGTTTACCTCAGGGTCACCTGAGCAGTGCAAATGTGTGTGGAGCCTTCTTGGCTGCAGGATATTTTTTCTGTCCTGTGTCCCTTCACTGTTAAAGACAGGCGCAGGCTGTTGGGGATGAGTCTGTGTGTTCTGAATCTCAAACTGAAGCGCAAATGGTTTGTGTAGTCTGCAGTGTTTTCTGAAAATCCGTTCATCCTCCCTTAACAAGTAACAAGAGAGGTGAACCATCAAAAGCAGCATGTAGAATTCATATCACTGGATAGGTCAACGCAGAATTGCTTTGTGTTGTTTCCTAACAAGGCCATTTTGTTTTCCGTTGTATTGAACAGCCCCATAAAGATCTACTTGCTTGGTCCCTTAAAGTTTTATCTAGGTGACTAGGAAAGGAACGTTAGCTTTGATTCCTTAGACTGATGAAAAAACGTTATATTCTTCCCTCCATCTTGGTTACCACACAAATTCCTTTAACTCTTCACTTAATCCACATCTTTTTCAATCCTCAAACCCACAAATCGTATCATTTTTTTTCTTCTTCCAGCAAAAAGTCCACATAAGATTTCCAGTCTTTCAAAAAAAAGTTTTTATTGGTTTTATTTTTCTATTCAAACAGCAAATTCGAACATTTTCAAAATCCCTTTCTCCATTGTGAGAATTTCACTACGTTTCTATTTTTGTGCATACGATAATCTTTGTTGTAGGTCAATCTGTCATAAGTCTCTTCTAATTCACTACGTTCTTGCACTGCCCCCAGTCTGTAGTAGAATTCCTGGTTTCTTAAGTCCAAAAAAAGCCACATTATCTAGAGCCTTTTCCACCTCTGTTATTTCTGCTTTGTTTTCCAAAGTTCCTTTTTTTCTTTATTTTGTTTAACATCTCAAATTATTTTTTCTAGAATTCTCTAGATTTTTTATTCATTTTATTTTCCCAATGATCGTAGATCTCTTCAATTCTCTCTCTTAAGTTAGTCAGCTTCCTGTTAATTGATAAAGTTATACTTTTCCTAATTCCTCAAACAGGAGTCATGGTGGCACAGTGGTTAAAATGCTGTACTGCAGGCTACTTCTGCTAACTGACAGCTGCCTGCAGTTTGGCAGTTCGATCCTGACCAGCTCAAGGTTGGCGCAGCCATCCATCCTTCTGAGGTTGGTAAAATGAGGATCCAGATTGTTGGGGGCAAATATGCTGAGTCTGTAAATTGCTTAGAGAGGGCTGTTAAGCACTGTGAAACAGTATATAAGTGCTAGTGCTAGTGTTATTTTATGTAAAGTCTTGACTAATCCCTTTTTCTATCATTTGCTGGCTTTCTTTAAAAAGCCCCTTCTTGTTGTCATTTCTGTTGTTTTTGTTGCCTTTCTTATAGTAGCCATTTTTTCTATTGTAAAATTTGTAATCCAAAGAAGAAGAAAGTGAAAGGAGTGGGAGGCAAACAGATCACTGATAAGATCCCTTCCCTTCAGATCTTGTCAGACTTCTCCCAAGGAGCAACACTCCAGAGCTCAGATAGGTGATCTCATACCTTCTCTTCTTGTCCTGGGAAGCTCTACTGTCTGGGATAAATTGCCAGCTGTTGGTATTTTCCTCAGCATCTTCCCCAACATTTAGCATAGATATCCACCACTGCTTTACTCAAAAGTCTGTGTCCCCTCATTACCCAGCCCAGATTTAAAGCATCCCATATACCTCAACTAATAGTGACTTGATCATGACGTCTTTGTTTCCCATGGTGGGCACCTCCACTACTTCATTCCCACAGAGCTGATTTGAGCTCACGGCCTCTGCACTTGCTGTGATGTTTATCTCCCCTGGAACAAAAATGATCATTTCCTTACAATATGCTACCCTTATATTGTAATGGTATGTGGGAAAGATCTAGGGAGATTGGGCACAGAGACCCTGCCAAGAGTATGGTCAGATAAGGGACAGCAGAGCCTGCAGCTGTATAGTGGGAAGACGTCAACTGTCCAGTTGGCATTTCCAGAAAAAGGAACTCCTGGGACCAAGAATATAATACTTTACTGAAAATTTACATTGGCACAGAAGAAGCAAAACCAGCTCTGGTTTTCCCACTTGAAAATTAATTAAACAATAGATTCCCTTGCCACCACCCACAGGGTGTTCACATTGTCCAATATAATGCTTCCTCTTGTTACGGAAAAAGTCCACTTCTCCATCGAGCACCTCCATTAGTGATCTTGGAGTTATCAGCACCAAGCTCTCAAAGATGTCTCGGTTGCCTAGATACCATCCCTCCCACCTTTGCACTCCAAAATCATGTCAAGCTATGAGCAAAGGGAGAAAATGTAGGTGAAAAGGCAAATCAATCTTGACAGGAGGTGCAAGAGGATCAGAAGAGACCCTCCCTAGTCTCTCGGGCTGTACAGGAGAGTGCCGGAGAATTGAACTTTCAGAGTTGCAGGATTGATGCCAGTTAAGATAGACCAGACAGTAAACACAACCTGATGACTTAGTTCTATTTTAACTGTAAATCTGTATCAGTAGAATCTTTCATGTTTGAAAGTAAAAATCTCCCGCTGTCTCCTTTACAGCCCAAGAAATTAGGGAGGGTCTCTTCTGAGCCTCTTGCCCTGCCTTCTGTACATCTGCAGGCAATGTCGTCTCCTAGCTGACTATTCCCTAGGCCCATGGTGGCAAACCTATGGCACGCGTGCCACAGGTGACACGCAGAGCCCTCTGGGCACGCACACCCTCGCCCCAGTCCTAGGCCTTCAGCTGAGTTTTATAAAACCTTTTTGCTTTAGACCTCCACCGCCCTGTGCAAAAAAAAAAAGGTTCAATCAATCAATTTCAACTTCTCGCAGGAAAAAAAAAGATCTCGCAAAGTTGGAATTGATTGATTGAACTTTTTAGTCCCACCCAGTCTGCCATTACCACCACAGCCACGCCCACCCAATGGGCCACACCCGCCTGGCACCCAACAATACATAAGTGGGTTTTGGGTTGCAGTTTGGGCACTTGCTCTCTAAAAGGTTCACCATCACTGCCCTAGGCAATATCTTTTTGCCCGGTCTCCCAAGGTCTTTCTTGTAAACCATTATAATCCTAGGAAGAAATGATAATTAAAACTCTGCTCCTTGATTTACTTTATACACAGAGGAAAAACATCATCTTCTAAGTAATGGCTCAATGACCCAAAAGGATTGTTTAGTTACACTTACCTAGAATTTTAGGGGTCACCATCCATGGCACTGTTTTTCTTCCGCTTGCACAGATACAATAGGAATCCTCCTTCTTCTCCATAGGGGATGCGTCAAAGTCAGCAGAAGGAGCCAGAGATATTCTGACCTATTCATTTGGAAAAAAAAAATAGTTCAGTGGGAAAACTATACATCCCCACTGCAGTGCAGAGAAAAGCTCATAATCATCATTTCCCACGAGGCCCCTGTGAGCCTTTCTAAAGGCCCTGAAAACATGGTGTCTCCAGCAACACTGGGGATCCCGTGGGGAGCCTGCACAATGGTTATACTATGATTAGATGAATGTTCTTCTCCCCCAGTTTTGCTTTTATTTATTTGTTAAGTTTTGAACACCTGTGATATTGTTTGAATATTTATTTGTTTGCTTATGGAATTTTTATGCCATCAGCACACACATATACATATATAAATGAATGAGTGACTGAATGAATGAAAAGGATGATGTACAGTATGTTCAAAACTCTTTTATTCTCCAAAAAACTAGGCAATACACCTGCCTTTACCTATATCTATATCTGTGTCAGGCTAAGCTCAGGGTTGATGTCGAACAATTCAGCCAGAGTTCAGTTCTTTATCTGCTTAAACGCAACAGACAGAATCTTGCCGGACTAAACCCTTAACATTCCCAGTCTAACAGGTATATCCTGAGAGATTCTAGGAAATGACTATCCAAAATCTCTGTCTCCTATCCAGCTCCAAGCTGTGGTGCCTCTTATCTGCCCTAATTTCTAGAACAGTGGTTCTCAACCTGTGGGTTGGGACCCCATTTGGGGTCGAACGACCATTTCACAGGGGTTGCCAAACAACGCAGTCCACCATTTTTTTTCCCCTTTTCCTTAGCTGTGCTACTCCCTTTTATTCTATTGGCTTTTGAAAGCCAATAGAATAGACTCTCTTGAACAGAGTGTAATTCTATTGGCTTTCAAAAGCCAATAGGAATTGTCTAGGCTGTCTCTGCCCTACTGAGCCCACCAAAAGTCCCATTCTGCAAATGGTGCTGCACCAGTTGAGTAGTCCTCGACTTACAACCGGTTGAGTAGTCCTCGACTTACGACTGGTTGGGGGTCGCGGCATTAAAAAGGTTGAGAACCACTGTTCTAGAATGTGCCGCTCCTTCCTGAGAAACTGCTACTTCACTGTAAGCCACCTCCTCAACTCTTCCTCCATCTGAACCATCTCTCACAATCTTTTGGAATCAATTACAAATACACTTTGGAATATGGAACCATGACTGGTTGAATTAAAAACGAGTCATACTTCCATATTGTAGGCATGAATGTATGAGGAAGGAAACAGCTAGCCTGGTCCAAGTACTATGTTGCAAAAAATAAAGATAAATGTAGCATTGTGTCCCAAGCCTTGACGTCATCGTGCATATTTATTTATTTATTTATTTATGAGACTTATATATCACTTTAAGTGCAAGCACTCTCTAAGTGGTGTACACCAGTAAGCAATGTATATATATATATATTTACATTGCCCCCAACAATCTGGGTCCTCATTTTACCTACCCCGGAAGGATGGAAGGCTGAGTCAACCTTGAGCCGGTGAGATTTGAACTGCTGACCTGCTGAACACAGTCAGCTAAAGTGGCCTGCAGTACTGCACTCTAACTGCTGCGCCACCTCGGCTCATATACAATTCAAGTTATTCTAGTCCTAGAGGTAGGAATCCTACAAGCTTCTCTTTGCTATTCTTGGTAAAATAAGCAATTAAAGAACTGAAAAGGGAGATCAATCCCATTCTGGCTAATGGTAAAGCCGGATCCCAGCCACAATCTTCTGGGTACAACCTACACTTTCTCTGCACGTTCTAGTTCAGGGATCCCCAACCCCCAGTTCATGGACAGGCGCTGGTCCATGGCATGCCAGAAACCATGCCGCACAAACAAGTGAAATCCCATCCACGGGATGCAGGGAGTATGCAAAACCACACACCCCTCTGGTCCACAGAAAAAACTTTCTCCACGGACTTGGTCCCTGATGCCCCAAAGGTTGGGGGCCACTGTTCTAGTTCATTTCCCCTTAGGCACTCATTATTTTCATAGCTGTATAATTCAGTAGACAAGCATCTACTAGAACAATGTTTTCAAACTCAGCAACTTTAAGTTGAGTGGACTTCAACTGCTAGCTGGAGAATTCTGGGAGTTGAAGTCCAAACATCTTAAAGTCATCAAGCTTGAAATACTGTACTAAAGGGGAGGGAAAGTATTGAAAGCCAATTCTCTGGCGAAGATGGCAGTGAGAGAAATACAAACACAGTGTCTTAAAGAAATACGATGGCTTCAGACGTGTAGAATCCAGTGGGCAGTTCGGTTTCTGTTTTGTTTTTTTTGTTTTGTTTTGTTTTTGCAAACTGGGGCAGGATAATCTCAGGTTGTTTTGAGAGCTTGAATGCAAACCATGGACAGTTAAGAATTAAGCACCTGAAGGCAGAACAAGAAGAAATGGATGGAAACTAATCAAGGAAGCAACCTAGAACTAAGGAGACATTTCCTGACAATGAGAAAAATTAATCGGTGGAACAGCTTGCCTCTGGAAATTGTGGGTGCTCTATCCCTGGAAGTTTTTAAGAAGAGACTGGACAGTCATTTATCCAGAATAATATAGATTCCTGCTTGAATAGAGGGTTGGACTAGAGCAGGGGTAGGCAACCTTGGCTCTTTTATGACTCGTGGACTTCAACTTCCAGAATTCTTGAGCCAGCATTGAAGTCCATGAGTCATAAAAGAGCCAAGGTTGCCTTCCCCTGGACTAGAAGATTTCCAAGGTCTCTTTCAACTCTGTTATTGTGTTATTCTGAACTGGAGCAAATAGGCAGAGAAAGAGAACCAAGCAATTTCAAGAATACAAACAGAAGATTCCACAGAAGCCATTCAGTACTCCTTACCCGGATGCAGTAATCCTGGTAGGAGAAGACTGTAGCCTTGAATGGGAAGGCTTCTCCTCGCACCACGGAATAGGGTAAAGTGAGTTCAATGAAGAATGGCTGGAAGGCCGTCAGAGAAGCGGGCTGGGCCAGGCCGAAGCCGGTGTCTGCTGAAAGACAGAAAGCTCCAGCTTTCCATTCGGTGATAGTGTCCGGGATGGTCACAGGAAGAACAATCTCCTTGGATTCTTTAGAGACATCCCTCCTTCTGCCAGAACCAAGGAGGTGAGAAGGGCTACTTCCTTGAGAATCGCTGAAAGACGCAAGAGAACAGAAAGTGAGGGAAGCAAATCTGCTACAGGTAGTCCACGACTTCCAACCATTTGTTTATTGACCATTCCAAGTTACAACAGCCCTGAAAAAAGTGACCATTTTTCACACTTATGACCATTTGTCAACTTCCAGCTGAAGTATCCAAATAAAAGTCCAGGATTATTTTCATTTCTGAAAAGCTTATTGCTTATTGAATACGTGGCCTGGTAAAAATGAGGTAAAACTAACTCTAAAATCCCAAGGCATCAGACCATAGCATATAACAACGGCTTTCCCAGCCAATCCCCCCCCCCGAGATGCCCATGTAGCTCATGTAAACATGTTCTCTTTGTTATGGGAACCATCTGCTATCTTCTTCACACCTGCCAGAATGTCCTTGAAAGGTTTCCACACTACTGACTTTCAACAAGAACTGGAGAGGTTTCATTTCTCTAACTAACCCATTCAAAAACAACACTTCCTTCCCCCTCCCCCCGTATTCTAATAGCAAAATGAAAACAGAGAGGCACGTAGCTGCCAAATTTTCACTCTTTGACACCATTGCCACATCCTTGTGGTTGTGGTCAAACTCTGAACGCTTTACAACTGACTCATATTTATGATACTTGTAGAGTTCCCAGGGTCTTCTGACAAGCAAAGTCAATGGGGAAGCCAAAGTCCCATAACAACTGTGTCACCAACTAACAAGTTGTAAAATGGGACAAAATTCACTTAACACCTCTCTCGCTTAGCAACAGAAATGTTGGGCCCAATTGCAGTCATAAGCCGAGCACTTGCCTCTAAGGAACTCCATCAAGGAGACAGAGGATAATAGTTAAAACTGGCTACAGGTTTTAATTTCATTTACAATCAGTCGCTTAACAATTGCTTGAAGTTATGATGGTGTCCCCGACAAAGCTACACATTTTCAAAGTTATGATGGCTGGGCACAAACACACCCCCAATCTCATCTTACCATATTGGGCACTTGACAATCAGCCATTTGCAGCCTCCCACGGTCACATGACTGTGATTTATAGATTTGCTGATTTCTGGCATTTATTTCTGGTCTCCAGCAAAAACACCCACTGGGAAATGCCTATGGAGATTCTCAGTCATCCAGGTCATGGTTGTCCCAAAGATGCTTTTTCACGAGGCAACTGGAACTTTCTTGTTTTTCCTTTGAAGACATTTTACTTATCATCCCAGAAGCTTCGTCAGCTCTGACTGGATGGTGGGGAATGGAAGGATTTATACTCCTTGAAGACAGCTGGTCATTTGCATTCTTTTAGAGAGTCATTGAGGCCACTTGGAGGTTTATCTGTGTCGTCAGGGTCATCTAAGTAAATGAAAATGGGTGTGGAGCCTTCTTGAGTAGTCCACCCATTTGCAATACTCAGGTGACTCTGAGGACACAGGTAAACCTCCAAATGGCTTCAATGACTCTCTAAAAGAAGGCAAATGACCAGCTGTCTGCAAGGAGTATAAATCCTTCCATTCCCCACCATCCAGTCAGAGCTGAAAAAGCTTCTTGGATGAGAAGTGAAATGTCTTCAAAGGAAAAACAAGAAAGTCCAGTTGCCTCATGAAAAAGCATCTTTGGGACACCCATTGGGGGAAAAAAGGGTTTGCTTAACCATGGTATTCATTCAATGACCACTGCACAAACACAAAAAAAAAATCAGGTCACAATGCCTCAATTTACAACTGCAATGACGTATGACCATAATTCCAGGGTCAATTAGGATTGTAAGTTTAGTACTACCTATACATTTTTTGGGGGAAAAAACAGCATAGAAGATTGATCAGTCCTGGAGCAGTTGTGCAGAATACTTCAATGAACCAATGTCTACACAGCAATATAGATTTAGAGTGCTATGACCTGAATTGTCTTGAGAGTTTTAATTTTTTTTAAAAAAAAATCAATATTAAGATCAAGTTGAATTGCAGGCAGACTCCTTCCACGCATGTTTTAAACAGTTGTCTTCTTCTGGTGCCTTCTGGAACTATTGGATTGCAACTGCCTTCCTGTTCAGCCAAGCCAGCTTAAACTTGCCACTTGAGTTGGAGGGTGATGGGGGGAGCCCATGGTGACGAACCTATGGCACAAGTGCCACAGGTGGCACGGAGAGGCCTCTCTGTGGGCACATGCGCCATCACCCCAGTCCTAGGCCTTCAGCTGGGTTTTATTAAACCTTTTCACTTTAGGCCTCCACCGCCGTGTGCAAAAAAAAAAAAAGGTTCAATCAATCAATCAATTTCAACTTCTTGCGGGGAAAAAAAAGATCTTGCAAAGTTGGAATTGATTGATTGAACTTTTTGTCCCACCCAGTCTGTAGTTACCAATGAAGCCACGCCCACCCAATGGGCCATGCTCACCCGGCACCCGACAATACATAAGTGGGTTTTGGGTTGCAGTTTGGTTCACCATCACTGGGGGGAGCTATAGCCCTCCCTGTCTGGAAGGCTCCCAAGGTTGGAGAAATTGGTCTCTAGAGCAGTGGTTCTCAACCTTTCTAATGCCGTGACCCCATAATACAGTTCCCCATGTTGTGGTGACCCCCAACCACTTATACATCACCGGGTGCCAGGGGCGTGGCCAAAGGGGGAAAAAATGGCGGACAGCCTTGTTTGGCGACCCCCGTGAAATGGTCGTTCGACCCCAAATGGGGTCCCGACCCACAGATTGAGAACCACTGCTCTAGAGGAATCTCTTAGGCTGTGCCATCAACTTACTTTATCATAACCAGGCGCCACAACCATGTTTCAGGAAAAACGTGGCGAGGTGTCCTTTCAGGAGCAGCCACAACCTGAGGAGTGGGAAGCTGTGGAAGAGGACCAAAATGAACAGCTAAACCAGCTCCAGAGGATGGCATGCGCCCAGTTCCTGGGGAAGCGAAACCCTGACCAATAGCAGCCATTCCAGGTATCGGTAAATGCTCAGGCACCATCCCTAGAACACACAGAGAGAAAAATTGGATGAATTGCAACAAAGATGATCAGGGGACTGGAGGCTAAAACATATAAGGAACAATTGCTGGATTTGGGTATGTCTAGTTTAATAAAGAGAAGGGCTAGGGGGTGACATGATAGCCGTGTTCCAATATCTCAGGGGTTGCCCCAAAGAAGTGGGAGTCAAACTATTGAAGGCAGGAGAAGAAGCAACGGATGGAAACTAATCAAGGAGAGGAGCAACCTAGAACTAAGGAGACATTTCCTGACCATTAGAACAATTAACCAGTGGAACAACCTGCCTCCAGAAGTTGTGAATGCTCCAACGCTGGAAGTTTTTAAGAAGAGACAGGACAGCCATTTGTCTGAAATGGTATAGGGTTTCCTGCCTGAGCAGGGGGTTGACCTCCAACATCATCATCATCATCATCATCATCATTATCATCATTATTATTATTATTATTATTACCATCATCATCATCATCATCATCAAAGGATACCAGACCCTCCCCTCCTCAGGTCCGGTTTTGTTATTTGTCCGCATAAACCCACAGTGGATGATTGGAGACTTCCATATCCCCAATCTTTTTGGCACCAGGGACCAGTTATGTGGAGAGAGGCTTTTCCGTGGACCGGAGGGGGCGTGGTTTTGTGTGCTGCCTCCATCCCGCGGATGGGGCTTTGCTTGTTTGTGCAGACTGATTGCTGGCAGGCTGCGGCCCAGTACTGGTCCACAGACCGGGGTTTGGGGACCCCTGTTCCAGACAGTTGATGGGGGAAAGAGGTCCTAATTTCACCACTGGAAGCCCCGACCTTTCCACCTTCTTTGCTCCATGGAACTTGAAGCCAGGAGTCCAAACATCACCCCCATAAACTCTATCCTCTTTGTGACGATTATTGCCAAGCCCACAATTCAAACAGTATTGTTTTAGGTCCAAGTATATTTACCCATGTTGTAGTGGCAGCAGTGCTATTATTATCCTATTCACCTTCTCTACTGCCTGCTCTTCTTGTTATCGTATTATGATTATTAGCATGGCTTTTTTTCTCTCATAGAATGTACGGAACGGTGTTCCAGTACCTTTTTTGGAACAGAACAACTGGTTCCTTCTAAGCTGCCAGCAGGAGGACAGGTATGGCTGCAGAGTGATTTTGTGGACCCCCAGCAAGCCTATCCAGGCTCCAGAGGCCTGGAAAAGGCCTCTGCCACCCAGATCTATGGCTCCAGAGCGATTTTGCAGCCCCCAAGTGGCCCGATCCAGGCTCCGAAGGCCTGGAAAAGACCTCCGGAGCCCGGATCCATGGCCATGGAGCAATTTTGCAGCCCCCCCCCCAGTGGCCCGATCCGGGCTCTGGAGGCCTTTTCCATGCCTCTGGAGCTCGGATCCATGGCCGCGGAGTGATTTTGTAGCCCCCCCAGCGACCCGATCCGGGCTTTTCGAGGCTTTCTATCCCTTGCTCAAACAGAAGATCCTATACCAGTGATGGTGAACCTTTTAGAGACCGAGTGCCCAAACCGCAACTCAAAACCCACTTATGCATCGTCGGGTGCCAGGTGGGTGTGGCCCATTGGCTGGGCGTGGCCCATTGGCTGGGCGTGGCTGTGGTGGTAACGGCAGACTGGGTGGGACTAAAAAGTTCAATCAATCAATTCCAACTTTGCAAGATTTTTTTTCCCCGCGAGAAGTTGAAATTGATTGATTGATTGAAACTTTTTATTTTTTTTGCACACGGTGGTGAAGGCCTAAAGCGAAATGGTTTTATAAAACCCAGCTGAAGGCCTAGGACTGGGGCAACGGTGCGCGTGCCCACAGAGAGGGCTCTGAGTGCCGCCTCTGGCACCCATGCCATAGGTTCGCCACCACTGTCCTATACCATTTCAAACAAGTGGTTGTCCAGTCTCTTCTTAACAGTCGCCAGTGATGCAGCATTCAAACTTCTGGAGGCTGGTTGTTCCACTGGTTAGTTGTTCTCACTGTCAGGAAATTTCTCCTTAGTTCTAGCTTGCTTCTCTCCTTGGTTAGTTTCCATCCATTGATTCTTGTCTTGCCTTCAGGTGCTTTGGAAAATAGATTGACCCCCTCTTCTTTGTGGCAGCCCCTCAAATATTGGAATACCGCTATCATGTCCCCCCTCAACCTTTTCTCTAGACTATCCATACCCAATTCCTGCAACAAAGGGACACTCCCACTCAGCCCCTCTGCAACAGAGGAACTCAGGATCTCTATCAGGTCTCTATCTATGGAAGAGTTAGTAATAGTAATAGTAGTAAAGTTGGAAGGGACCTTGGAGGTCATCTAGTCCAACCCCCTGCTCGGGCAGGAAACCCTACACCATTTCGGACAAATGGCTGTCCAGTCTCTTCTTAAAAACTTCAGTGTGGAGCATTTACCTGGAGGCAAGCTGTTCCACTGATTAAGTTCTCACTGTCAGGAAGTTTCTCTTAGTTCTAGGTTGCTTCTCTCCTTGAGTTTCCACCCGTTGCTTCTTGTCCTGCCTTCAGGTGCTTTGGAAATAGCTTAATTCCTCTTCTTTATGGCAGCCCCTGAGATATTGAATACTGCTATCAAAACTAGACATACCCAATTCTGCAACCGTTCCTTATAGTTTTAGCCCCAGTCCCCTAATCATCTTTGTTGGTACTCTTTCTAGAGTCTCAACATCTTTTTTACATCGTGGTGACCAAAACTGGATGCATTCCAAGTGTGGCCTTACCAAGGCATTGAAGAGTGGATACTTCACGTGATCTTGATTCTATCCCTCTGTTAATGCAGCCTAGCACTGTGGTGGCCTTTTTGGCAGCTCACACTGCTGGCTCATATTTAAGTGATTGTCTACTAGGACTCCGAGGTCCCTCTCACAGTTACTACTATTGAGCATGGTGCCACCTATGCTGTACTTGTGCATTTGGTTTTTCTTGCCTAAATGTAGAACCTTGCTTTTTTCACCATTGAATTTCATTTTGTTAGTTAGTGCCCAGTGTTCAAGTCTGTCCAGATCCTTCTGTATCTGAAGCCTGTCTTCTGGAGTGTTGGCTATTCCTGCCAGCTTGGTGTCGTCTGCAAATTTGATGAGTTCCCCATCTATCCCTTCATCCAATCGTTGATGAAGATGTTGAAGAGTACTGGGCCCAGAACAGAGCCCTGGGGCACCCCACTACACACTTCCCTCCATATAGATGCAGTCCATTGAGGACCACTCGCTGAGTACGGCCGGTCAGCCAGCTACGGATCCATCTGGTGGTGGTTCTGTCTACCCCACATTTTTCTATCTTGTCAAGTAGTAGGTTGTGATCTACTTTATCAAATGCCTTACTGAAGTCCAAGTCCAAGTTCCAACACTCAATCCCGGAAGTAGCTGGATTGTAAAAGATCCCACTTTTCTCCCCATTCCAATTCTTACCACGGTTGAAGCAGATGTGCCGGTTGCGCAGCTTGGTGTTTGTAAAAATGCTCAAGCCAAAGTCCTACCAGATGAAGCAAAGAGCCACTGAGGAACAGTTCTTTCTGCTCATGAAAAACTAATTATCAATGTTTATTCTTCGTACGTTCTAATATACTCAACAGTAAGGAATATATTATTGTCCAACTCTCTCCAGTAATTCTTTTTTCATAATGCTGCATCCACTGCCCATATTGCTACCCATTTGGTGGGGGTTACTTAAAGGGACAGACAAGCAACAGATGGAAATTGGCATCTTCAATAGCCATCTATAGCCAAATAAAGGAAAGCCAATTCTTTGACGGGTCTTTTAGCAGTGGGAGAGGAGCCTTAGCTGGTGGCGGCTCCTGACTGAGCCTAGATCAGCTTGGAAGTTACAGGTAGTCCTCTATTTACAATAGTTCATTTAGTGACCATTCAAAGTTACAACAGCACTGAAAAAGTGACTTACAATTGTTTTTCCACACGCCCATTGCAGCGTCCCCAAGATCACATGATCAAAATTCAGATGTTTGACAACTGACTCATATTTGCAACAGTTGCAGTGTCTTGGAGTTATGTGACCACTTTTTGCGACCTTCTGACAAGAAAAGTCAATGGGGAAGCCGTATTCACTGAACAACCTTGTTATTAAAGCACTAGCACTTAGACTTATATACCGCTTCACAGTGCTCTACAGCCCTCTCTAAGCAATTTACAGACTTGGCCTATTTGCTCCCCAACAATCTGGGTCCTCATTTTACCAATCTCGGAAGGATGGAAGGCTGAGTCAACCTTGAGCCGGGTCAGGATCGAACTGCTGGAATGAAAAGTGAGTTAGCCTGCAGTACTGCATTTTGACCACTGCGCCATTATGGCTCTTAGTTTTAACGGTTGCCGTGATTCACTTAACAACTGTGGCAAGGGGCAAAACTCACTTAACAAATGTCTCACTTAGCAATAGGAATGTTGGGCTCAGTTGTGGATGTAAGTTGAGGACTACCTGTAAGGTCATACTAAATCCCAGGGAAGATGGCTAGGAATGACAAACGATTAAGAAAATAAGGAACGTACTATATATCATGAAGGAAGACAAATATACGTGTCCCACGATAATGTTGCAGGATCCAATCTGGGTCAGACATCGGGACCCAAGGTTTTGTCTTTTGAGCTTTTGGATTCGTGCTGGAGCCCATCTTCGGGGAACTTCTCTTTACCAGGATGTGTGCTACCTCCCTAAGGATGGGCTCCAGCACAAGACTGAAACCTCTGGTCCCAGTGACCAACCCAGATTAGATCCTGCAAGGAAAGTATATCCCTATGGATCTGAGCAGGAAGACATCAGGAGTCTACTTCAGCTCAGCAGAAAATCTACTAGGCACTTCTTCTTGCCTAATGAGAGCATCTACTGCATGGAGAACCATAGCTTTGATGCTTACCCTGAATATTTTGTAAGAATCCCCATCCATGGAAAAATGATGCAATGGGGCAAAGCCAATATTTTCAGACCTGAATGGTTCTTCAGGGCAGGGATGAAGATTGGTTTCATCCAAAATGAAGTCATCGGGGACGATGTGCTCTTTCTTGGGCAGGAAATTGTAAACCTGAAACCAGAAAGATTGCAACTAAGGATGGAGATTTGGGGTAAAGGAACTTCCTGCCTGTCAAGCTAATGAAACAGGCTGTACAATGGAATGGGAGAATGACCTTGGGAGATGAGGGAAGGGAGATAGAGGTCAGATAAAAGAGGGATGAACCTGAAGCTGACTAACGGACTGAGAAAGAAATGTAGAGAGGATCCACCCTAACCAACCAAATGGTAAAAAGAGACAGCAGGTGATTTGTGCTTTCAAACCTGCAAGATTGTTATCAGCCTCTCAAGTACAACAGACCAAACAATAAACACAATAAGGTTAGTTAAATCTACTTTATTGTAAGGTCACATTAACAGAATCTTGCAAGTCTGAAAGCACAGTTCTCCTGCCACATCTTTTCAGCAGTTGATAAATTAGAGCAGATCCCTTCTAAGTTTCTCTCTGTGTCCATTACTTAGTTTCGGGCTTCTTCCCCTTTTATCTGATCATTCCCCAAGAGCATATCTTCTGCCTGTGCTCCAAGGTCATTCTCATGTTTCATTATAGGCCGCCACATGAAATGATGAGTTCTCTTTTACTGTAAATCTCACAACAGAGGGCACCCTGGTCTTCTGGCCAAGATGCTCCAGATGATTCTACATTGAGACACCTCTGAGACAGGCTGGGTTGAGAATACAGGAGTGATCTGTTTGATGGAGAACCAGAAGTTGAGTGCTTAGTCTGTCCTCTTCCCCAATAGTCTGCACTGGTTTGCAATAGTGGCTAATATCTGTAGCTCAGGTGTAGGTTGAGGGTGAAGGTTCATTCTCCAATCTTGTGGGTTGGTTTCCAAACATTTCATTACCAGGCTAGGTAACATCTTCAGTGGAGTTTAGGGGATGTCAGTGTCAGTGTTCTGTTTATAAGGGCTTCAAGTATGTGTGTGTCAAGTGAAGGTCTTATGATGGGTCAATTGTGAGTCATCAGTGAGAGGGTTGTGATAGGTTTTGTGATGGGGAGGTTACATCAGGCCAGGGTCATTGGGAGGTGAACTGCTGGTGGAGGGAGAGGGGGGATGGTTGAGGGGGGATGGTTGAGAGAGATGGTTGAGGATCAGTGCTGTCTCTGGTTGGTTGTGTGGCCGATTTGGATTCTGAAGAGTTTGTAAGCTGGTTGTAGATCAAACTCCACTGAAGATGTTACCTAGCCTGGTAACGAAACATTCAAAAACCAACCCACAAGCTCAGAGAACGAACCTCCACCCTCACTCCACACTGGTTCTGGGAGTCTGAGGAGAGGACTGACCAGAGGTTCCACTCCCAATCCATCACTTTCACCACTATAACACATGGCCTCACATTATGGCAAACTCTCTGGACTGTGATACTGGGCTACCCTTGGTCTATATGCTTTGTCCTTCTATTTTTCTGACATTTTCTTCCCCTAAAACTAGTTTATGGACAACATTCTTTACGTCTCCTTGCCTACAGTCCTCCCACGGCACCTTAAATTTGATTATGACCTCTATCATCTGGTGTAAATTGTAAATAAGTGGCTGCAAGTGATCATATTTGAAATACATCTCTATGAACAAGTAAATCTTGGGGTGAAACCAGCAGAAGCCAGGACATATCTGGGCCCCAGTTGAAATGCAGTTGGGACCCACCTTCTCGGGGGAGATCTCGGTTTCAGGTTTCAAGAGAAAGACACTCTGGTCAACGGCATGGATGGCACAGAGGGAACCGGGGAAGGCTGAAAGATGGAGTTGGGTTTTCTGGCCAGGCAGGCCTTGTTGATCAGAGAACCACAGTCTGGCCTGTAAACATAAACCAGGTCTTTGAAAAAGCCATTTCCTCTCTGCGTGGAATGAATGGAAAGAGAAATGAGTGGAACGAAGTCATCCTTGTTGTCATGCACATTGTAACCTTGAGTTGCCCCCTGTGACTAATCTCAAGCCACAGTTTGACAGGGTCAATCAAACTATTGGCTGACCAAAGAAAAATAGGCTTTATTTTAGCTAATGTCTGGACAGGACATAGCTGATTACAAAGGATCAGGAGCAAAGAAGACTTTGTGGATATTAGCGCCAGTAGAGATGGGTAGCACCAGCTCAAAAAAAGACCTGTTATGGAACATTCAGATTCTGCCTTTCTTTAACAGCACAACACAAGATGCACAACTTTACCTTGTTAGAGAAGCACTTTTCTATGGTGAAATCTCTTGAGTCAGCAATGAGTTCTCCACTGGGCAAAATGGTGTAGACGAGCAAGCGGGTCTTGGGAGCCGTGTCAACATCCACCGAGAGATTCAAAAGGAAGTCCCCTTTGGGTTCTAAAGGATGAATTTTCCCAGTGGCGGGAGAAGAAGAGATCGAAAGAGGCATATAAATTTCATTAAACAGATGGACAGACAGATGAGAGAGAGAGGGAGGGAGAAAGAGGGACGGAGGGAGGGAGGGAAAGAGGGAGAGAGAATGAGAGAGAGAGAGCGAGAAAGAGGGAGAGACATGGATGGATGGACATAGATAGATAGATACATAGATAGATAGATGGATGGATGGATGGATGGATGGATGGATGGATGGATGGATGGATGACAGATAAAGATATGGATGGATGGATGGATGGATGGACGGATGGACGGACGGACGGACGGATGGACGGATGGACAGACAGACAGACAGACAAATAGATGATGGATGGACAGAGAGAGATATGGATAAATGGATGGATGGATGAAGATAGATAGATAGATAGATAGATAGATAGATAGATAGATAGATAGATAGATATAGATAGATGATAGATAGAGAGAGAGAGAGAGAGAGAGAGAGAGAGAGAGAGAGAGATGGATAGATGGATAGATGGATGGACGAATGAAGATAGATAGATAGACAGAGAGAGACAGAGAGAAAGAGAGAGAGATGGATAGATGGATAGATGGATGGATGGATGAAGATAGATGGATAGATAGATAGATAGATAGATAGATAGATAGATAGATAGATAGATAGATAGATGATGGATGGAGAGAGAGAGAGAGAGAGAATGACAGTTGTATCTCCCTCCAGTAACATCTCCCACTGCACAGGAGAGCAACGGACATAAAGCAGGCCCTGTGGCATATGCCATAGAGTCCTTCAACCTTTTGCCATCCTAGAAACCCAGGGTGCTGCCTTATTCAGTGCTGCTAATAGTGCCTTCCCATGGCTCTCTGGCGTTTCTGACCCTAATTAGGTCAGACTCTTGTTGAATTTGAGGCCTTCGGTGTACCAGGTGATTTGGGAACTCCGTCCCATTCTCTGTCCTTCATTCTTCTGCCGTGCATGTCTTTTGTTATGCTTGAAAACCAAGTCACAGCCAGCCTGCCAGGCTGCTGCTACAAGAAACAGAGTCCCCGATCTTCTCTGTGGGTCCCCAAGAAGCACCTCTCCCAGAGGAAATGGATTGTAGGCATCTGGGAAGCCTTCTACTGTCTAGTAGAGACATCATTGTGATGCCCAGCAAAAAACTCAGGATGGAAGGAAGCGGCTGCAGAGATTTGGGAAAATGGCCTATTCCCATTGCTTGAGACCATACCCCTTTCCTCTGCCCAATGGCAAGGCTGGCTGTACACCTTCCCTTGCCTGCCAGTGTGAAATGGGATACAGTGAACCCAGCTTTGAGTGGGAAAAGGAGGAGAGGTTTTTCAGACAAGCAAGGGGCACCTGGCATTCAGCAAGAGAGAACTGGAGCCCCACAGATGGACATACCCCAGGAACCTCTTGCATGTTTCTTGCCAAGCATGTATGTGTGTGTGGGGGGGGGGTAGAGAATACAAGTGGGAGGGAGAGTATTTTACCTGTTCCCTGTTCCACTGGCTGCCTGTGTGTCCCTGTTCGTATGATGTTCCCCTTAGCCTTGACCTGCATGGAAAGAAGAAAAGCCTGCTAGATATCCATCCAGTTTTGGTCACCATGGTGTAAAAAAGATGTTGAGACTCTAGAACAGTGGTTCTCAACCTGTGGGTCGGGACCCCATTTGGGGTCGAACGACCATTTTACGGGGGTCGCCAAACAAGGCTGTCTGCCATTTTTTTCCCTTTTCTTTGGCCATGCCCCTGGCACCCGGTGATGTATAAGTGGTTGGGGGGTCACCACAACATGGGGAACTGTATTATGGGATCGCGGCATTAGAAAGGTTGAGAACCACTGCTCTAGAAAGTGTGCAGAGAAGAGCAACAAAGATGATCAAAGGACTGGAGGCTAAAACATATGAAGAACAGTTGCAGGAATTGGGTATGTCTAGTTTAATGAAGAGAAGGACTAGGGGTGACATGATAGCAGTCTTCCAGTATCTCAGAGGTTGCCACAAAGAAGAGGGAGTCAAGCTATTCACCAAGGCACCTGAAGACAGGACAAGAAGCAATGTATGGAAACTGATCAAAGAAAGAAGCAACCTAGAACTAAGTTAGAACAATTAATCAGTGGAACAACCTGCCTCCAGAAGTTGTGAATGCGCCAACACTGGAAGTTTTTAAGAAGACACTGGACAACGATTTGTTTGAAATGGTCTATGGTTTCCTGCCTGAGCAGAGAGTTGGACTAGAAGAAATCCAAGGTCCATCCAATTCTATTATTACTGTTGTTGTTCTTGTTGTTGTTCTCTCCAAGGTCCTTTCCAACTGTTATTCTGTTCTATATGCTAGGGCTTGGTTAAATTGATTGATTGATTGACTGACTGGCTGATTGATTGATTGATTGACTGGCTGATTGATTGATTTGCAACTCCAAGCACTGGCTTTCATACCGGATATATACAATCCTAGAACTGTAGAGCCGGAACTTTCTAATTTCACCTTTTGAGAAGTGTGCAAGATTAAAACAAGAGAATAATATTTCACTCATGATATTGCAGTACTTTAATTAGCAGGTGTGAGATGTGACTAAAGCAATTATTCTGAAGTGTGCAACTCTGGGCAGCACCAAAGGAGTTGAGGAGCTGAAATGTCCCATTTAGTAGTACAAGAAGCTTGCTAACACAAGTTTCCCTCTTCCTGGAAAAGGACTCAGTCTTAGAACACCATCGGCTTTACCAAAATCCTAAAAAAATCCATAGTTATTCACCGTATGCTTTCATACTTTGTTAACACAAGATAAACTATATGTCAATGCTACTAACATCAGATGTTCTTGCTTTGACAACATATGGAGATGCACCCATTTTCCTTCTTATGTTTTACTCTTAGAATTAGAATTAGATGATACTGGGGGGGTGGAGGAGGAATGTGCATGAGAGTTTAGTTAGACATAACAATAGTGTAACTAGTGTGAGAACCAAGTTTTTTTGAAATAAGAGATGATAAGAATTGGTGGGTTGAAGAACTGGAGGGAAAGCCGGCATTTCAAACTAATTGGAGAATGTGATTTATGACTGTGAATTAGAGGAGGGAATTGTGCTTTGATACTATGTGCTCAGGGGAGGGGAATTCAGATTTTGGCTTTGCCTATGTACGTGCCGATGCTATGCTACTCGAATAAAGATTCTTTAAGGTAAACAATGCCTTGAAGTTCTTTGAAGAGTTTCATCTGTCAGAACCATGACACTACAAGCAGCGACTTTCCAGATTATACGTAGTCCAGGACATAAAACCATCACTGAGCCCAAAATTTCTGTTGCTAAGCAAGACAGTGGTTAAGGGAGTTTTGCCCCCTTTTGCGACCTTTCCTGCAACAGTTGTTACATGAATCACTGCAGTTTTTAAATTAGTAACACGGCTGTTATATGAATCTGGCTTCCCCATTGACTTTGCTTGTCAGAAGGTCGCAAAAGGGGAAATCACCTGATGCTGGGACACTGCACCAGTCATATATACTGTATGTCAAGGTCTTCATCGAAAATCGATGGACGAACAACAATGAACCAGTTGCCAAGCATCCCGAATTTTGATCACATATAACAGAGGTCCCAAACCTTTTGGGGACCAGGGACCAGGTTTTTCCATGGACCGGAAGATGCATGATTTTGTGGATGGGACTTTGCTTGTTTGTGCGGACCGGTTGCTGGCATGCCACAGCTCAGTACTGGTCCACAGACCGGAGGTTGGGGACCCCTGACATATAACCATGGGGATGCTGTAAGGGTCATACATATGAAATATGGTTATAAGTCATATTTTCAATGCTGTTGTAATTTTGAATGGTCCCTAAACAAATGAGTGTCAAGGACTACTTTTACAACATATATCATCTGATTGGCAAATAAATCCATTTTCTGGGTTCAGATAAAACACAAATTATCCATATCTTTGCATGTTAACACACATACACATGCATTAATTATTTTAGTATCTTCTGTGAATGCAGCTTTTGGATCTCTGGGCCTTTGCTGAGTAGAAATGCAGCCCCCCCCCTTCTCTCCGGTCCTATCCTTGAGTTTTCAGAAAACTAACCTGGTGTGAATCTGCTCTTCCCAGTGGGGATCCCACTCCTGTCTCTCTTTACTTCCATTTCAGCTCATTGCAGTTGCCTTCCAAAACCATGGAAAGCATAATAGATGTTATGCATCTTGATCACAAATACAGTTCTTTTAAGGAAACCTTGGACAGTGGCAGAAGAATAAGGGAAAATACTACTTGGACACAGTTTAACTGGGATAACCTCAAGTTGTCCAAAAATGCAGAAGTGTAGCCTTGGTTCTCACTGCTGACTTTTGGTATAATGGTACTGTAGGAAGTCAGCCCCCCAGAGAAGGAAATATTAAAAGGGCAGAAAAATATATTTCCTCCAAGGATCTTAAAGAGGCAGGAAAACATGCCCAGTTTTCTTAATAGCCCCAGGTCTCCCTTCCCCAAGCAGAAACCAGCTCTATAGAGATGCAGATGTAAATCCAGGGAGCTAGGAGATTAAGAAGACAAAGACCTAAAATCTACATACCCCATCCAAACTCTAAGAGTCATCAGCCCCAGGGAAGCAGGATATGACCTTTTGACATAATAAGATTGACCCATCACCATCAGAATACCAGAAAGGCACACTCAGACTCAGGTCAAAGTTCATGCCATAGGAACAACTCCAAACAAAAGGCTCCAGAGGGTATAAAAACCCACTCCCTACATGTGTTCAGCCCTTTTTTTCACTTCTCTTGCTGCCAGAATCATCTTTCTGTCTAGTTGTCCTCTCCAATAAACTGACTTGGGTTTGGCTAGTCTAGAGAAAAGAAGGACTGGGGGGGGGGGGACATAATAGCAGTATTCCAGTATTTGAGAGGCTGCCACAAAGAAGAGAGGGTCAACTTATTTTCCAATGCACCAGAGGGCAGGACAAGAAACAATGAATGGAAACTAATCAAGGAGAGGAACAACCTGGAATTAAGGAGAAACTTCATAACAGTGAGGACAATTAACCCGTGGGACAGCTTGCCTTCAGAACTTGTGAGTGCTCCATCACTGAAAGTTTTTAGGAAGAGACTGGACAGTCACTTGTCTGAGATGGTACAGGGTCTCCTGCTTGAGCATGGGGTTGGACTAGAAGACCTCCAAGGTCCCTTCCAACTCTATTCGCATTGATTGATTGATGGCTGTTTAACAAAGCAAAGCAAACATGCCTTGTGAATGCAGCCTGAACACTCACCATGTAATAGAAGATAATCTTGTCCTCCGTCTCATCATCTCGGTTAAGGATGTAACGCACTCGAACTGGCTCACGGTGGCCGCAGCTTAGAATCTCTGACGCAGGCTCAATATGTAGGTAACTTTGGCTTGGAGAATAAACCACGTTCGCTGTGTGAAATGCCTCCTTGTGCTGGGGTGTAACCCAGTGCAGGCTACCACACCAAGAATGGACTTGATACGTAGCCTATAAGGAAAAGCACAGATTTAGAGAAATTAGGTGAGAGGCTGGCTGAGAACATTTCATTGGCAGGGCTGAGAGAAATGGACAATTCAAAAATGTGACAGATGGATAGATGAAGAGATAGATAGATATAGATATACAATAGATATTCAATAGAGATAGATAGATAGATAGATAGATAGATAGATAGATAGATAGATAGATAGATAGATAGATAAATAGATAGATAGATAGACAGACAGACAGACAGACAGACAGACAGACAGACAGACAAATAGATAGATTAAAGGGAGATAACGAGATGATAGACATATATGATATGAGAGAGATACAGAGAGATAGCAAGAGAGAGGCAATCAAAAGTCAAGAGGGGGGCTGTGACTGTGTGCTGGAAATCACACTCCATTTGTTTTACCTTGTCACACACAAAAAAAACCCCAAAAGGAGTGGGTTCATTGACTAAATTTTGTTGCATGTAAAAACAGATGTGCCTTTGCATAATAGTGGCTTCCCTCTTGACTTTGTTCACCCCTCTGCAGACATCCCATTTGATGGTCCATCAAACTGTAATTCTCCTCCCTACAGCAAATGAGCCAGGTTGGCCAGAGAGGAACACTGCCCCTATCCCAGTGGAATGGAATTGTCAAGGATGAAACTTTGGCATCTACGTACCTCTGGGTTTCAACTTGCCTTTAGATTAAGGGGGAGGTGTTATTTTCAAGTGGGTAAGAAGGAGAAATGAAACTTCTTCAATTTAGCTGAAGCCTGTGGGAGTCTGAAGCCTTGTCAAGGACACCAGAACAGGTGTGGATTTGAAGCAGACGGTTCCCATAACAAAGCAAACTTGTTGATATGGCTTATGTAAGATGTTGGGAGTTTGGCTGGGAAAATTATTGTTTCAGTCTATGAATTGGTGCTGGAACCTCAGAGTTAGTTTTGCTTCCACAAAACCATGCAGTGTATGCAATAAACAGTAAGATTTTCAGAAACGGGATGAACCTGGAGGTTTATTTGGATTCTCAAGCTGGATGTTGACAGGAATATTCCTGACACCTGGCAAGTGAGATGAAAACAGGCTGTGAAGAATCAACTGTGCAGGAGTCCTGGCACAAAGGAAAATGCTCTGTGGGAAACGGGGGGTGGGGTTGGCTTAGAAAGCATCCAGCCCAGGCATAATGGAAAACCATCATCCATGGACCATACCGGTGATCCTTGGCTTATGACCACAATTGAGCCCAAAATTTCCATTGCTAAGTGAGATAGTTTCTCACCACAGTTTATTTATTTATTTATTTATTTATGAGACTTATATACCGCTTTAAGTGCAAGCACTCTCTAAGCGGTGTACACCAGTAAGCAATGTATATATATATATTTACATTGCCCCCAACAATCTGGGTCCTCATTTTACCTACCCCGAAAGGATGGAAGACTGAGTCAACCTTGAGCCGGTGAGATTTGAACTACTGACCTGCTGAACACAGTCAGCTAAAATGGCCTGCAGTACTGCACTCTAACTGCTGCGCCACCTCGGCTCTAACCCTAACCCTAACCCTAACCATCTCCTTTGACCCATCGTCACTCTTCCTGCCCTCATTTCCCAGCTCCCTATCCTTCTACTTGCAAAGTTCCCCCCAACAGGCTCTGCCTTTAGCACACACCACCAACTTAAGCAGTGAAGGACTCAAAATCTAGTTTTTGCGGAAGGGAAGATCCCATGCAGCTCTTTTATCTACGATCTACTGTAGAACTGAGCAGAGTCAGTTCTGTCCCATGCCTGGACAGGAGACCACAAAGAAATCTTCAAGTCTGTGGGTTAGACTGGGAAGTTGAAAACACATCTGTGAATAAAGCCACATCTGTGAATAAAGCCTGCTATGGAAATCACAGAGCCTGTGCAGGTGAATAAGATGGAAAATCACCTTAAAAGGAGAAAGCAACAATGAGGGAAAGAGAGAGAGAGAGAGAAAAGGGGGGGAGGGAGCCCTAAGTCCTTGCCACTGCTGAGAAGCTATTTCTTTTCATTTTTAGAGAATTTGTATGTCATAAAATACAGCCGTCGCAAACCGAGGAGACTCACCTTAAGAGTCAAAAGGTCACCTCTGAAATCGGTGGTGTCTATGGAAAATTGGGCTCGCCCCTCGGCATCCGTCACTTGAGTCATCTGCTGATTTCTTGACGTTATCGAAAGCTGCACTGTTTCATTGCCCATAGGCAACTCGGTACTGTCTACCAGCTTCACCTGCGCATGAAAAACCACAACATTTATCCAGTTGGTTGCTGCCAGAGATTTCAGTATTTACAAATGCAATTTCTCTTCTGCCTTCTCTTCAGGAACGCAAAGCTTCCCTGTCAATCCATACTAATTTTTTCCCATAACTAAAACTCTGTGAAAAAGGGGAGAACAGAGGGAGGGTCTAGAGCCCAGGAATAGATTGTTTGTGCTGCAGTTGAGAAAGAAAGGAAAGTATTTCTAAACTCAAGCAAGAAGCCACTGAAAGATGGCATTACAGGTTGGTTTGATAAACAGACTTTTTGTAAAGGAAAAAGATCTTTGGGAGCTTCAAAGCAGAGCATCCGCAGGAGATCACAGCAATAGCCATTGCACTTAGACTTATATACAGCTTTACAGCACTCTCTGGACAGTTTGACAATGTCAGGTTGTTGCCCCCAATAATTTGGGTCCTCGCTCTCCAGAGTGTCCATCGACTCGCAGTCACCCCTAGAGCCATCCCACACCATACATTCCCAACTCAGTCGGCATTGTAAAATGGAGGGGTCGTCCCATCTTCTTCGGATCGATCGTTTTATTTCTCTTGAGCCGTGGATGAGGTGTTGGTTTTAACAATCCCCCCCATCTCCGTCTGTATTGCTTTCTGCCGTATCAATTGGGAAGTCCCTGGTGTTCATAGTATGGGGATTCTGGGTTTTAGTTTTTATCGCCCTCCTGTTTTTTTGGGAGCGCGTTAACATTGTGGGGGTGGTGGGGTTCTCAGGCGTTGTTCTTCCTCTTCTGGGTTGTCCATGATTAGTCGGGGGGTTGGCATGTCCTCCTTAGTTTTTCTACTAGGTCCGCTGTTGGGCTGTCGGTAACGGGATGGTAACTGGCCGCACTCCATGATCTTAATGTCAAGTATGCAGAGCAGAGGTCAATATGTCGATTAATGGAGTTATTATTGGAAAGCCATGCCTCTTTAAGAAGGCGGCCTCCCTTTGTATTGTCACTTGCCAAGACGCATACCTCATTAAAATTAAAGCGGTGGCCCAATTCCGCCATATGAACCCATATCTGGGAGTGCTGCTCGCCCCTTTTCACTGCTAGTCTGTGCTCATGGACCCTAGTCTTCACTCGTTTTGAAGTCTCCCCAACATAGTTGAATGGGCAGTCCATACAATCGATCCTATATATGGCTGCCGATCTTTCCATGCTGGGGAGCGGGTCTGTGTGCTACCTTTATGTTATACAGCGCCAAAATTCTCGCAGTAGCCTCCGAGACATTGGAGATATAGGGGAGGGTAATGCGTGTTGTCTGTTGCACTAGTTCGCGGGGTGGTGGGTTACTCCGGGATTCCGATGGTATACTGAACCGATTAATGAATCTTACCGGGTACCCATTGCGCCTGCATACCTGGAAAAGATGGTTTCTTTCCTCTTTCTTTGCTTTGGTAGTACTGCAATGTGACTCCACTCGTTTGAATAGAGTCCTGACGCAACTGACCTTATGGGCTGTCGGATGGTTACTCTCAAAATGGAGAATCCTGTCCGTACAAGTTGCTTTTCGGTATACCTTGGTGGTCAGAGATCCATCCAGTTGGCATTGGACCAATACATCTAAGAATGCCAATACGCCCTGATTTTCCTCCTCCATGGTGAACTGGATGTCTGGGTATACCGAATTCAAAATACCCATAAAGTCAGTCTTGTGCTGCTTCTTGATGACTACAAACGTGTCGTCCACATAGCGGGCCCAAAATTTTGGTTGGTACTGGGCCAACCAGTACCAACCAAAAGGGGCGAGCAGCACTCCCAGATATGGGTTCATATGGCGGAATTGGGCCACCGCTTTAATTTTAATGAGGTATGCATCTTGGCAAGTGACAATACAAAGGGAGGCCGCCTTCTTAAGGAGGCATGGCTTTCCAATAATAACTCCATTAATCGACATATTGACCTCTGCTCTGCATACTTGATATTAAGATCATGGAGTGCGGCCAGTTACCCATCCCGTTACCGACAGCCTGACAGCGGACTTAGTAGAAAAACTAAGGAGGACATGCCAACCCCCCGACTAATCGTGGACAACCCAGAAGAGGAAGAAAAACACCTGAGAACCCCACCACCCCCACAATGTTAACGCGCTCCCAAAAAACCAGGAGGGCGATAAAAACTAAAACCCAGAATCCCCATACTATGAACACCAGGGACTTCCCAATTGATACGGCAGAAAGCAATACAGATGGAGATGGGGGGGGATTGTTAAAACCAACACCTCATCCACGGCTCGAGAGAAATAAAATGATCGATCCGAAGAAGATGGGACGACCCCTCCGTTTTACAATGCCGACTGAGTTGGGAATGTATGGTGTGTGGGATGGCTCTAGGGGTGACTGCGAGTCGATGGACACTCTGGAGAGTGGAGAGAAGAGCGAACCCGGATGGAGGAATGCGCGAGGGGGCAGAGCTTGCAGGATCAGCTTACCGCGCCTCACATCAACAGCACCCATTGACTCCAAAGATCCTTGTCACAGGCATGTAAGAATGAGAGGCAACAGAGCGAGGAGGGGGGTGGAAGAGGAATGCTGTGACGTTCGGAAAGATCGCAATCCCACCTCCCCCCAGATCAAGGCCTCCGATTACAACGTGGGGGAAAAGAGCACAAAAGACAAAAGAAAGGGGGGGAGGAGAATGTTAACTGGATATGGCCACATTTACGAGACTGGTTACATGGACAAACGGCTTATTGAATCACCCCAGCTTGCTACTATACCTCAGTTAACCCAGAGTGGTACATGTAACCGTCTTGACAGCAGTTGGGCACAGGGGGGAAGTACTAAGGATGAAAGGGAAAGCATTCAGAGAGAGAATAGTCATGCAGATGTGGATTGGGAGAAGGAGAAGGAGAAATGCAAACCACTAGATAAACCCGAGGGAGAGGCACACTCAAAAGGGCACACTCTGCGGAGACCATGACTGGGGAAAACACAAAGAACACAAGAGACAGTGCGATGTGATGGGGCAACCAGAATGGAGTGAAAAAAGGGGAGGAGAGGGGAGTGCAGCTAAACGAAATAGGGGTGACAGTAAAGCAAAAAAGGAGAGGGGAGATGTCTCATCAGACCCCGAATTTGGCAAAGAGAAAACACCCAATGACAACTACACAAATAGAAAACGCAAGAAAGCAATCATTGCCAATAAGAAACCAGCAATTGAGAAACAGCCTATTGCATCAGGCCCATTGACAAGATCTAGGAGCTGAGTGCAGACTCTGACCAATCTATAAAAGAGGACTCTCCCACTGACCGGCATTTTGAGCCCTGATGATGTCAGCAGTTGCTGACGAAAGCTAGGCGTTTTATTAGTTATTAATTTTTATGGTGATTTTATTGGTATTGTATTAAATTTTACTAAATTTTACTAAAAAATTTTAAATACTCCCTGGTGCTCACGTTTATTTGTTTGATTTTAAATATGGATATACCCAGGGATCATATTTTTAGTGTAATTGTTAACATATATACACACACACACACACACACACACACGTGTGTGTGTGTGTGTGTGTGTGTGTGTGTCATAAAGGTAAAAAAGAATATATGCAGTGTTATCTTCATTTTAGATGTCAAAAGGCTTTCTCTCTGTCTCTCTCTCCCTCCCTCTCTCCCTCCCTCCCTTTCTCTCTCTCTCTTTCTCCTCCCCCTCTCTCCCTCTCTCCGAACCTCTGCTCACCTGGCAAGCTGGATTCAAGCTGTTCTCCAACAAGCTCAGGGGTAGGCAACCTTGGCTCTTTTATGACTCATGGACTTCAACTCCCATAATTCCTGAGCCAGCATAGCTAGGCTAGCTAGGTCTCTCCTGCCTTTCCTGCTTCCTGCAGAGATGCAGCAAAGGAAGGAGCTCTGCCCAAAAAGCTTTTCAGCTCCTCGGTGAACACTGTGGGTCCACTCTCTTTTACACACACAAACACAGAGAGAGACAGGGAGAGAAGTAGGGAAGTGTAAGTGCCTCTCTCTGTCTCTGTCTCTCTCTCTGCAAATGACAGAAGAGGCTGGGAGCCACAGGGAAAGGCTCAAAGAGCCGCATGTGGCTCCGGAGCCACAGGTTGCCGACCTGTGGTTTAGGGAATATTAAAAGAGGCAGGATAGAATATTTCGCATAAAGGAGAAATGGAGAAAAATCCTAACAAAGACAGAAACCAGCCCCAGTCTTTCTGCCTCAAGCAGAAACTGAAGAGGCTGCCCTTTAGAAATGCGGATTTGGTGATCCTTTCAGAAAGACTAGGGCCAATCTATTCATAAGCAAAATGCCTTCAGCCCCCACAGCTGGTAGGATTAAGAATTTACATTCCCCCACCCAGCTCCAAGGACAGGACAGGACAGGACTTCCCAGCCACAATAGGAGTCAGGCAACAATAATGAGAATAGCAAAAGGGCACACTCAAGCTCAGGTCGAAGTACATTTCACAAGAACAGGCCCCTCAAATGCAAAGCCCAAAGAAGATATAAAAAACCCACCATTTCTCAACTCCATTTTGCCAGCTTTCCCAGAACTGCATGCTGTTGCTGGTTCTGCTCCTCAATAAACAAGAACCTTCTTTCCTAAGCAGCCTCCATTTTATTTCCAGCAACTTACTCCTGGCTTGGAACTGGACCTGATTTTTTGTCTAACAGTCCCTCCCTCCCTCCTTTGTCTGAAATAGTGTAAGATCTCCTGCTTGAGCAGGGGAATGAACTAGAACAGAAGCCCCCAACCTTTGGGGCAACAGGGACCAGTTACAAGGAGAGAGGTTTTCCATGGACCAGAGGGAGCGTGGTTTCACATGCTGCCTGGATCCCATGGAAGAGGTTTTGCTTGTTTGCACAGCCTAGTTTCTGGCATGCCGGGGCTTAGTGCCAGCCCACAGACTGGGGGTTGGAGACCCCTGAACTGGAAGACCTCCAAGGTCCCTTCAAAGTTTGTTATTCTGTATTCCTAAATGCTTTTACCCTGCTTTTGATCATTCGAGCTCAGAGTAGCTGGCCAGCAGCTGTTGGGGTGAAAAAATGGAATTGCAGCAGACTGAAGGAGCTGGCTGGGCTGATATGGTCTAAATCCAGCTTTGCAGAGAAACCATAGCTCCCATCTTACCTTCACAACATAGGGAATGCCGGGTTTATAGTAATGGTCTGGGTTTTCAAAGATAACTTTGCTCAATGTGGACGTGATGTCAATGGATTCTGTGCCATTCGATTCCACCCCTGTTGAAGAGAAATGTTGTCTCAAGAGACTTCTCTTCCTCTCCAAATTCCCAGAAACATCTTGTCTCTGGAGTGCCGAGAAGCCTGACTGTTTGATGGATATTTGCCCTATGTTTATGGTTTTTTTTTTGGACAAGGGGTTGGAATAGATGATCTCCAGGATCTCCCCCTCCCCATGTGCAGATTTCTCTAACATAAGTCCTCTCAGTTAGTTTTCCCAAAGGTGCTTTTTCAGGAGGCAGCTGGACTCTCTTGTTTTTCTTTGAAGACATTTTGCTTCTCATCCAAGAAGCTTCTTCAGCTCTGACGGGATGGTGGGGAGTGGAAGGATTTATATTGCTTGAAGACAGCTGGTCATTTGCATTCTTTTAGAGAGTCATTGAGGCCACTTGGAGGTTTATCTGTGTCGTCAGGATCACCTAAGTAGTGAAAATGGGTGTGGAGCCTTCTTGAGTCGTGCACCCATTTGCACCACTCAGGTGACCCTGAGGACATAGGTAAACCCTCCAAATGGCTTCAATGACTCTCTAAAAGAATGCAAATGACCAGCTGGCTGCAAGGAGTATAAATCCTTCCATTCCCCACCTTGTGGTCAGAGCTGAAGAAGCTTCTTGGATGAGAAGCGAAACGTCTTCAAAGAAAAACAAGAAAGTCCAGTTGCCTCCTGAATAAGCATCTTTGGGATAACCATAACCTGGATGACTGAGAACCTCTATAGACATCTCTCTGTTGGTTTTTAATTTGGCACTTGCTGGCCCTTTAAAGGTTTCCCTGTCCAATCATGACTAGCTCAAGGGGAGGGAGGTCATCTCCAATTCTCATCCTAGGGAGACTGTGTTGTTTCAGAGGCACTTACATCCTCATGTGTCCAGCACAAAAGTATGGAACGCAGTAACCTTTCCCGCCAAAGTGATACCCATTTTTCTACCAATGCTTTCTAATTGCTAGATTGGCAGGAGCTGGAGCGAGGATGGGAGCTCACCCTGTCCTGCGGCATTTGGGTCTCAAACCCAGGCTGTCAGTGTCATAGTTCTGACAGATGATACTCTTCAAAGAACTTCGAGGCATTGTTTACCTTAAAGAATCTTTATTCAAGTAGCATGGCATTGGCACGTACATGGTCGAAGCCAAAATCAGAATTCCCCTCCCCTAAACACATAGTATCAAAGCACAATTCCTTCCCTCAATTTACAATCATAAATCACATTCTCCAATTAGTTTGAAATGCAAACCTTCCTTCCAGTTCTGTAAACCGCCATTTCTTATCATCTCCTATTTTAAACAACCTTGAGGAATACTCTACTGCGATGTTGTTATGTCTAACTAATCCCCATACACATTCTTCCCCCTCCCTCCCCCCCCAGCATCATCTAATTCTAACTCTAAAAGTAACACACAGGTTAAAGAGAAAATGGCTGCATCTTCATATATTGTCAAAGCAAGAACATCCGATGTTAGCTTTCTAGCTGATAAGCCCAGAGTCTTAACAGCTGAGCCATTGCACCCTTTATGGGATAGCAAATTTGATTGGTATGTCTCAGACTGCTTGGGCTAGCTGATTATTTTCTCCTCATAAATCTCATCACTTCCTGTGAAGTGGGTGTTGGAGCAGAAAATAGTTTTCTCATTTATAACTCACATGCCACTACTCTCTTAAGACTTAAACACAGGGTGTGTTTTTTTTTCCTGTCTCCCAAACCTTCCTTGTAGGAAATAGGAGCTTTAGATCTGGTTCTGAGTTATTCTGGCAGTCAGTTGGTGCTCTTTTGTTTCATGAAGCTTACCTGTGCCTTCCTCTGTGATTTTGCCTTCTACAGTGATGTCCATCGAAAAACCAAGCCACATCAGGTGAAGGTCCTCCGTGTCCACCACCTTGGAGAAACAGCCGTCCCTATCTGCCTGTGTGCCACACAGCCAAGAAAGAACAGCCTGGGATCCTTTTGTCAAGTTTGAAGCGTGCTTATGCTATTGCAACCATTATTGCTTCTCAGCTTGCCAATGAACTCGGGGGGGGGGGATTGGAATGCTGGCTACAGATATCAAGGAGGAACCTGTGAAAGCCAAGGATGTTCCAACAGGTGTTTGCCATCTCACAGAGAGACTTTCTCATTAGGGCAATGTAATCACCATTCTTTTAAAAAAAAAATCCAGCAAAAAATGAGAATTAAAATAGGTCTACAACAGTGGTTCTCAACCTTTCTAATGCCGCGATCCCATAACACAGTTTCCCATGTTGTGGTGACCCCCAACCACTTATACATCACCGGGTGCCAGGGGCGTGGCCAAAGAAAAGGGGAAAAAATGGCGGACAGCCTTGTTTGGCGACCCCTGTGAAATGGTTGTTCGACCCCAAATGGGGTCCCGACCCACAGGTTGAGAACCACTGGTCTACAAAGACATCCCAGGTGTGGAAACTCGACGTCCCTTACCTCGCCATCAAATTCTTTACACAGACTTTTACCACTATTACACTGGAAAGGTGATTGTTTGGGTTGTCGGCAGAGGCGCAGCTTCAGCAGGCCGGGCACAGGTTTCCCATAGGTGTACCTGGAGTCAGACCCCACAAATGTGGACACAAACACAGATAGAGATGGTTGTTCAGAGAAAGAAGATCAAGGGGACCTGCAACATCTAGAGGAAGCCATGTGGGTATAGAGCTGTGGTTGGCACAATGGTTAGACTGCAGGATTGCAGGCTCGTTTTGCCCACAGCATTCCATCCTGCCAAGGTCAGTAGAATGAGGACCCAGTTTGCATAGCTAAATGTCTGTGGAGATTCTCAGTTGTCCAGGTCATGATTGTCCCGATGGTGCTTCTTCCGGAGGAACTGGACTGTCTTGTTTTTCTTTGAAGACGTTTCGCGTCTCATCCAAGAAAAGAAAAGAAAAACAAGGAAGTCCAGTTGCCTCCTGAAAAAGCACCTTTGGGACAACCATGACCTGGATGACTGAGAACCTCCATAGACATTTAGCTATGCACTTTGGGATGAACGTCCTTCAGATGGTGCGGGAGGATAAACGGATTTCCAGAAAACATTGCAGGCTACTGGAACCATTTGCGCTTCAGTTTGAGATGCAGACCACACAGACTCATCCCCAACAGTCTCTGCCTGTCTTCAACAGTGAAAGGACCCAGGGCAGAAAACATCCTGCAGCCAAGAAGGCTCCACACCCATTTGCACCACTTAGGTGACCCTGAGGACACAGGTAAACCTCCAAATGGCCTCAATGACTCTCTAAAACAGTGGTTCTCAACCTGTGGGTCAGGACCCCATTTGGGGTCGAACGACCATTTCACGGGGGTAGCCAAACAAGGCTGTCCGCCATTTTTTCCCCCTTTTCTTTGGCCACGCCCCTGGCACCCGGTGATGTATAAGTGGTTGGGGGTCACCACAACATGGGAAAATGTATTATGGGGTCGCGGCATTAGAAAGGTTGAGAACCACTGCTCTAAAAGACGGCAAACGACCAGCTGCCTGCAAGGAGTATAAATCCTTCCATTCCCCACCATCCAGTCAGAACTGAAGAAGCTTCTTGGATGAGAAGTGAAATATCTTCAAAGAAAAACAAGAAAGTCCAGTTGTCTCCTGCAAAAGCATCTTTGGGAGGACCCAGATTGTTGGGGAAAATATGCTGACTCTGTAAACTGCTTAGAGAGGGTATAAAGTTCTGAGAAGCAACATATAAATCTAAGTGGTATTGCTATTGACTAAGCCTTCTGTCCTTCCGTGTTTGGTAAAATGGGGCAAAATATCTCTCTCTCTCTCTCTTTCTCTCTCTCTCTCTCCTTGGATTGCTTTTATTTTTCTCCCTTTCATAATTAATTTATTACGTCAGATATCATTGATTTTATATTATATTGTATTGCATTATTTTTATTTTATTTTATTCCATTTATTCACCATCTCAGTCCAGATAGACTCCGGGTAATTTCCAGATACTATTAAAGAGCAAATCTTGCAGCCAGGATTTTTTTGTTCCTTTTTGCTTATTTGTCCTGTCTTTGTTTAAACAACCCAGGAAGATGGCCTTGTTCACCCAGCCTTTCACAATAACAACCAAACTAGGACTTGACTACCTTAAAGGGAACTCTGCTTATTACTGTTGTACTTCCTCTCTCACCAGCTTCATAAATATTTATTAGCAGTATTTATCTATAGCAGTGTTCCAATATCTCAGGGATTGCCCCAAACAACAGGGAGTCAAGCTATTCTCCAAACCACCTGAAGGCAGGATAAGAAGCAACGGATGGAAACTAATCAAGGAGAGAAGCAACCTGGAACTAAGGAGAAATTTCCTGATAGTGAAAACAATGGAACAACTTGCCTCCAGAAGTTGTGAAAGCTCAAACCCTGGAAATTTTTAAGAAGAGACTGGACGGCCATTTGTCTGAAGTGGTATAGAGTTTCTTGCCTGAGCAGGGGGTTGGACTAGATGACCTCCATGGCCCCTTCCAGCTCTGTTTCTATTCTATTCTGTTCTGTTCTGTTCTACTTATTCTATTCTATTCCATTCCATTCCATTCTACTTATTCTATTCTATTCTGTTCTATTCTATTCTATTCTATTCTTCATTGCATTATTCTATTCTATTCTATTCCATTCCATTCTACTTATTCTATTCTATTCTATTCTATTCTATTCTATTCTTTGAAGACATTTCGCTTCTCATCCTTCTTCAGCTCTGCAGGCTGAAATCACCAAGAGGCGAACTAAACCCAATCCTGAGCAGACTTTCCATCCTCCCTTTCTTTTGCAATCACACTAGGAAAATCTTGCACCCTCTGCTCATAATGCAAACAGGAGAGTAGATGAACATTACGTACCTGCCACACGCACTGACTTCTATCTCCTTAGTTACAACCTGGATGAGCTTGGGGGCCTTCACCAAAACCTCAAACTTGGGCAGAACTAGAAAAGGGGGAAGGGAAGGAAAATCATGGGGTGAACCTTCTGGAAGAAACACACTTTTCAGTTCTCTCCTGTGACCTCCCTTGAGGGGTAGGGTGGTGGGAATAATTGACCACACAAGGACTCCCTGATTACCTTGAGGTCTGAAAGGAAAAGTAAAATGTAAATCTAAGTAAGACGAATTAAATCTTGCATTAATAAAGTAATAAACATTATGCCAGAATTAATTTAATGATTGGACAATCTTCTAAAAAAAACTTTGGCTTCACTCTTAGCTAATTTGTCCTTGTTGTGGTGGCTTATGTTTTATAAAAGTTCAACCCATTGAATTAGTTTCTGGGGCGGTGGGTGAATGAGGTTTCAATTACACTGTCCTAACCACTATCTTTACTTCCTGGCAGTCACTCTGTATTCATTTGATTAGTCAGTAAGTCATATTCTCAAATTGCAGAAAATGGGTTAATTTAACTAGATCAATGTTACATTTGTTGGAGAAACTGAGTCTTAAAATTAAACTGGATAAACAGCATTGTGAAGTCACTGGTCGGCTAAATCCCTCATTGCCAAATACATCCATCTATCCATCCATCCATCTTTATTTATTTATTTATTTATTTATTTATTTATTTATTTTCTTTCTGTCTGTCTGTCTGTCTTTCTTCTTTCTTTCTTTTATTTCTTTTATTTTCTTTCTTTCCTTTCTTTCTTTCTTTTTCTTTTTTCTTTCTTTTCCTTTCTTTCTTCCTCCCTTCCTTTCTTTCCATCCTGCTTTTTTCAATCATTAAAAATAATCCTAATTTTTAAAAATCTACCAGCTCAACATGAAGAGGTATTTAACTCTTCAAACTTCAGTGTGCAGATTAAGCTGCTACAACTTCATTGGGACAAGCAAACCTTAATTCAACAAGGCAGAATAATTTGGACTGTCCAAAAGCTAGTTTTATTTATTCTATTTGAAGATGGCCAAATCAAGAAAGACTCATAGTGGTCTACAAGGATCCAATAAAGATATATGGTGAATATTGTGACAATTGAAGTGGGTGAATGCAATGCCTCATATACTTGCTAGACAGAATCGTACTATTGAAAGAGAGGGGAATTCAACAATGGTTTTTTTAAAAAAAAAAAATCCCCAAATTGGAAGGAGAGCCTGAGGCCAACTCACAGCACAGTGCAGGGATCTGAGTTGAATATATTTTTTCCAATGGATTCTTAGAAAAAAAAACATTGTTTATCTTGAAGGATAGAAGATCTCAGTTTCAGAGCTTGATAATAGCTTAGTGGTCATTTTAGCTGCAGAGCATATGAGTTATCTGATCTGGACGCAAATGTCTGAATGTCCACCAGGTGGCAGAAAGAGTAAGAAGAGTTGTGAAATTTGCAGTGCCCAAAAATCTGCATGGCCACTAGAGGGCAGCAATTCTTCTCTGCTATCTCTGGTTGTCCAAATTTTTGCTGATCAGATCTTGTAACCTTTACTGGTATATATCCAGGAAAAACTGGATCTCTCCTTCTTACCATATTCATCCACCTCAAAGCTGTATTGAGCAAGCTTTGTGGAGTCTTTCTCTACCACCACTTGGTAGATGCCCAGGCGGGGATCGGAAGACAGAGAATAGGAAAGCTGGATTATGCCCATCGGAACCTCCACATCTCTCCACTGGAACACCCGGTTGTTTTTGGGATCCTCTACCACCACTTGGTAGATGCCCAGGCGGGGATCGGAAGACAGAGAATAGGAAAGCTGGATTATGCCCATCGGAACCTCCACATCTCTCCACTGGAACACCCGGTTGTTTTTGGGATCCTGGAAAGAACAAGATAACAAGTCCCAAAGGCTGCCCATAATCCAGAATTGTTCTGGAATCAATGGTTTGTGACAACGTAGTCCTATCCCATTTTCTGAGCACAATTAGCAGTATATGGGATATGACAGTCTTCCAGAAGCCCACATATGTGTTGGGATTAAACTCTCAGAATCTGCATCCAGCAAGGACAATTGTGGGCTGGTTGGAAATTCAGGGAATTGTACTCCCTAATTTTCTGGAGGCCTAAAGTTGAAGGTGATAGCTATAGGTATTAGCAAGAAGGCAAAGTGATGTTCAAGCTCAGATTGTACAAGCTGAGGGAAGCTGGGACATAGTTTCTTGAATACTCTTAACAATTTTAGAGCAACTAATTTAAGAAGTAAAGGAGTGAAACAAAACAAGCCTCTGGGCTGGTTGCCAGATCAAGACTGCATTATTGCATAAGACCACTAGATGGAAGGAAAGTGTTCCCTGAATATCTCACAATTTTGCTACCATCTAGTGGACACCTTGAGGAATTGCAGTCCAGAGATGGTAGCACTAATTCACTTTCCATGAACTACTACTTTATGCAGGAAGTTGCTTGGTGATTTCCTTGATCAATGCTACTGTTTCTCTAATCAAATGCAAGGAGAAGTCTCTCATTCAGTCCAATTCCTAGTAAAGAAGATAGGAACAGGCCTGGTCAAAATTAAAGTACCCCTCATTTCTCAGCAGCACTAATTTTGCAATTTTGTGGGACTGTGAAATAGCCTCATTCTTAAAGAAGTGAAATGCGATACAACATTAGCTACTTAAAACTCTCTCTCTCTCTTTCTCTCTCTTTCGCCACCAAGGGATCTGCCTGAATCACTTTCTGGGCAACGATTTGGAAATGGTTTGCCATTTTGACTTCCCAAGAGCCTGTAGCCCTCAGATTTCCTGGTGGCCTCCCATCCAGAGATTAATGCGGTCCAATCAGCCATGGAGCTGGCACTGCTATGGTCTTTCAGCACTTACCTGGATGTACACAACTGGAAACTGTGGAGACAAAAAAAAAACATAGGAAAATCAAAGACAGCAAGGAATGAAAAAGAGGATAGAGAAAAAGTGTAAGTAAAACAAAAAAGGACATGAGAGATTCTTGTATGTCTATGGAGATTCTCAGTCATCCAGGTCATAGTTGTCCCAAAGGTGCTTTTTCAAGAAGCAATTGGATTTTGTTGTTTTTCTTTGAAGATGTTTCACTTCTCATCCAAGAAGCTTCTTCAGCTCTGATTGGGTGGTGGGGAATGAAAGGATTTACATATTCCTTGCAGACAGCTGGTCATTTGCATTCTGTTAGAGCAGCGGTTCCCAACCTTTTCTATACCCCACACCCTTAGAACGTTTCTGATATATTCTCGCACCCCTTACAAAAGTTCAAAATAACGGCAACAAATTACGCATACAGTAATGGCCAAAATTGTGGAAACCCTTTGGGAAAAGTGTACAGTAGAAATGCCACCTTTGGTTAAGTTTCCACCCATTTTTCTTCTAATTTCTTTATAACTGTAGCCTTGTTCACTTAATAATACTATTTTACATAGCTTTCTGGACGACCAGTCAACTCTTTGCACCATTACTTTAATTTTATTACGTTTTAAAGCTCACTAATGAAAGAACACAAAAAAACCCCAACCATCTTGATAGCGATCACATAACACATTGACAAATGTCCTCCTCTCAGCTTCAATACATGACATCAATAACTGAATCCTACTGTGATCCGACTGGCTCATTGCCAAAAGAAGATGACACCTGATTGGCTCTCTAAACACTCCTGCTCATTGGCTACAATCAGATGAAAGAAAACTACCTGATATCAACCTAAGCAAGTTGTGCTTCTTTTTTCTGGTTATTTGGCTATAACTTTTCATAGAATGCAGTACAGATAATTGAACTAACTTTGTTGCATTACATTCTTGATTAAATTATCTTTCCATTGATATATAATTTTATGGTACTACTCCAAAGGAGTAGTTAACCATCATACCTCAAAAATACACTTTTCCCAAAAGGTTTCCACAATTTTGGCCACTACTGTATATACTATAATTTTGAAAACCGAAGTTTTCGCACCCCCTGGAATATCATCTCACACCCCCAGGGGGTGCAAGCACTTCTGGCTGGGAAACCCTGTTTTGGAGAGCCATTGAGGCCACTTGCAGGTTTGTCTGTGTCCTCAAGGTCAACTGAGGTATAAATCGGTGTAGAACCTTCTTGGAACTGCTGAAAGGACTGTGTTGCAGACTGGAGATACATGATGTTGCATCCCTCCGCTTCTATTGAGAGAGGGCTGCTCATTATTGACATAGATGGCCTCTTTAACCCCTCTTTCAAACCAGTGGTCCTCTCTGTCCAAAATGTGGATTTTGCTATCTTCAAAAGAGTCTTTTGTCTTTTAAATGTAGATGGACTGCTGAATCTTGTCCTGATGGGTTTGTTCTCCTGTGTTGTCCATGCTTTTATAAAGTAGTTGTTTTGTTTCCCCAAAGTACAGATCAGCACATGGCTCACTGCATTGTACTGCATGTACCACACTGCTTAGTATGTGTCCGGGTGTTTTATCCTTGGGGTGGACAAGCTTCTCTCTTAGTGTATTCTTAGGTTTGAAATGTGCACATATGTTGTGTTGGCTGAAGATCCCCCTGAGCTTTTCACATATTCAGCTGTCTGCAAGGAGTATAAATCCTTCCATTTCCCCATCATCCAGTCAGAACTGAAGAAGCTTCTTGGATGAGAAGTGAAATGTCTTCAAAAAAAACAAAACAAGAAAGTCCAGTTGCTTTTTGAAAAAGCACCTTTGGAGGATTATTTTATGTTGCATTATCATTTTGATATTTATTTATTTGTATTTTGCCTTACCTCAAGGGATTACTCTTAGAATCCCTCCTCCCATAATAACCACCTTGTGAGGTAGGTTGGTTGACAGTGACAGGCTGCAAGGTCACCCAGCCAATTTTCATGACTAAGAGTAGATTTAAGGTCAGTCACCCTATACTAATCCAAGGCCTTCAACTACTCCATGAGTTTTCACCCAGGAGTATCTCCATACAAGCTAGGTTCAATGTTTTATGTGAGGAGGGAGGGGTCAATACAATTCCCCTGGAAAGGAATTGACCCCAGGGAGAGCATGGATTGAATATTTTCACATGGAGATGCCAAACGCCCCATCATGTCTGTCTGTCTTGGTACCCCACATAATTTACCTTTCTCTTCATGGGACGGAAATCTTTATCCATACAGACGATGCGAAACTGAACTGCAAAAGGTAGAGAGAGAATATGTGGAGAAAGGAGCCCACTGAATATAGAGATATTAAAATATAGATGGGATTGTTGTTGTTAGTTGCAAAGTCGTATCCAACCCATTGTGACCCCATGGACAACGTTCCTCCAGGCCTTCCTGTCCTCTACCATCTTCTGGAGTCCATTTAAGTTCACACCTATTGCTTCAGTGATTCCATCCAGCCACCTCATTCTCTGTCGTCCCCTTCTTCTATCGCCCTCAATCTTTCCCAGCATCAGGCTCTTCTCCAGTGAGTCCTTCCTTCTCATTAGGGGGCCAAAGTATTTGAGTTTCAACTTCAAGATCTGGCCTTCTAAAGAGCAGTCAGGGTTCATCTCCTCCAGGACTGACAAGTTTGATCGTCTTGCAGTCCAGGGGACTCGCAGGAGTCTTCTCCAGCACCATAGTTCTTTGGCGCTCAGCCTTTCTTATAGTCCAACTTTCACAGCCATACATTGCAACTGGGAAAACCATGGCCTTGACTATACACACTTTTGTTGGCATAGATGGGATCTTGAAGATCAATTACTGTAGTTCAGGGTTTCTCATACTTGACAACTTGAAGATGTATGTGGACTTCAGCTCCCAGAATTCCCCAGCCAGCTGGGGGGGGTCTTTCCAGAAAATTCCATGCTGGCTGTGTAATTCTGGGAGCTGAAGTCCACACATCTTCAAGTTGCTAAGGTTGAAACACACTGATCTAGTGTTTTACCACAGTGTAATACACTGCAGTGTATTACTGCAGTGAGCAGAGATTAGACTAGATCTAATCTATTCTGATCCTGATTCTGATTCTGACCCTCCCAGAAGGCTTCTGACTACGGGTTCAATAGAGGAAGCCAGATTCGTTTAACAACTGCGCGATTCATGTCACAAATGCAGTGATTCGCTTAACAACCAAGGGAAGAAAGGCCGTAAGAGCAGGCATGACTTGATTAGCAATCGCCTTGCTTAGCAATGGAAATTCTGGTCCCAAACCAAGGTCGTAAATCAAGGACTAAGCAAGGGGTAGGCAACCCTGGCTCTTTTATGACTCGTGGACTTCAACTCCCAGAATTCCTGAGCCAGTCATGCTGAGGGGAAAGGGAGAGGTTTCCAAGCTGAACCATGCTAGCTCAGGAATTCTGGGGGTTGAAGTCCACGAGTCATAAAGCGGCCTAGGCCTAGTTCAGGGGTAGGCAACCTTGGCTTTTTTATGACTTGTGGACTTCAATTCCCAGAATTCCTGAGCCAGCACGAGTCATAAAAGAGCCAAAGTTGCCTACCCCTGGCCTACGTGAACGTGGATTGCAAATTTGTAAAATACAGGTAGTCCTCGACTTACGATCACAATTGGGACCAGAATTTATGTCACTAAGTGAGAAATGTGTGAAGTGAGCTTTGCCCCCCTTTTACCATTTGCCTTGCCACATTTGTTCGGCAAATCACTGCAGTTGTTTAATTAGTAACCTGGTTGTTAAGTGAATCTGGCTTCCTGGTTGACTTTGCTTGTCCGAAGATCGCAAAAGGGGATCACATCACCTTAGAACACAGTGACGGTCATAAGTATGAAACAGTTGCCAAGCGTCTGAATTTTGATCATGTTACCCTGGGGTCGTAAGTGTGAAAAAACGGTCATAAGTCACTTTTGTCAGTGCTATTGTACAGTAGTGGCCAAAATTGTGGAAACCTTTTGGGAAAAGTGTATTTTTGAGGTTTGATGGCTAATAACACGACTTTTTTTGGAGTAGTACCATAAACTTATATATCAATGGAAAGTTAATTTAATCAAGAATGTAATGCAACAAAGTTTGTTCAATTATCTGTACTGCATTCTACGAAAAGCTATAGCCAAATAACCAGAAAAAGGAAGCACAACTTGCTTAGGTTGATATCAGGTAGTTTTCCTTCATCTGATTGTGGCCAATGAGCAGGAGTGTTTAGAGAGCCAATCAGGTGTCATCTTCTTTTGGCAATGAGCCAGTCGGATCACAGTAGGATTCAGTTATTGATGTCATGTATTGAAGCTGAGAGGAGGACATTTGTCAGTGTGTTATGGGATTGCTATCAAGTTGGTTGGGATTTTTTTGTGTTCTTTCATTTAGTGAGTTTGTAAAACGTAATAAAATTAAAGTAATGGTGCAAAGAGTTGACTGGTTGCCCAGAAAGCGATGTAAAATAGAATTATTAAGTGAACAAGGCTATAGTTATAAAGAAATTAGAAGAAAAATGGGTGGAAACTTAACCAAAGGTGGCATTTCTACTGTACACTTTTCCCAAAGGGTTTCCACAATTTTGGCCACTACTGTAACTTTGAACGGTCACTAAGCAAATTGACTTACAGGACTAACCTGTAAAGCCTGTAAAATATTCAAAGGCAAAGTTTCGAAAGGGTCAGAAAAGCAGGAATTTTAAGAGCAGCTTTCCCACCAGAGTCGCCCTTTACCTTCTTGCTTCGGTTTGTAGATTGGTTTGTCCGTCTGGATGAAAAGGAGATGCTTTGCTTGCTGAATCTGCACTTTTTTGCGGCTCCAGAAATTCTGGGTTAACCCATTTGCTCTCACCACAAGGATGGCTTCCGATGGGGGTGAAATGTTGCTCCACCTGGGAATCTACGGGATGAAAAGAGATGAAATCACACCGCTTGAGAGGTAGAAATGCCCAAAGCCATACTACAAAAAATATGTTGAGACCTGGCTCAAAAACAGCAACTGTGAGAGGGACCTTGGACTCCTAGTGGATGATCACTTGACTACGAGCCAACAGTGTGCAGCAGCAGCTAAAAAAGCTAACACAATCCTGGGTTGCATAAACAGAGGCCTAGAATCAAGATCACGCGAAGTATTAGTACCGCTTTATAAAACCCTAGTAAGACCACATCTGGAAGACTGCAGCCAATTTTGGTCACCATATCACAAAAAAGATGTGATAAGAGTTTGGAAAAAATTCAGGGAAGAGCAACTAAGATGATCCAAGGCCTGGAGACTAAAACATATGAAGAACGGCTGTGGGACTTGGGTTTGGTTAGTTTAAAGAAAAGAAGAAATAGGGGTGATATGATAGCAGTATTCCAGTATTTGAGGGGCTGCCACCAGGAAGAGGGGGTCAAATTATTCCCCAAAGCACCAGACGGAAGGACAAGAAACAATGGTTGGAAATTGATCAACGAGAGAAGCAACCTGGAATTAAGGAGAAACTTCCTAACAGTGAAGACAATTAACCAGTGGAACAGCTTTGCCTTCAGAAGTTGTGGGGTCTCTATCACTGGAGATTTTTAAGAGGCTAGACAGTCACCTGTCTGAGTGGCATAGGTTCTCCTGCTTGAGCAGGGGGCTGGACTAGAAGACCTCCAAGGTCCCTTCCAACTCTATTCTATTCTATTCTATTCTATTTTAAATGGATGAGAGCAGTCTAGGGATTTTGGACTCTGTTGCAGTGGCTGATCTCAGCTGCTCTCAAAATATATCATGGGACACGTATATTCACCTTCCTTCGTGATATACAGTACTTTCCTTATTTTCTTAAATGTTTGTCATTCCTAACCATCTTTCCTGGGATTTAATATGACCTTACAGGTGGTCCTCAACTAACATCTGCAATTGAGCCCAACATTCCTATTGCTAAGTGAGACATTTGTTAAGTGAGTTTTGCCCCTTGCCACAGTTCTTAAGTGGATCCCGGCAAAAGTTAAGAGTTAAGAGCCATAATGGTGCAGTGGTCAGAATGCAGTACTGCAGGCTAACTCACTTTTCACACCAGCAGTTCGATCCTGACCCAAATCAAGGTTGACTCAGCCTTCCATTCTTCCGAGGTTGGTAAAATGAAGACCCAGATTGTTGGGGGCAAATTGGCTGACTCTGTAAACTCTTAGAGAGGGCTGTAAAGCACTATGAAGCGGTATATAAGTCTAAGTGCTATTGCTATTCAAAACTAATTAGCCCTTGGATGGGAGACCATTGAGAAATCCCAGAAATGAAACTGAAACTGAAAAGATGAAAAATCTACCATAAAGAGGTTCCAGCAGACCCCTTGCCCCCCCCCCCCAAAAGGCAAGTTGATTCAAGAGTTAGCACTGTACTCTGGCAGCTGCATTTTCAAGGCTGACAGGTGTTTTTAGAATAGAGACACAGGTGGTCCCTGACTTACAACAATTTGTTTAGTGACCATTTGAAGTCACACCAGCACTGAAAATAGCGACTTATGACCATTGTTCACACCTAATGACCGTTGCAGCATCCTTGTGGTCACGTGATCAAAATTCAGACACTTGGCAACTGACTCATATTTATGACGGTTGCAGTGTCCCGGGGTCATGTAATCCCCTTTTACGACCGTCTGACAAGCAGAGTCAATGGGGAAGCCAGGTTCACTTAACAACCAGGTTACTGACTTAACAGCTGCACTGATTCACTTAACAACTATGGAAAGAGAGGTTGTAAAAATGGAGCAAAACTGATTTAGCAACTGTCTTGCTTAGCAATAGAAAAATTGGATTCAACTGTAGTCTTAAATCAAGGATCACCTGTATAGGCATATAGATATTTAAAAAATGCTTTCTGTCTTTAAAAAATATACAACCAAGTTCGCACCATGTTCTTCTGCATTGTAAATAGCAAGGCTTGAACCTGTGACCTTGGATTTGCAAAGCCAACATCTTTTACCTGCTCTGCATTTGTGTCTTCATTCATCTGACTCTTTCAAATGGTGCTTTCCCCCCCCCCATAGCTACACCCAGAGCTCAATTTAATTTTGCCAAATTCATTTTCCCCACAACCAGACATTGTGAAGGGGACAAGGAGTATTTCCAGGGCAATATTGAAGGAGAACTGACAAAAGGTTTTCAGGACCCCCCCAATGCTGAAGCATCTAGCTTAGCCAAAATGTATTTTTTTAAAAACAGGGAGTAGGAAATTTCTTGTGAAAGCTGGCGCTGGTTAAGCAATCGTGGCTTTTTAAATAAATATTTAAACTGTGCTTCTTTCAAGCTGGAATTTTATTTTTTTATTTTTTAAAAAAATATATATTCTTTCTTCACAGATAATCCATGTTGTGATAGTGTGCAATTAAGTGGTCCTGACCTGATCGCTCAACAGTGAGACCCTAGTGAAGTAGGCACAGCAGCGCCTGAATTTTCCGTGTCGCATAAGAAAAGCACATCTTTCTTCCCCTGTCCTTACCACTTTCTACAGAGGGACGATCAAGAGCATCCTATCATATTGCATTACTATCTGATTTAGAAGCATCACTGCTTCAGACAGGAAGGCGGTGCAGAGAGTGGTGAGGATGGCAGAAAAGATTATTGGTAGTTCACTTCCTTCTATCGAGGACATGGCTTATAAGCGATGCTTGAGCAGAGTCCACAGGATTGTCTGGGACACTACACATCATCTTCATGACCTGTTTTCCTTGTTGCCTTCTGGGAGGGGGATCTTCATGGTATCCGAAGCAGAACATCCAGATTCAGTCACAGTTTTGTTCCATACAGTATTAACCTTGTGAATTCTCAAGTGTCTTCTTTCCACTATGTATTCAAGAGGGACAGTGATTAATATTTATATTTATATATGTATGTATGTATGTATGTGTGTATGTATATAGCATGTGTATATATGTGTTGTATATGGGTATGGATAGATATATATTTTCTTTTGAGAGCAGGCAACAGAATTTCATTTTTAGTGTAGGCCAGTGTACTCTTAGTAAAAAATGACAATAAAGATTATCTTATCTTATATGAATTGGACTGTCTGACAATGTAGGTTAGAATTAGAAACACAGCTTGAGAGAGAGGGGGGGGAGAGGGAGAGGGAGAGGGAGAGGGAGAGAGAGAGAGAGAGAGAGAGAGAGAGAGAGAGAGAGAGAGAGAGAGAGAGAGAGAGAGAGAGAGAGTCTTACCTGGAAATGAACACACCGAAATCCATCTTTCTCTTCTACCGTCACTTGATTCAGGATCAAATTCTGACTACCATATTCCAGAAAGATGGTCAAGGTGAGTGTTTCCTTCAGATGGTTCATCTGGATGCAGAAATTCTCAGAGGTCTCCATGTGGATCGTGCTGGGCACCAACACTACATATTGCCTTGAAAAGAGGGACAAGGGGCTCTGATTAGGAAATATGTGGTGCAAATACAGGAGGGTTACCTGAGATTTGGGCCTGTGTTGGTGGAGATAGATAAGTATCATCTCTCTAAAGCAGTGTCAAAAAGTTGAATCATGGCAACTGGACCAAACCTGGTTAATCTGAGACTTTTCATTGCTCATCCAAGCAACTTCATCCATCAGAGCAAAATTACTTAGGAAGAGTCAAAGAGTTGTTGGAATCTACCAACTCTTGCCATACAACTTCAGGGGTTTCTCCCCAAAATGGGCTGCAATGTGGACAGAAACCCATGAAGAGTTGGTACATTCCAATCACTCTTTCCCTACACCTCCTATTGCCACCTCAGTGTCCAAAGCCCAAAAGAAAACTAATCTTCTATTTTTTTTTCAATAGCCCTCCCTCACCCCTCAGTGTCTCCAGATCATCACTCCTCCTTAAGCTTCCCTTTGCAAATCCCAGACTGAGAGATGCTTAGTTTAAAAATAAGACAGAGCAGAGTTGAAAGTCTAATTTTTTTTCCCCAGCCAAAGAAGACAGAAAAGGAGGAAGCCTGCAGAGGGCAACTTACAGTCTGGGGGTGGGAACAGCTAGAGTGGTCCTGAGAAGGGCAGATAGCAAAAGGAGAAGGAAGACATTTTTTTCAGGTTGCCAGCTTTTCCCCATAACCCTGAAGAGAGAGAGAGAGGCTGGCTGAGAAGCTGAGCTGAAAAGGCTGAGCCGTTCCTTTCTCAGCTCTGGTTGCTGATTGTCTCTCTGCAAATAGTCTGCGCTGCGGAAGAGGTCAAAGCTGGGAACTGTGTTGATATTTCTGGTGACTCAACTCAACACTGGGTCCTTGCCAGTGTTGAAAGCCAATTGGGCACACTGCGGTGGAGACTGAAGCAACACAACTTTAATCTGCACAGAAGAAGGACCCGGGAAGGTTTCCTTCAAAGCCTGTGTAACATAGTTGTTTACAGCCAGGTCTTTTATATAATAATAATAATAATAATAATAATAATAATAATAATAATAATAACAACAACAACAACAACAACAACAACAACAACAACAACAACTTGAACACCATTGGCATTGACAAATTCGCTATTAGTCAATTGCAAAAGGCGGCCTTACTAGGAACTGCTTCCATCTTGCGACGATATCTGTAATGCCATCAAACATCCACATCTGCCTATCCCAGGTCCTGGGTAAGGACTCGATAGGTAGACAAAATGCCAAATCCAGTCTGAACATCTGGCTGACTGTGTGATGATCCACAATAATAATAATAATAATAATAATCCCCCAGTGCGGCACTACCTTGACGTGGTTGTGGGGCTTGTGTACTCTTAGGAAGATGAGAGCTATGCCAGAGGTTCAACCATACTGGACAGGTCTCATCAGAGGAGTCAGACAAAGAGTGTCTCTCCCATAAAAAATATGGTGAGACGTAAATTGCAGAATGCCATACCGGCTCAGACGTCGCCCGGGTTAACAAGGTCCGCGCTAGATATTGGAGTTCCTGGATATCTGGTGGAAAATGGGTTACAAGACTGTTGGCTGAGCAACCAGGGCCAGCAGCTGCAGAACTACTGGAAGAAAAGGTGTTTACCCGTCGCAGATACACAGTGATGGAAAACAAAGAAATAATGATCAGTTACTACAGATCAAGTCCAACAAGAAGAGGAATTGCAAAAGGCGGCCTTATTAGGAACTGCTTCCATCCTGCGACGATATCTGTAATACCATCAAACATCCACATCTGCCTATCCCAGGTCCTGGGTAAGGACTTGATAGGTAGACAAAATGCCAAATCCAGTCTGAACATCTGGCTGACTGTGCGATTATCCATAATAATAATAATAAAGTTGGAAGGGACCTTGGATGTCATCTAGTCCAACCCCCTGCTCAGGTAGGAAACCCTATATGATTTCAGACAAATGGCTGTCCAATCTCTTCTTAAAAACTTCCAGTGTTGGAGCATTCACGGCTTCTGGAGGCAGGTTGTTCCACCGGTTAATTGTTCTAACTGTCAGGAAGTTTCTCCTTAGTTCTAGGTTGCTTCTCTCTTTGGTTAGTTTCCATCTGTTGCTTCTTGTCCTGCCTTCAGGTGCTTTGGAGAATAGCTTGACTCCCTCTTCTTTGGGGCAACCCCTGAGATATTGGAACACTGCTGTCATGTCACCCCTCATCCTTCTCTTCATTAGACTAGACATATCCAATTCCAGCAACCCTTCCTTATATGTTTTAGTCTCCAGTCCCCTAATCATCTTTGTTGCTCTTCTTTGTACTCTTTCTAGAGTCTCAACATCTTTTTTACATCATGGTGACCGAAACTGGATGCAGTATTCCAAGTGTGGCAGTGGTGGGATTCAAATATGTGAACAACAGGTTCTCTGTGTGGATGCTGCTTCCGGAAATCCATTCTGGGCCTGGGCAACAAAAAATTAGGTACCGGTTCTGTCAAACTGGTGCAAACTGGCTGAATCCCACCACTGAAGTGTGGCCTTCCTAAGGCCTTGTAAAGTGGTATTAACACTTCACGTGGTCTTATAATATAATAATAATAATAATAATAATAATAATAATAATAATAATAATAATAATAACAACCCCCAGTGAGGCACTACCTTGACGTGGTTGTGGGGCTTGTGTACTCTGAGGAAGATGAGAGCTATGCCAGAGGTTCAACTATACTGGACAGGTCTCATCAGAGGAGTCAGACAAAGAGTGTCTCTCCCATAAAAAAATATGGTGAGACGTAAATTTCAGAATGCCATACCGGCTCGGATGTCGCCCGGGTTAACAAGGTCCGCGCTAGATATTGGAGTTCCTGGATATCTGGTGAAAAATGGGTTACAGGACTCAGGACTGTTGGCTGAGCAACCAGGGCCAGCAGCTGCAGAACTACTGGAAGAAAAGGTGTTTACCCGTCGCAGATACACAGTGATGGAAAACAAAGAAATAATGATCTGTTACTACAGATCAAGTCCAACAAGAAGAGGATATCTAAAACGAATGCACCAATTCTGGAAAGAACAACATCCAGAATCAGAAATAACAGAACAGAGACTAGCAGATCAACGCCGATTTATAACACGAAATAAATATTCACAGAAACAGAATTGGACGAACTGCAAAGGTTTACCCAGGGCAAAGAAATCAAAGCCTTACCAGAAGTAATTCAGAATGTAGAGGCAAACCAGGGGGAGTTGGCAGTGAAGGAATCCAGCAGAGATATACAACTGTTCTCATTTGGAAACCAGGCACCTCTACCTCAGGAAGAACAAAACCCTCTAACTAAAGAAATAAAAGAATTGAAACAAAGAATAACTGAGCATCTAGAACAGCACAAAAACAACAGAATAAGGCTACCTGCATTGAAGCTTGTTCCAAAGAAACAGCTAGCACAAGCATTAAAAGATGCAAATATTGCAATATCAAGTATAAGCACCAATTCACTGCAAGAAACAAACCAACTAATGTACAGCACAGCTGCAGTTATAACAGAATACCTGGGATGCAAAATCAACAAAGAAGAAAAACAAACAAACAGTGCACCAGAAAAATGGAAGGTTAGACTAGAAAATAAGATCAGCAAGTTAAGATCACATGCAAGCAAGCTAGAACAGATGAAAGAAAAGAAGCTGAAGAACAAGAAGACCAAAGAATACCTAATCAAGAAATACCACTTAGAAACAAGGAAGATCAAGGAAGCACTGGAAATAATAAAGCAACAAATAACAGCTATAGCCAGGAAAATCAGTAGATATGAAGCTCGAATTGCAAACTATAGGCAGAACCTCCAATTTCAATCCAATCAGAAACGTTTCTACCAATCCATCAATGGAGAAACTGCAAGGAATCAGTCAGTACCTGACAAGGAAGAAACAGTGCAGTTCTGGAAGCAGATATGGGATAACCCAAAGAAATACAACAAGGATGCGGCTTGGTTAAAAGAGGTGGATGCAAATAAAACAGAAGTTGAAATGAAAGAACTAGTAATAACAACAAAAATGGTAGAAAAAAGAGCAAAGAAAATCAAAAATTGGTCAGCACCAGGTGAAGATGAACTGCATGGGTTTTGGTTGAAACATCTAACTGTTATACACCCACTCATTGCCAAGCAGTTCAACAATATACTACAAGGAGGAGAAATTGAAAAGTGGCTAACAACTGGGAAAACCTACCTAATAATGAAAAATCCAGCAAAAGGGGCAACACCAGGTAACTACAGGCCAATTACCTGCTTACCAACAACTTTCAAATTACTAACTGGTAGTAGCTGATGCAGTGCAACAGCATCTAGTTGAAAACAATCTCTTTCCACCTGAGCAGAAAGGAAACCGCCCCAACAGCAGAGGAACAAAAGATCAACTCCTAATAGACAAAATGATCTTGGAAAACTGCAAGAGAAGGAAGACCAACCTGAATGTGGCATGGATTGACTACAAAAAGGCATTTGACTCTCTGCCACATGATTGGATAATAAAGTGCCTAGAAATAACAGGAGTCAGTAGAAACATCAGAAAATTTGTGCAAAGATCGATGGCACAATGGAAGACACAGTTGCAGATCAATGGTGAGAGGCTGGGAGAGGTTAATATCAAGAGAGGAATATTTCAAGGAGATTCATTATCACCATTACTATTTGTTATTGCACTGTTTCCTCTGTCAACAATACTGAATAACTCAGGACATGGCTATCAAACATCAAAAACATCTGCCAGACTATCCCACCTCCTTTATATGGATGATCTGAAGCTGTATGGAAAAACATCATCTGAAATAGAATCGCTGCTCAACACTGTCCGTATATATAGCCAAGATATTGTAATGGAGTTTGGCTTGGACAAATGTGCCACACTTACTATCAAACAAGGAAAAATAATGAAAACTGAAGGAATCAAGATGCCCCACGAAAATAACATTAAGAGTCTGGATGAGGAAGAGTACTACAAATACTTGGGTATCCTTCAAGCTGACAACATCAAGCACACTGAAGTCAAGAAAAAGATTAGAGGTGAATACATCAAGAGAGTGAAGAAGATCTTAAAATCCAAACTCAATGGAGGAAATACCATAAAGGCAATCAACACCTGGGCAATCCCAGTCATTAGGTACACAGCTGGAATAGTGGACTGGACTCAAGCAGAACTAAAAGCAATGGATAGGCAGACCAGAAAAATAATGACAATGAATCATGCCCTTCATCCACGCAGTGACATTGATAGACTTTATCTACCAAGGCAAATAGGTGGGCGTGGAATGCTACAAGTACATCAGATGGTTGAAGAAGAAAAAATGGCTTTGGAAGAATATCTGAAGAACAATGATGAAGATGCACTGAAATTAGTATATCAGGAAGGCTTACTAACTACTGGAGAGACCAAACTGGCCTACAAGAAAGACCAAATGAAGAACAGAATAGAGGCATGGGAAGACAAAGCACTACATGGCCAATACATGAAAAAAATAGCTGGGAAAGCAGATAATAATAAAACCTGGCAATGGCTAAGAGCAGGAAAATTGAAGAAAGAGACCGAGGGACTAATTCTGGCTGCACAAGACCAAGCCTTAAGGACAAATGCATACAAAGTCAAAATTGAGAAGACAGCAACAGACAGTAAGTGCCGCCTATGCAAAGAAGCTGAAGAAACAGTGGACCACTTGGTAAGCTGTTGCAAGAAGATTGCACAGACTGATTACAAGCAGCGGCATGACAAAGTAGCAACAATGGTGCATTGGAAGATCTGCAAAAAATATCATTTGCCTGTAAGCAAAAA